TCCATGCAAAATGCTGAGTTTTATTGCTAATTTGTTTAGTTTTCTATTTCGCATCCAAATTATGTATATTGTTGACTTTTTTCTTTAACTTGTTAAATCTATTTTATTAAGTTTTGTTCAAGAATTAGAATTGAAATGATATCTAAAATTAGAGATAGAAATAAGTTAAGTGAGTCGTAGAAAGGCCCATGACTTGACCCGTATTATACCTAAATTAAGTCATGTTTATTTATTAAAAGCGTTAAGTTAATTTTTTTTGACAAAAAATTATCTTATTAGTATTTTTATAAATAAGTCAGTCTTTTTATTAAAAAAATCGAGTTTAAGTTATTCATGAAACCTTTTAAATTCAACAAATCCACGTGTCATTGTTTAGAAACATCATGTGAAAAAAAGCTTTTAATAGGCTATTATATTTGAATTGCTAACGATCAAAATAGTTAATATGTTTCTTTTATATATATATATAATTTACCTTGGTATTGTTACACTGTTATTTTATTTACAATATAAATAGAAATTCAACTAACGGTTTAAAAAGATAGGTTAGATATTGTTATTTCAATTCTTATTACAGCACTCATTTAAGAATTCCATTTTTTTAAGTGTGAGATGAGTGTGGGAAACAGAGATTGGAATGGGAAAAATATTGTAATAGCAAAAGAGTTATTCTATTTTGATGCTTCTTAATTCATCACTCCCTTAAATTTATAATGAAAAATTAAATTGTAATGATTATATTATATTAATCAACAAACACTGAAACTAAAATAAGATGAACTATTAATCAACATGGTATATGAGAAATACCATTCTTTAAGACATGTTTTATAACTAGTCCACTATCTAAAATGCAAAGTTCTTTTCATCAATTCAAGCTTTGTCGGTATTTTTTTTAAGCCATGGTACCATAAGGTTGATTAACTCATATTTGATATTTAAGTGATTATAAAAATACTTTATTTAGAATCTGTCAATAAGTCATCCTTTTATTTATATAAAATACTTTTTCCGGTCTTATTTATAAAAGAAATATTTTTTTAAAAATTATCAAAAATAAAGATTCATTTTCACATATATTATTTGTTAAATTCTTTTTATATAATTACTTTTTATTTATCTTGATGAATTAGTTATTTTTTAAAAAAGACAAAAAATTCTTATTTAATAATATTAAATAGTATATTTTTGAATTTTTTTTTATTTTGTTAATCATTACTCATAGCAAAGCTATATAAAATTAATTTACTTACACAAACCTACATATAAGTCTTTATTATTATAGTGATGATTTTAGATGTGCAGATCTATTAATTTAATCTGAACTCGTGCAAATAACATTTTTCCAACGTAGCTCTTCTACTTTCACATTCATATTATCTGACATACATATTTTATAGATTTCATAAGCATAGATTGTGGATCACCCAGAGATTACTTGGATCCGGAAACTGGAATTTGGTATCAGACAGACGAAGATTTTGTGGAAACAGGAAAAAATCATATGGTTTCATCAAGTGTGGATCGCGACTTTGGGAAACAATTGAATACACTGAGAAGCTTTCCAGAGGGAGACAGAAACTGCTACACCCTAAACCTAAACAAGGCAAAAATAATAACTATTTAATCAGAGCTTTCTTTTCATACGGAAATTATGACTCCAAAAATGAAACCTCATCTTTCGACTTGTACATTGGGGTCAATTACTGGTACACAATAAATGTAGATCTGGACGACAATTACGACTTTGCCGAGGTTATTCACACTCCCTCAAGTGACACTATACAATTGTGTCTTGTAAGGACTGGACCAACAATACCTTACATTTCTACATTGGAATTACGCCCTTTGAACAATTCCATTTATCAGACAATGTCAAGTACTACTTCACAACCGCTACTGGATCACCAGACAAGGATCGATGTTGGCTTCCATGGAGAGCCTGTTTACTCCAGGTAATATCATCAACCCCTTACCATGATGAGTTAGTGGACGTGAGTTTTTCTCTCATTGCTGCTACTATAACAAAAATTAACAAATTGTTACTGAGACAAATAAAAATAATCTCTTGCTCATTAAATTTAGACATGATATTGGTACAACTGACAGACTATTCGGACTTCTAAAATCACTACCCTACGTCGATCGATCATGTGAGATAGTGGGCTTAGTTGGGTTAGTTGGCACTTGACTTAGTTTTTAATGGAGTTGGGTTAAAAAAAAATTCAAATTTATTTGAGTCATTCCTTAGATTTAATTATTTAAGTCCTACCCTTTAATGAGTATATTAATAGAGTTATCAAAATAAACTAAAGCTTTGACCTGTTTTTTTTTTTTTAAATCTTATATTTAGTGGATTTACGCTGGCTCTAAGCCTTAAAATAAAAATAATAGTGAGTTAGAGACAAGGTTAGAGATGATCTAACCCACTTATTTTATAAAGGAAGTAATAATTATTATATTATTTTTTATAATATTTATTAAATTATTTTATTTAAATGAATTAAAAATTATATTTAAAATATAAAAACTAATTTTAAAAATAAAAAACTATATACTCAATATATTAAAATTTTATCATAAAAATAATATTAAATATAATTATGTTATAAAATTAAATTAAACTTAGTTTTTGCACTTGTTTAATTTTATTAATTAAATTTAATATAGTATATTAATAATTTATTATTTTAATTAAGAATTAGTATTAAATATTTTTAACTAAACAATAATTAAATGATAAAATAATATTATAAAATAATATTTAATAATTATTTTAATAAATTTAATCAATTCTAGTATATTTAAATATTTTTAATGACTTTTAATAATTGTAAATTCATTATAGCTTAGGTTTATACATGGTATGATTATTTTTAATATAAATATAAATACGTAGAATCTTAAATAATTAATTTTAATAAATTTTATATAGATATATAAGTATAGATAGATTTTTATTATTAAAAAAATATAATTGTTAATATACATTTAAAATTTAATAATTAATAAATACTTAAATAAATCAACTTATAAATAAAAAATTAAATTATTATTTAATTTATCAATTTATATGTAATATATAAGTATGTATTTTAATTTATCGTATACATACTATTTTTTATATTACTTAAATGTTATGGTGTAGTTAATTTTAAGTATATTTATAGGTTTAAAATAATAAATTAATGTATAAAATAAAATTAAATATTATATATATATATATATATATATATATATTGCATGTAATTTAAAATTTTATATTAAGTTTTATCATAAATTTTTTATTAAAATAAAAATTTAGAAACACATATTATTTTAATTTAAATATAAATTTTATTAAATAAGATGAGTCAAAAATTAAATTTATAAACATTCATTAATTTTTACTATGTTCACATGTTACTTTTTTGCATCTATAAATTTTATAACATAAAATATTATATGCCTACAATTTCTATGATGAAAATGTTTATTTACTTTTTTTAACATATTAACTTTTATTTACTAGATTTAACAAATTTTTTTAGTATTATTTTTTATTGTTAATTTTATATGTTTACTATGACTTTATTTTTTGAATACAAGATATTTTTATATAAATAAAATATGACCCTGAGAATATATATATATATATATATATATATTTAATATTTTTATAAAAAAAAATTTATAATATAAAAATTTACTTAGATATTCTAATAATTATTGCAATTCATATAGAATTTTCTTAAATATAAATTTTTAAAAACATATAATTTATTTTTTTTACTTATAAAACTCTGACCTTAATTCTAACTTGTAGGCTTTTTGGTTCGCAGGATTTTGTAGCCCAAACTCACATACACTAGGATTAAGGCTGGGTTAAATGGACTTTTTACAGCTCTAAGTATATTTGGGCCGACTCATTTTATCTAATCACCTTTCCAATTCATGGTTGTGGTCAGCACAACGCTCGTAAACAAAATAATTTCACCATACACTCGATTCGGGGTATATGAAGTAAAAAGAAAAGAGAAATAGCGAGAGAGAGAGAGAGAGAATTGCGATAGATGGTGTAGTATTGCAAGGAAAAATAAAAAGAGAAGAAAGAAAATCGAGGCAAGAAAGATATAAAAATATTATACAAGTATATGAATATAATTTTTGTAAAGAAAAAAAGGCAGTGCTCAATATTTTAATATTTGAAATACAATAAATGTTAGTTACCATTTCTTTGCCATGTATCATATTGGAAGAAAAATGGAGGATGATTTTTCATTTTAAGTTAATATTGTAGATTATTATAAAATCTCCTGACCTTTTATACATAGTTCTATTACGCCAAAACGAAAGTTTAAAGTTGCTCTTTTTCCCAACAACACTTGAATCCAAATGTAAACAACAACAATAATAATTGTAAATCTTTTAGGTACAAAGATGACGTCTATGATCGGTTGTGGCGATATGACCAGTATAAAGTTACAAATAGTTGGCATCCTTTGGACGAATCAATTGATGTGGATCCTTCAACCAGTGCATATAAATTGCCAACCCAAGTATTAAGGACTGCATCCCAATCACTAAATGTCTCATACCCCTTGAAATTTGACTATAGTTCTTTGTTTGACGACCTGGATACAAATTATGAGTATCGTGTCTACTTTCACTTTGCTGAAATTGAGGCACTTCCACCAGGTCAAAATAGAATTATCAATATCACCCTTAATTCTAAACCCGTCCTCTCACACCCTTTGGTTCTTCAATACATGAAGCCAGTCACCATTACTCCTCAAGATGCAGTCCGAAGTAGAATTTCATTTAGCATTGGTGCAACGTCAGAATCTGCTGCTCCTCCCATCCTTAATGCCTTTGAGGTGTACAAGTTGATACCCTGTCTTTCTTTGCCAACAGACTCTCGAGATGGTTTCTACTATTACTATATGTTGTCTTGTTGAAGAATTAACTGTTTAGAAGAGCCTGTTGCTAACATTTTTCATTATGTTTTAGCTGGTGCTATTATGGACATTAAAAGCGCCTACCATATCACTTGGCTGAATTGGCAAGGGGACCCGTGTCTTCCAAAGCAATTTGCATGGGAGGGTCTCACTTGCAACTCTGACACCAATCCCAGGATCACAGCTTTGTGAGTACTAAGCTTCTTCAAGTCACTCTATATACCATCTAGGGTGCAAAGGGTGATTAATGCTATTAGAAAAGACGAATAATAAGAGAGGAGAAAAAAAAAATTACTTGTGTTTGACATCACCGTAACACTTTAATGCTAGTGGAAGATTATAGCACCACACATTGTCCAAACAGTGTGTATAAATTTAATTTCTTCTTCTTTTCATGTGTTATGCATTTATTTGTACTTTCCGTTCAAATGACTTGTTGAAATCATGTCAAACATACGAGCAGGAACTTGAGCTCAAGCAAATTGACAGGGGAGATAAATATTTCATTCTCATATCTTACAGAACTAGAAATCCTGTGAGTGTTATTGTTGTGGCTGATTCATTTTGTGCTCAAATATTATATATACTGGAGCATTGGCTCATTAGAAGCCTCACTGGCAGCATTATGCCAGCATTCTGTGTACAAGTTTACGCGACAGCTCCTAATTGTAAGGAAAAAACGTAGATATAATATTATAGACGCTTAATATTGTTCTTCAATTTTTATCTTATGATTTCATTTCAATAACTAAATTATTGGCAGTTACTAATTTTAATTCAAGAATAGAACAAACAATATTCATAATTTTGTATCTATTTTTTGTCCTTTCTGTAATCTACCCACCTGAATTTAATCCATAATGCGATACAATGTTCCAGGGATTTGTCAAATAACTATTTAGAAGGACCTGTGCCAGAATTTCTGGCAGAATTACCCAAGTTAAAATTACTGTAAGTTTGGTGACTTTTAACTTCTTACCTTCCTGTTAGGCACTTGGGTAATGTATATTTCACTGTCTTTGCAGTAATCTCACAGGGAACAAGCTTTCAGGCCCAATTCCTAAGGCTCTCAAGAAAAAGGCGGATACAACTCTGCAATTGAGGTTTTCTAGTATAATATTTTATATTCTTTGGTTCAATTGTAGCCCGCCTTTTCATTCATTTGATAATCCCCATAATATAACGAATTGTGGTTTGTTGATTGATGAAACAGCGATGCTGTAAAATATGTTCATATGGTTATACCAGTTAATGAGCGAAATATGTAAAAAGAAAGATATTAAAAATTTAATATCTACACTTAACATCATTTTTTATTTTAACACCTTAAAAAAAAAAAAAAAAATATATATATATATATATATATATATATATATATATATATATATATTAGCCCTTATGAAAACCAGTCCCTATTTCTTGCTGATCAACAATCAGCACTGGTGAGAATGAAAAAATAAACAACAGGATGCACTATTCGTTTAACTTCAGCCCCTTTGCCTTGTAGATCTTTAAGTAAATTGGAGAGGTTGTTTGTATCTTTTAATATATTTTTAAAATACGCGCGTGTGTGTATATATATATATATGTGTGTGTATAAAATAAAAATTAAAAGGGATAAAAATAATAATATTCGGTATTAATTTTAGTGTTTCAAACAAAGGCCCTTCATAATAACTGAATTTCGATGATGTATGATTGAATGTTAGTAGTTTCAAAACCTATTATTATGTAATGCAAAGGTAATCCATTGTATGACAACTAATATCGTATCACTTTGACCTTTTTCAGTGTGACCGATAATCCTTATATTTGTATGTCGCATTCATGCGAAAGGAAGAACTTTACAGCACCACTTGTTGCTTCAGTTTCAGCTTTAATTGTAATCATTTTGGTTGCTCTTGGATTTTGGATAATCAAGAGAAGACCGAAAGGTATTTAATGTACTTTTATCCAAGTTTCATGACTGAATGAACAATGCCATGAAGTACCTTGAAGCTATAATCAATTTATGTGAATATATTTAGCAGTTACTATTGCATGAAGAAGTTGGTTATATATATAGTTTTGTCTTCAGTTGCCTTAATTCCTTCGCTTGAGCCTTTGGTATACTTAGATATAAAATCATTTGAAGTTTTTATCTAAAAGGGTTTAAGAGATTTTGCTTTTGACACAATTCTCTCTCTATTAGTCTAACTCTCCTAAAAGTTTTATCTGTATTATGTTTTATGCTTGTATCAGTAATTTTAATTGAAAAGCTTTTGTAGCTTTTCTTCTACCAACGATTAATTTCTATTAATTCTGAATGGAACCATTAAAGAGATGTCATACTTGTACAAAACTTATGAATAATTATTTCTACAATTAAGAGAAAGATAGAAAGAGAAGTATGAGATAAGACATGAATGTTATGATAAAGAGAGATAGTGAGATCAACTTTGCTTCGTTTTGATTCGGTTTTTCTTTACTATTATAGTTATGCGTTCTGATTCTCAAAAGGGTAGATCATTGAAATCAAAACATCGAGCATTCAGTTATAGTGAGATTCTCAATATTACTGAAAACTTCAAAACTATTATTGGAGGAGGAGGATTTGGAAAAGTTTACTTTGGCACTCTGCAAGATAACACTGAAGTAGCTGTTAAGTTGCTTTCACCATCATCAATGCAAGGTTATAAGGAATTCCGATCTGAGGTCAGATACAGCACTTAAGTTAAAACACGTAATTTCAAATTTGATGTTAGTAAAGTAATATTTACATGGAAAATCCTACAATGTTTTTTAGTTAACTTTGGAATGGCTAAAATTTGGTACGCAGGCACAACTTCTTATGATTGTTCATCATAGAAATTTGGTCTCTCTAATTGGGTATTGCGATGAAGGTGATATTAAAGCATTGATTTATGAATACATGGCCAATGGAAATGTCCAACAGCACTTATCAGGTAATTTCTAGTTTTCTCTTGAGCAATCAATCTATCGGCATGCATGATAGATTTATTGTGTATTTGACACATTGAAAATTCCTGTAAATGTGGATCAACCATAGAAGCTACAGCTCATAGCATTGAAGTAAATGTGGATCCATGCTCATTCAAACGTGAATCCCAACATGTTATTATTCTATACTACTAACATAATATAAACAAAGGTGGAGTGCAAAACCTACATTAACTTTTCAGTCCACATGATATGATATCATTAGAAGGAACATGAATAAGGCAGGGAGGCTAAGAGGAGGAAATTTAATTTTGCCTAATTTTTCATTTCTGAGTGTTTCTACAGAACTGCAAGTGTGACGTCTATTTATTTTTCCATGTGAACCAAAACAAAATGGGCATGTTAATGTATATTTGTGTGCAGTGGACAATCCAAATGTCTTGAAGTGGAATGAGAGACTTATTGTCGCAGTGGATGCAGCACAAGGTATACAATCCATTTATATTTCTATTCAGGACAAAACTTAGGTACAAATTTTTAATGTACTTTCACTATTATTTCTAATCACAATTAAAGTTTAACTTCAAACTGCACAATAGAAGTCGTCATTTAAGGTTATTGCAATTTATTAAGGTGAAACTCTAATGGTGATCGGAAAAATAACACCAAAAGTACTTAATTGCACCTACGTTTTGTCTTTCTATTTATGGCAGTTTGTGTTTCTTGCTCCATTTACTCTAATCTAATTCTCTGTTTCTTATGGATTTTTAGGACTAGATTATCTGCATAATGGCTGTAAACCTCCTCTTATCCACAGAGATTTGAAGACTTCCAACATATTACTAGATCAGAACATGCATGCCAAGATTTCTGATTTTGGTCTATGCAGAGCTTTTGGTAACGATATTGATTCTCATATATCAACTCGTCCTGCTGGCACAGCAGGTTATGTTGATCCAGAGTAAGTAATTTTAGATTTACTGAAGTTCTATACTTTTGCAGTATTACTCTGCAGCTCCTTTTTTTTTTAATTGAAGTAGTGGATTTCATGGCTTTGAATTGAAACTACCCTCTGAATTAAACGTGCATCTCTTACTAGTGTAAAACAATGTTAGCTTGTTTAGAGTTACCAAAGAGATTGTTGTCTAAGGATTTCATTGGTCAAATTACATAATAGGTAGTGTGCTGTTTTCAATTTGTTTTCTATGTTTATTCCTTTTTAACCCTCCATCCTTACCAATTGATTGCTATAGAGTGGATGTAATGTTGTTCAAGTAGAGCAAATGAGATAAATTTACCAATGACTTGAATTACTAAACGTTCTAAACAAAATCTTTGAATCAATCAAAACACGATGAAACTTGAAGCTCAACAAAACTTACTCATTTAGTTTGAAAAGGACATGAAGCATTCTATCCTCTATTTTTCTTCCCATTTGGAAGAGTTTACGGCGAGCTTATAAAAATAACTTGCGACTCTCATAACTTCTTTTCAGCTTATTTCAGTTAGGTATTCGATGAATTTATCAGAATAAGCTCTTTTCAACTCATTCCAAGAAGTTTTACAGTGAAATATATGGTATAAGGTGTCGTGTAGTAAGAGCTTATTGAAGAAACACTAAAGCTATGTTTTCAAATACACCCTCACTATAAAAAGACTTCCTTATTTTAGTTGATATCTTATGTAGTTAAAAATGGAAGGAAAAGATGCGATACACAAGCCTTGGGTTCACTAATGCAGTTTGTTTGTTTTCTTAATAGATTTCAGAGAACTGGAAACTCAACTAAGAAAAGTGATATCTACAGCTTTGGGATAATTTTATTTGAGCTAATCACTGGGCAACAAGCAGTATTAAGAGCACCTGGAAGAAAGATTCACATCCTTGAGTGGGTTATACCAATAGTTGAAAGAGGAGATATTCAAAATGTTATTGATCCAAGATTACAGGAAGAATTCAATGTCAATTCTGCATGGAAAGCTATAGAGATTGCCTTATCTTGCATTTCACCAGTTGCAGCTGAAAGGCCTGACATAAGTGAAACATTGGCAGAGCTAAAGGAATGTCTACCTTTGAGATGGTTCAGAGACAAGCTGAAAGCGAAATAAGTCTACTTGATTCAAGTATTTCTCCCTCAGCTAGGTAGCTACCATGCAATGATCTCGTGTGCTATTTTATGTCACTGTTATTGCCTCAGTACAATTTCTCATTTATGTCACAATATATATGGAAGAATGTGCATGAAAAAGCAACAAATGATTAGTGGTTTACTCTTAAACCAAGGATTTGACAGAATATTAGTACTCAAATTGTGTGCTTTCTGTGTCAAGATAACTTTGTTATCCAATTTATAAAAAAAATCCGTTAGATAATTTTTATAATAAGAATGCATAAAAAAAAGCAGTGTTCATGTAATTTGAGCCATATTGGCTTTTTCATTTTTATCTTTTGCATTGATCGATATTTTATGAATTTGGATTTTCTCCTACGTACGTACGCGAGAATAGGACTATCTAATTTTATTTTTATTTAAGTAAATTACAATTTACTTAAGCAAATCCTGCTAGAAGATTCAGGGAAAAAAGAATGGAAAGATAAAACAAACGACTAATGAAATGCTTAAAAACATTGAAAATTTAACAATTTTACAAAAAACAAAAGATGGTTCATTACCGTTATGAACACAAATTCACACTTCCCAGAAAAACTCCACTATTGACTCATTGATTAGAAGAGTTTCTTCTTCTTCTTCTTCTAAGAGTGTTACACACACAAAATAACAGTGATGCATTGGAAGGGTACTCTCTGCTAAAGAATTGAGATTGGAAATTGAAGCAAACAAAGGAACTTTCTCTTCTGTACTTTTAAGGTTTATTTGATGAGTTCCATTACATTTCAAAAATATTGTCATTTCTTCTCTCTCTCTCTTTTTTTTTTTAACTCGTCTGTATTTTCTGCAAGAATATTAAAGTTTTGATTTTTATTTTTTTTTAGTACTTCATTAGTTATTTGTTTCATCTTTTCATTTTTCTCTAAGTCTCCCAAGATTCGTTTAAACGAATATAAACATTCTTGTTAAGATTTGGATCCATATTTTATGCCAATTACCATTAACAATCATTATCATTGTAAAACCTTAAACTAAAACAGAAACTAATATATTTAAGATGCTTGCTTATAATACCTGTAAATTTGATAGAGTATTTTATACTTTTCTTATATTAATGGGTGTTTTGTTTATATTTTAATGATAATATTTTAATAATAAATTATAAGGTAAATATTTGTTTTACATGTAAATAATTTTTTACACAGAAAGTAATCGTTAAATCGTATAAATAAATATTTACATCACATGACACATAAATTTCGCACACAAACATGTGAATCGCGCTGGTTTATTAATTGCATGACCTTGACCTCACCGCTTCAACTTGCCACGGTAATACCATATTATTATTTACAATTATAATATTATTAATTTTTTACATTAATTTTAAATATTTAAATATTTTTAAAATTTTTTAAGAAGTCCTATGTTTTAACTCGATCTTATATAAACTTCTTTTATGTTAATAATAATCACAAATCCACAGCAAAAATTATTTTTAGACCATTTAAAGTTAGGACTATATATATCCAAGCATTTTTATTATTATTTAATTCATCCTTTCTTTGCTTGTGGGAATAATCAGAAACAAACGGTACATTTGAATGGATGAGAAAAAAAAAAAAAAAAGATTATACGCTTAGATGTAAAAGAAATTAGGAAATTATTTTTTGCATATTTTATTTTTAAAAATTATATAAATAATCTTTTTATTGAAAAATAAAAAAAAATTATTTTTAATGATTTTATTAATTATTTATTTTTGCTCATTTTTTTATTCATTTAAACAAGAGAAAAGAACTTTTTTTTTTCTTATTCCAACTCATTAATATCAAATTTGTGTTATTCTATTTGTTACTATTTATTTCTTTTACCTCTGTTTTTTTTTTTCTCTTTATTTTCTCTCCTACCCAGGTGGAACATAAGGGTAGGAATGAATTATCGTGATCTACGTGCTTACACCGTGAGTTTCGATTGTGTAATGTGATAAATAAATATATATATATATATATATATATATATATATATATATAATTTAATTTTAGGTATAATTTCGTTTTGTAATTTTAAAAATTTTATCATTTTAATTTAATATTTCTTTCGATTATTTTTATAAAAAACAAAATAAAGTACTTTATTAGTTCTAATTATAAGAAATATAAAATACATTTAAAATGTATTAATTGTTAACTCTTTTATATTTTTTTTAGTAATTTCATTAAATATATAAGATACCAACTACAACTACATTATGATATTTTTAAAATATATAACTAATTTAATAACTTTTCTTAGTCTTAGTAATTTAATTTTTTATTTTTTATAAAAAAATAATCTCCACGCATTGACTTGAGCTTTGAAATGTCACATTTCTTAAGGTGGACCATTTAATTCCGCTTGTCCTATACTGCTATATATATGGAAGCAATTCTCATTTTGGTTTCAACAGAAGTTGGATGAATTTGAGATTTTGATAATCAGTGTATTGTTTTGTTTTTTCTTCTTCTCTTCCCATTTATTAATATTTTATATATAACATATAGTATGGGTAGCGTACCAAAATGGATTATTACCTTCAACGTATGCCTTATTTGCCTTCATTTTTTATTTATTCCCAGCAACTCAGAACTACGTCCATTTCTCAGAGACAAAATCTCTACGGACAACAATCCTGGTAAGTCCAAAAACTTTGATTCTATGTGAACTTAATCGTATGAAATGTTTGTTTGTTTAATTAAGATTCTCTCACCCTTAGAATGACATGGGATCAAAGAGATGACACTCATTTATTTTCTGATAAACGCTGGCAACAAATTGTAGGATTCATAAGCATTGACTGTGGAGCAAGTAGGGATTACGTGGACGAGAAAACGGGTTTTTTTTATCAGACCGACAAAGATTTTGTAGAAACGGGACAAAACTTTGAAGCATCACTCAATATTGTTAACGTAAACACCCCTGATTTTGGAAGAAAAATACACACACTAAGAAGCTTCCCTGAGGCAGATAGGAACTGTTATACGCTCAAACCCAAACAAGGTAAACACCAAAGTTACCTTATAAGAAGGGCATTCTTTGCATATGGAAACTATGATGGCAAAAATCAAACCCCATATTTTAATGTGTATCTTGGGATCAATTATTGGGACACCGTTGACATGGATATGTATTATGTTATTCCAATATTGCTGTCTCCAACTTTATCATGTGATGCAGCAAGGTCACCACCATGTAATGACCCAAAACCTTCAATACTCATTTTCTACCCTAATATTTCTCTGCTTTTCATGATATAAGTATGCATAAAATAATTAAAACTTGACAAAGTAAGATTTATAACTAAAAAATGGAAATATTTGATTTTATTGAAAAAGGGTAAAATAGATAATAATATTTTATGAACACACAATTCAAAGAACAAAAATTCATTTCCTTTAATTCTGAAGTGTACATGTGTATATATATAAAACAAAAGCTACAAAAATATGTGAAATAAAAAAAAATTAATATACAATATCATATGTAATATCAAGTTTTTATTGTAATAAAACTAGTAAAGCAAACTGAAACTATATATAAGTACTTTTGAAACCAACACGTCATTCCTTTTTCTCTAAATTTGTTTAGCACAGAAGATTATCACCCTCCCTTCACGAGAGGCAAATGAAGTTTGCACCACGCACACAGTAGTCAAGAAACGAATCTCTTGACCCAGCGATGATATGACAATAAGAACTAGCCGTTCAAAAGCATACTGTTAAAGACATGTATGTATGTGTGTATATATGCTAAGTCTAACAACATATCTCACAAAGTATGATAGCTGATACTTTGCTTTGAATAAAGTTTTTGGTGAGCTCATGTTCGTCATTCTTCTCGTTGCATAAGCTCGTGTGCATTGCATAAAGCATGGAAATAGGACCACAATGGATTGTCTCCTCAAAGTTGAACACATGGCTATGGTTTGTCTTGGTTCCAATTTTCATTACTCACGCCAGCTCAAGACTAGACAAACCTGTTGGAAGAGAAATTACCAACGATAACCATCCAGGTATCTACTACTAATTAAGTACTAATTTGGCTCAAATTTTTGGAGTATTTGAGTACATTGATGTACAATGTCTCGAGTATATCCATGCAAAATGCTAAGTTTTATTACTAATTTGTTTAGTTTTCTATTTCACGCATCCAAATTATGTATCTTGTTGACTTTCTTCTCTAACTTGTTAAATCTATTTTATAAAGTTTTGTTAAAAAATTAGAGTTGAAATGATATCTAAAACTAAAGATAGAAATAAGTTAAGTGAGTCGTAGAAAGTCCCATGGCTTCATCCATATTTTACCTAAATTAAGTTATGTTTATTTACTAAAAGCGTTAAGTTAATTTTATTTTTTTTTGACAAAAAAATATCTTATTATTATTTTTATAAATAAGTCACTTTTTATTTTAAAAAATTCGAGTTTAGGTTATTCACGAAAACTTTTAAGTTTAATAAATCCACGCATTGTGCTAAACTCGGTTTTCTAGCTAGCTATATCATTCTTACAATTGTTGAAAAGATGTGCTGAAGCTTTTAATAGGCTTATATTAGAATTGCTAATCATTATTAACGGTCAAAATAGTTAACATATTTCTTTTATATATATATAGGAGAATAATCTTTTTACACCAGTATAAGTCTAAAAATTCTTACACTCAATCTGAGTCTTTCATTTAACTTAAATTTAATGGTCAGTGAAATAATAAATTACAATCCGTAAGATTTAAGTTAAATGAAAGATTCAGATTGAGTGTAAGAAGTTTTAGACTTAAAAATATTTTACCCCATATATATATATATTATTTACCTAGGTATTGTTACATTGTTATTTTATTTACAGTAATAGAAATTCAACTAACGGTTTAAAAAGGATAGCTTAAGTATTGTTATTCCAATTCTTATTACAGCAATCATTACAGAATTCTATTTTTTTTAAAGTTTAAATATACTTTTACTACCTTTAAATAAGGCTTATTTCGAATTTCTACCTATAAAAATATTTTTTTTATTTTAATACTTAACTATTTTTTTTTATTTTGCATCTGACGTTAAACTTCATCAGTTAAGTGGTGACGTGACTCTTAGTTTGTTATGTCATCTCAATCTCTCTCTTTCATCTTACCTTTAAATTTTCACATCACGAATGTTTTAACTACCTCTAAATAGAGTTTATTTCAAATTACTACCTATTAAATATATTTTTTTATTTTAATGTCTAACTAGTTTTTTTTAATTTTATATTTAACGTTAAACTCGTCAACTAAATAGTGACATTACTCACAATTTATCACGTCACCTCAATCTCTCTTCTCCACCTCACTCTTAAAATTTCAAAAAATTGTTGTTGAAAGAAATAAGGTGAAAATTTTAAAATATTTAGTGTTTGTTCTTTGATTTTTTATTACCATTGTGAATATAGTGATTGTGCTTTGGTTTTTCACTTGAAAATAAAGATTAAGAATATACCCCTTTAGGGTGACATGACAAACTGTAAGTCACATTACTATTTAAATAACAAAAGTTAACGTCATGTATAAAATTGAAAAAATATAATTAGGCATTAAAATAAAAAAATAAATTTAATAGGTAATATTTGAAATAAGCTCTATTTAAAGGCAGTTAAAACATGTGTGACATAAAAATTTAAAAAGGAGATGGAAGAGGAAGATTGGGGTGACGTGGCAAATTATGAATCACATCATCACTTAACTAACAGAGTTTAAGGTCAGGTGCAAAATTAAAGAAAAAATTAGTTAGATATTAAAATAAAAAAAATATAGGTAATAATTTGAAATAAATCTTATTTAGAAGTAATAAAAATACATTTAAATCTTTTTTTTAAGTGTGAAATGAGTGTGGGAAACAGAGATTGAAAAACCAAAAAAAAAATTGTAATAACAAAAAAGTTATTCTATTTTTATGCTTATTAATTTATCATTCTCTTAAATTTATAATAAAAACTAAATTATGATGATTATATTCTATTTATCAACAAACATTTAAAATAAAATAAGATAAACTATTAATCAACATGTCATATGAGAAATATCATTCTTTAAGACATGTTTTATCACTATTCCATTATTAACTTTTCCAAAATGCAAAGTTCTATTCATCAATTCAAGCTTTGTTAGTATTTTTTTTAAGCCATGGTTGAGATTGATTAACTCATATTTGATATTCAAGTGACTATGAAAACACTTTATTTAGAACTTGTCAAGTCACCTTTCTATGGTCTTATTTATAAAAAAAATTATTTTTTTTTAAATTATTAAAAAAATATTCATTTTTCGATATATTATTTGTTAAATTATTTTTATATAGTTAATTTTTATTTACCTTGATTAATTATTTATTTTTAAAAAAAGATAAAAAATATTATTTAATAATATTAAATAGTATATTTTTAAATATTCTATTTTTATTTTGTTAATCATTACTCATAGCAAAACTATATAAAATTAATTTACTTACACAAACCCACATATAAGTCTTTATTATTATAGTGATGATTTAGATGTGCAGATCAATTAATTTAATCTGAACTTATGCAAATAACATTCTTCCAACGTAGCTCTTCTACTTTCACATCATATAATCTGACATACATATTTTATAGATTTCATAAGCATAGATTGTGGATCACCCAGAGATTACTTGGATCAAGCAACTGGAATTTGGTATCAGACAGACGAAGGTTTTGTGGAAACAGGAACAAATCATAGGATTTCATCAAGTGTGTTCTTCGACAATCCCTACTTTGGGGAACAATTGAATACACTGAGAAGCTTTCCAAAGGGAGACAGAAACTGCTACACCCTAAAACCTAAACAAGGCAAAAATAATAGCTATTTAATCAGAGCTTTCTTTGCATACGGAAATTATGACTCCAAAAATGAAACCCCATCTTTCGACTTGTACATTGGGGTCAATTACTGGCATACAATAAATGAGGACCAACATCATTACATCTTTGCCGAGGTTATTCACACTCCCTCAAGTGACACTATACAATTGTGTCTTGTAAAGACTGGACCAACAATACCTTACATTTCTACATTGGAATTACGTCCTTTGAACAATTCCATTTATCAGACTACTTCACAAGCGCTACTGCATCAACATTTAAGGATCGATGTTGGCTTCCATGGATGGCCTCTTCACTCCAGGTAATATCATCAACCCCTTACCATGATGAGTTAGTGGACGTGAGTTTTTCTCTCATTGCTGCTAATGTAACAAAAATTAATAAATTGCTACTGAGACAAATAAAAATAATCTCTTGCTCATTAAATTTAGACATGATATTGGTACAACTGACAGACTATTCGAAATTCTAAAATGACTACCCTATGTGAATCATGTGAGACAGCGTTAATAAAAATGAGTTTTGTTGACTTTAGCTTATGGTTGAGAATAAATAACTAATAATAATAAATTTTTTTAGAAAAAGAAAATTTATTCTATTTTTATAACTTTAATATAATAATAGAGTATTTTTTTATAAAAATATTTTATTTTTAAATATTTATCCTCAATTTTATAGGCTAAGGTTAGCAAAATATAATAATAATATCATTATAATAATTGTTATTAGCAAATAGTGGACTTATTTGGGTTAGTTGGCACTTGACTTAGTTTTTGATTGAGTTGGGTTAATAACAATTCAAATTTATATGGGTCATTCCTTAAATTTAATTATTTAAGTCCTACCCTTTAATGAGAATATTTAGGCCGACTCATTATATTTAATCACCTTTTCAATTCACGATTGTGGTCAGCACAACTCTCGTAAACAAAATAATTTCACCATACACTCCATTTGTGGTATATGAAGTAAAAAGAAGAGAGAAATAGAAAGAGAGAGAGAGAGAGAGAGAGAGAGAGAGAGAGAGAGAAATTGCGATAGATGGTGTAGTATGACAAGAAAAAAAAAAGAGAAAAATGAAAATTTTGGCAAGAAAGATATAAAAATATTATACAAGTATATGAATGAATATAATTACTGTAAAGAAAAAAAGTAGTGCTCAATATTTTAATATTTGAAATACAATGAATGTTAGTCAGTATTTACCATTTCTTTGCCATGTATCATATTGGAAGAAAAATGGAGGATGATTTTTCATTTTAAGTTAATATTGTAGATATATTATTATAAAATCTCTTGACCTTTTATACACAGTTCTATTACGCCAAAACGAAAGTTTAAAGTTGCTTCTTTTTCCCAACAACACTTGAATCCAAATGTAAACAACAACAATAATAATTGTAAATCTTTTAGGTACAAAGATGACGTCTATGATCGGATGTGGCGATATGACCAATATAACGATACAAATGGATGGCATCCTTTAGACGAATCAATTGATGTGGATCCTTCAACCAGTGCATATAAATTGCCAACCCAAGTACTAAGGACTGCATCCCAATCACTAAATGTCTCGTACCCCTTGAAATTTGACTATAGTTCTTTGTTTGACGACCTGGATACAAATTATGAGTATCGTGTCTACTTTCACTTTGCTGAAATTGAGGCACTTCCACCGGGTCAAAATAGAATTATCAATATCACCCTTAATTCTAAACCCGTCCTCTCACACCCTTCGGTTCTTCAATACATGAAGCCAGTCACCATTAGTCCTCAAGATGCAGTCCGAGGTAGAATTTCATTTAGCATTAGTGCAACGCCAGAATCTGCTGCTCCTCCCATCCTTAACGCCTTTGAGGCCTACAAGTTGATACCCGGTCTTTATTCCCCAACAGACGCTCGAGATGGTTTCTACTACTACTATATGTTGTCTTGTTGAAGAATTAACTGTTTAAAAGAGCCTGTTGCTAACATTTTTCATTATGTTTTAGCTGGTGCTATTATGGACATTAAAAGCGCCTACCATATCACTTGGCTAAATTGGCAAGGGGACCCGTGTCTTCCAAAGCAATTTGCATGGGAGGGTCTCACTTGCAACTCTGACACCAATCCCAGGATCACAGCTCTGTGAGTACTAAGCTTCTTCAAGTCACTGTATATACTATCTAGGGTGCAAGGGTTGATTACTGCTATTAGAAAAGACGTATAAAAAGAAAGGAGAAAAAAAAATTTACTTGTGTTTAACATCACCGTAACACATTAATCCTAGTGGAAGATTATAGCACCACACATTGTCCAAAAAGTGCGTGTATAAATTTAATTTCTTCTTCTTTTCATGTATTTATGCATTTCTCTGTACTTTTGGTTCAAATGACTTGTTGATGAATTCATGTCAAACATACAAGCAGGAACTTGAGCTCAAGCAAATTGTCAGGGGAGATAAATATTTCATTCTCGTATCTTACAGAACTAGAAATCCTGTGAGTAGTTATTGTTGTGGCTGATTCATTTTGTGCTCATGAATTTACGTTTTTTCTTATGCTTTCATCTCAATAACTCAATTAATGGCAGTTACCAGATGAAATAGTAATTTTAATTCAATAATAGAACAAACAATATTCATAATTTTGTATCTATTTTTTGTCCTTTCTGTAATCTACCCACCTGAATTTAATCCATAATGCGTTACAATGTTCCAGGGATTTGTCATATAACTATTTAGAAGGACCTGTGCCAGAATTTCTGGCAGAATTACCCAAGTTAAAATTACTGTAAGTTTGGTGACTTTTAATTTCTCACCTTCCTGTTAGGCCATTGGGTAATATATATTTCACTGTCTTTGCAGCAATCTCACAGGGAACAAGCTTTCAGGCCCAATTCCTAAGGCTCTCAAGAAAAAGGCCGATACAACTCTGCAATTGAGGTTTCTAGTAAAATATTTTCTATTCTTTGGTTCAATTGTAGCCTTCCTTTTCATTCATTTGATAACCCCCACAATATTACGAATTGTGATTTGTTGATTGATGTAACTGCGATGCTGTAAAATATGTTCATATGGTTATACCAGTTGATGAGCGAAATATGTAAAAAGAAGGATATTAAAAATTTAATTTCTCCACTTAACATCGTTTATTATTTTAACACCGTAAAAAAATTTATATATTTTATATTGTATATTTCCTGAAGGAGAGGAAAAACTCTGCAGATTTTCATGAAATGTTTTGGACTTTACTTTCGTTTTTGCTTATTTGTTCACCAACTAAACTAGTGGAGACACATACAAAGTTTGTCATCAATTTAAAATGAGAGTTCTCGAATGCAAAATAAGAAATTACGTATTTATTTTATGAAAATTGATACAGACCCATTCCATATTAAAGTTCTTAATTAGTTTCTTTTTATTAGTTCAATTAACTACTAACCCACATGTAAGTTTTATATGTTAGTTTTGGGGGAAATCCAAATATTTGTACCTCGACTTCATGCCACAAGGCCAAGAGAAAAAAGGTAATGATTCCATTGGTAGTATCACTTGTGGGAGCCTTCATACTTTTGACAGCAACACCCTTTATTTTTAGAAGAAAACTACAAGGTACGATATAACAACTTCTCTCATTGATTTGGAGGTACAAAATTGCATGACAAAATCATGAACTGGCCAAATATTTTCAAATATATATATATAAATATCATCTTTGAAATTTTTTTAAAAATTGATAAAATCAAAAAGAAATTGAATAACTTTCTTACTCTTCGTTGTTTTAGAAATGTTAATAACATTATTTTTAATACATGCTTTGTTATCGATTAAATTTTATTAAAAAATACATAAATTATGTGATCATACTTTTTCTTTTAATTTAATATTTTTTAAATTTTGAATAAAGTTTAACCAATTATATACATTATCCCTCTTATTATTCTATTTAACATGCTAACAAAAGTGTATTAACCAAGTAGTACTATGTTTTCTTCTATAAGATGTGAACAAGTTGAGTTGTTCCAACACATTTGATTATGTGGACTCAAATACGCAAGAGGTCACCTACGGGGAGATTCTAAGTATCACCAATAACTTAGAGAGGGTGGTGGGTAAAGGAGGATATGGAACTGTCTACTATGGTTGCATAGGTGAAAGACAAGTAGCAGTGAAGATGCTTTCTCCTTCAACTCAAGGTTTTCAGCAATTTCAGACAGAGGTATTATTTGTATTAATTATTGATTCCCTTAAACTCTCACTATACTCAATAGTTCAAGTCTCTTAAGACGAAGGAATATTAACTCTGATCTGCAGGCAAAAATTCTCAATAGAGTACATCACAAATGTTTGACTCCTCTCATTGGATATTGCAATGAAGCCTCGGCACTCATCTATAAATACATGCCCAACGGAAACTTGGCAGACCATCTTTCAGGTAAGAAATATTTTCTGATTCTATTTTCTATTTTCATTTTCTGAAAATAGTTTTCATTTTTAAATTTTTAGTTACGAAGAGTCTTGCTAATATCCTGTGATTCGTTAAAGGATTAATATATTATAAATTTTTAGTAAAAATTATGTTGAGGGTACATTAAAAATTATGAAGAGAGTATTAATTTCATACATTTTAATAAACAAATTTTACTTTAAATTTCGTAATTAGAACTTTTAAGACACTGTGTAGCGTTTGTTATGTAGAAATTATATAAAAGTTAAGTCTTAGTGATTATAAAATTGTGTTGCACATTATTTTATTCATATTACAGATTAATTTCAAATGTCTTTTGCAAAATAATTTTACATTTTATTGTCATTATAAAATGACACTTTTTGTGAATGCTTAATTAACTCAGGAAAGTGATGATAATTTTTGAACTTGATTTTAGAAATAATTGCATAAATGACATTATTTTCACTTTGTTTCATGTGTTTAAAATATTTATATATATAAAAAAAAATTAAAGTCTTATAATCCTTATTTCTTATGTAAATCTTTTTAAAAAATAAAATACTGTGTGATCTTTTAATTCTTTTTTATTTTTTTCTATAACTATACTAACTACTTACATTTCTAAATTTAAATCGTATATATTGCATATCACTTATGTGACTATCTCCTCTTTCATAGCATGTCTGTTTGTTTGTGTTTTATTGACCAAGGTCTTGAATCTCAATACTCACAATATGCATGCAGATAAAAATCAATTTTCGCTAGTTTGGAACCAGAGGCTTCAAATTGCTCTGGACTCTGCAATAGGTGAGGAAAGGGGGAAAAAGTTGCGTTGGTCTTTGTGTTGAACCAATTCAAGCTTAACAGCATTACTATTCTATCTGCACGCAGGCTTGGAGTATCTTCATAAATGTTGTAAGCCTCCAATTGTACACAGAGATGTCAAGACTAGTAACATTTTACTCGATGAAAATTTCAATGCTAAAATATCTGATTTTGGATTATCAAGGATCTTTTCGAATGAATGTGACACCCATGTGCTAACAAAAGTTGCAGGCACCCCAGGATACTTTGATCCTGAGTAAGTTATAAATTACCATTTAAACTTTAGTGCACACATAACTAAGTTTAAGAAAATACATTTTTTGTAGTACAATTAGAAATTTCTGAATTAGTGTTCTGCGGTTCAAAAATTACAAATAATTTTTTTATTAAAAAACATAAAAACACTTATTAAGTAACTACATTAATTGTTTGTCATGCAGATACTACAAAACAAACAAGTTGACTGAAAAAAGTGATGTCTATAGTTTTGGAATTGTTCTCTTAGAGATAATCACGGGGCACCCTGCTATTTTGAAAAACCATGAGAACACACACATAGTTCAATGGGTGAATTCCATGTTAGATGATGAAGGTGAAATTGATACTATAATGGATCCAAGGTTACAAGGAACATATGACATTGGGACTGCAAGTAAAGTGGTAGATGTAGCAATGGCTTGTGTAGCTCCGAGTTCTATTAAGAGGCCAACAATGAACGAAGTGATGATAGAATTAAAACAATGTTTTCCCATGGAGAATCTTGATTGTTCATCATCAATTGAATCCTCAGTGGCACCATCAATTAGCGGAAAAAGTTCTCTCGAGAGGTAGTAACTTTGCAAATTTGAAAGGAAGAGGAATATATAACTTTAAAGATTAAGTTTTCCATCATTTTTATTTTTTAATTACAAGAGCTATGGGAGTAGTCAACATTTTAAAAATTGTGCTACACTACAATTGTCATTTTTGCTTGTATTAAGAAAAAGCAAAGACCCATCACTAGATCATTGAAATAACATTGACATATTTGATTTTACATTTATTTCAATATTATTAATTATAATTTTTATATTATATTTATATTATCAAACTTTTTAAATAGTTGAAAAGCTGGAACTCCTGCTGGAGAAGACAGACTCAAATCCTAAACATGTGAATTTGCCGTTTGGCAAAAGTTACTGTGACATTCTCTTATGCAAGCAAAAATGAATTAAACAAAAGAACTGATACTTCATGTGAAGACCTAACCTGCATTCATTTTCCCATAAATTCACCAAACGCTTTGTTGAAGGAGTCTTTATCGTGTTGTCTCAGAACTACAGCAACCAGCGTATATTAATATTCTGTATCCATTGCAGAACGTGTATTGTCTGGTGTGAGCCGTTGACCAGAACTTTTTAATAAATAAATGAATGTGTACTGATCAATATATTAATTTACTCTTTATAATTATAAATAACAATTAACATTAGAGTCAAAACTACTGTAATTTAAATATTAAAACTACCCTTGTTTTATAATTTTAAGAACTATAACAATATCTGTTGAAATTTAAATAAGTTTATGTATTTTTTTTATAAATTGTCAACATAATTGACAACACGCACACAAGAAAAAGTTATGAATAGTAAATTTTTATTAAAAAATTATATAATATTACTAAATTTAATGCATTAATAATATTATAGTCATTAGTTTAAGCTGGCAGTAGATTCTGGCCAGCTAAGAATTACTGGTTGGTACACAGTCTTGTGATTGAGTACTTACTTGGTAATGAAACTGAAGAGTGTGATGTTGCTGTGATATGAAATCCAACTAAATGGAAGACTCTGCCTCATCTGTCCACTAAAGGCAACCTAGTAAATGCTGATAGCAACTAGCACCAACTTTCATATGTTCAATTGGACTCTATTCTCATGATCCACCACTAGAAAATACAACTCAAATTTATTTGATGTCAAATATGATCAGGTTTAGTTTATAACCATCCTCTAAAGTCTGGTTAATGATACACATGGTGAAAAAAATTAATGAATAATATTTTATTAAATTATTAAAAACTTACCATACATCAATTTCTTTTTTATTTTTATCATCTAGCTAGTTTCAAATCAAATAATGATAGGTGAATATATTTTCAATATTAAATAACCTTCATTATCACTTGTCTTTATTTGACCTGAGAATGTGAGTGTAAGAAAATAAGAAACTTGTTTAAATTTTGTCTTTTTTATTTATTTATCTATATTAGTTGTAATACTAATTAACATGCGTTTATGGAAATAGATTATTTTAGAAAATAATGTTTTTTAAGTTCTTTCAAACCAAACATACAATTAATCGATTCAAATTCTATTAGACACTTGTTCGAAATTAACCGTGAATTATTTGCACCCGTTAGATTAATTTTTTATTCTGTCATTATAATCCTTTATTCAATGATAATTAAGGGAGTAAATTAGGTCTGAATGTGCCTGTAGGTAAAGGAAGTATTTTCTTGTTCTCCTTAATTTCTGCTAGATATTTTGAGAATTAATCACAGGAAAAGTATTTTCCTACCTGAATAATGCTGCTATATTTCAAATATAAGTTGGGCAGACACATCTACTTCATGATTGTGACAATATTTTGATGGTAACTAACAACTACATTTCAGTAATTAAGAGATATAACCTAATCTTTGACAAAATAATCATGATCATTTTAATCAAGTACTCTTAAAAATGGTATATTGAATTTCGGTCCTTTACATGTTATTCTAATATTATAGATAAAATAAGTTTACTTAAATTACGATTTAACTTTTCTGAAACCAATTATAATTACATGAAATAATAATGTATTAAATCAATCAAACTAAATTTTATATGTAAATAAAGAAAACTATAATATATAATGAGACTCCTTGTACTGTAGTTTTTATATATTGAAGAATTTTTTAAGTAACAAAGCAACAAGATTGAGCAAAAAAAACTTATCATTTTCATGATGGCGACTAAATTGACTATCAATAGTCTAACCAACTGTCTAATAATATTAAAAACCTATTCAAGCAAACTAAAAGTAATCAATATCGTATTGATGAACAATTAAAAAAAATCGTATTGACGAAATTGCAAATTAAAAACTAAAGTGTTGAACAAAGAAAAATAACAATTAATAAAAGTTAGGGATCCCACTTTACTTCCCCACTTCAAATTTCAATTGGGTACATTGAATTTTAAAGAATGTGTACTTTTAATATATGATTTACGTCTTTTCTTGTTATTTATTGAGTAAATTATACTATATAGTCTATTTTATTATAAATATTTTTTAATAATAGAGAATAATTATAAATTTATTTCTCAAGTAGCGATTTAAAACTCAAATTAAACTAGATATTTGACATGATTGATAAGGAAATCAGCCTGGTGACTAGTCTGAATGACCCTCAATCATATAGCTATTAAACTGATCAAGAATTAGTTGAATCAATTAAGAACTGGTAAACCCGATGTTAATTAATGGAAAATAATTTCAGTTTCTTTTTATGCTCCAAAATAATGTGATTTATGTAGGTTTATATAACTTTGCTTCATACTGCAACAAGTGTGTGACACCAAACCAAGCATCTTCAACTCACCTATTGGCGAGCCAGTAAGCAAATAGATTTAACCCCATTTTGTATAAGGCCCTTAAATACATAACTAAACGAGTCAACTCATGTAAACTCATATTTAAATGATTTTTTTTTTTAAGTTTACATAAACTCTACATATTTATATTAATTTCTTACCATAAAAATGCTACATTTGTGGGGTAGTCGATTGAGACCACAAACTCGTTTAAACAGAAAATTTTGCTCACTAACTTAAATAGGCTTGTTATTAAACATAACAATATTTTACCTAACTTAATTAGAATTGATAAAATAGGTAAGTTGAATAAGTATGCTTAAACACAAGACTTGAGATTTAAATTTTAGATCCAAAGATATGCATCTTGTTTTAAAATTCTTTAAATTTAGTGATCTAAATGCATGCAACTCTAATTCTATTCATTTTAAGAGCCTGAAACATGATGATTTAAATTATAGCATGCATCACTTGAAGTTAGATCATTGTCTCTATGTCACCCAAACATGTCTCTATACCAGAAGTTTTAGTTTAATGATTTTTTTAACTTGTACAATACACAATAAAAAGTTATATATAATTTTTTTACTAAAAATTATAAAATTCAATGTAACCAAATGCATTGATAATTATTTTAAAAAACTATTATTTTAAACAGTGAGCATGCTCACTTGTTAGTTTTGTAGCATAGGTAAAAGCCCACGTAGATGTGAAAAACAAAACAGGGAGTTGAATAAGGTGGTCTAAAGCAAAACCGAACCACTAAAAATGGTCCAAAGTGATATTACCACATTAATGTTGCTATATATGACTGAGATTTATAACTTGCTACCTAGAAAGCAGACAAATATAATAATATTTTAATTACAACTTTGTATTTATTGTAAAACTTATTTCTTATGAGATTTTGACGATCAATTTTATCTCTACTTAACGACTTCTCTATAAAAACTCAGAAGCACCCACCATCGTAGTACCATTCTCCAATGTCACAAACACCTTTCCGATCCCCCTCTTCTCATGGCCCCATCATCACATTTCTTTATTGAATACTTTTAAGGAACCCCCCATATCTAAATGAGTTCTAACTTTCAACTTATTGCCATTCACAAGGAGTGTCTTAGAATTGGTGGCGAAGTCCTTTCTCATGGCTTGCTCTTCCCAATTAGTAAAAGTGAAAATTTTGTGTGTTATTATTTAAGTACTATTATTATTATTTATTAAATAAAAGTAAAGTTTTATTTTAATAAATATTTATATTTAATGTGATTATAAAATATTGAGATAAAAATTTAATTATGATTAATAAATAATACCTTTGCATATTTAAATTTTGTTCTTAGTCAAAACCACTCCAAAAACTCCACATAGTGAAACAGACTTCAAATAAACACAAAATCAAATTTTGACCTCAGAACCAAAAGCCCAATTTGATCAAATAAATCCATGAAGACACACCCAAAAAAAACCATCAAAAAGCTTGCTTTTTCAAAAAAGCCCTAGAACATGCAAGTAGCAAAATCATGAAGTATAATCAGAGCAAGGGATGAAAATACTAACCGATTCAAAGCTCACCTATGTTCTGAGCTTTTGGATTAGAGATATCCCAAACATGAACATCCTTTGCATTTGGTTGTAACTTCTCACGTGTGTTCCTTTTGCGAGGTTAATGTTTCTACACTTAGAAGGAACATATTTCCCATCATCTGAAAGAAAAAAATGAGGCATTTCAGAAGATGAATTGACTGCTGCAATATTAGATGATAAAGCATTGCGATGTGTTATTCTAGAGAACGGTGCCTTAACTATGTTTTTCCGTCAACATTTCCTGATTTTCCTTCTGAAACAAAGCATTAGTGTTTTCTTCTTTTTAATCTAACTCACGTAATTCACCAATTATACAAGTTAACTCGTGAATTTTAATTTAAATTATCATTTTCTTATTACTATAAATTTATTTTATTATTTTAAAATTTTGAATGGCTAATTAAATAACCTTAAAATCTTAAAATACTTATGCAAATCAAATTAGTCAATTTGGATATTCTATTTTTTAATATCTATTTGAATATATGTATTCATATTTTTTATTTAAATTTGATAAGTGAAGCCAACTCACCAAGAAGTTAACGAGTTGAACCCAACTAGCATTTTTTACCCACTTGAAAATACTTAATATTAAACTCATCTGAGTTCACTATATCTAATATATGAGTTGCATGCATTAACAAAGAGAGGAATTTTTAATTATCCCAGAAAGAATAAACAAAAAATAAAAATAAAAATAAAAATAAAAACGGGGGAGTATACAGGGCAAGTTGAAGAATGAAGGGTGTACGTACTGAACCTTTTGATATGCAACGACCGAAATAACTCATGCACATGCTCCTCCATAATTATTCATAACCAAGATTGCTACGCCACCTCTCTCACACACAATCTCAACTACTTAGCCTTACCATAGTAAATGAAAGGAACCAAAAAGTCATAATATTGTCGAAACATAAAGAGAGTGATTGATTACTAAAAGAGAAAATTCACATACAAAAGCTAAATTGAATACTTATTTCAGCAAACTATGGATTACGATGAGTTAAAAGTTAAATAGAAGAAACAAGTCCCGAATGTATCAATGGAGGGTATGCATGCGTATGTATGTAATGTAACCACTCTACGCGTTCTCATTTAATGGCTATGCCTAACTCCCACCTTCCTTCTTCAATAGCCATCATTTTCTGGTGCCATATAAGTTCTGGTACACGCAAGAGTGATTCCTAAAGCAGAAAAAAGATGAAAAATACTGAAGCACTTGTTCTGCTCTTTGCATCATTTCTCTTTTTGACTTGTGCGTATGCACAAGACACCCTTGTGCCAGCAATCATAACATTTGGTGATTCTGCTGTGGATGTAGGGAATAATGACTATCTTCCCACTATTTTCAAGGCTGATTACCCTCCTTATGGAAGGGATTTTGTCAACCACCAACCCACTGGGAGGTTTTGCAATGGCAAATTAGCTACTGATATAACTGGTAAGGGAAAACCGTCATATCAAAATTGGAACTTGTACTTTAAACTAGATGGTTACTTAGAGTAGATGTTGCATGCATATATACAAGTTTCATTCTTGTTGGAATGTTTCCTTTTTTGCAGCTGAAACACTGGGTTTTAAGAGTTATGCACCTGCATATTTAAGCCCACAGGCATCAGGGAAGAACCTCCTTCTTGGAGCAAACTTTGCTTCAGCTGCATCTGGTTATGATGAAAAGGCTGCTACTTTGAATGTAAGCTTTGGAGTGAATAACTTTGTATATATGTGGTTACAAAAATTCTGTTACTAACTTGTTCTTTTATTCCTTTTGGCAGCATGCAATACCATTGTCTCAACAGTTAAATTATTTCAAGGAATACCAAGGCAAACTGGCCCAGGTAGCTGGCAGTAAAAAATCAGCTTCAATTATTAAAGATGCTTTGTACTTACTGAGTGCTGGCAGTAGTGATTTTGTACAAAATTATTATGTCAATCCTTGGATCAACAAAGCCCTCACTCCCGATCAGTATTCCTCATACTTAGTGGGTGCATTCACAAGCTTTGTTAAGGTATTGTATTATTAATATTTTGTTGAAGTGTTGCAGTTATTTTGTCACTTGTAGAATACATATTATTGAAGAATTAATGGTTCCACTGATTTGTTTTGACACACAGGACTTGTATGGATTGGGAGCCAGGAAAATTGGAGTGACTTCACTTCCTCCATTGGGGTGCCTACCTGCTACAAGGACTTTATTTGGTTTCCATGAGAATGGTTGTGTCTCAAGAATCAACAATGATGCACAAGGATTTAACAAGAAGATCAACTCGGCCGCATCAAGTCTTCAAAAGCAACTTTCCGGTCTTAAGATTGTGGTTTTTGATATTTACAAGCCTCTCTATGACCTTGTTCAATCCCCTTCAAAATTCGGTAGTCCACTCTTTGACTAAAATATATTCAACAGAATAACATTCATCTCTTGCACCAAATTGATGTTATTATTATTCTAATCTCTCTTATGATGTTTGATAGGTTTTGTGGAGGCAAATAGAGGTTGCTGTGGTACAGGGACTGTAGAGACAACATCCTTGTTGTGTAATCCAAAATCACCAGGAACTTGTTCTAATGCCACTCAGTATGTGTTTTGGGATAGTGTCCATCCTTCACAAGCTGCAAACCAAGTTCTGGCTGATGCATTAATTTTACAAGGCATAGCTCTTATCTCATAAGGACCTGTGATTATTTATCTTTGTTAGATATTATGGTGTACAACTACACATCGTGCAAGTGATGCAATAGTTTCCTGTTTTTCTTATGTTTCAAAAATTCTGTACTCTGTACTTTAGCTCTTGAGAAATTTTAGATTGAGTCGTTTGTAAAACTTTTTATAACAGATAAATTTGTGCTTATTATCTATAAATGCATTGATCTATTTTTGGTTGTTACACCTGGAATACCATGTATGAAAATTGAATCATGGAAAATTTAAAGCAAGGCCTAAAACAATCAAAGAATCTCCATATAACAAAAGGAAACATTAAATTAAATCACGAGGCCTAGGATTATAAGTATAACCCATCCGAAATATACCATAAAAGCAGCATGAAATTGCTATAGGGAAAAACTAACGGTTAGTTTTCATCTTGCAATCAAAGAACTTGACAAGTCCTGATTTACCCCTCCTCTTGCAACCAAGTAGGTTTGAAGGGGAAATTAATATTCAGTTTTGTTAACTTCAGCTGATTTCAAACATACAAAAATAGAAAGTTTTTATGAAAAAGAAAACATTATTATACTTTTTGTATTTTTTATGTAATAAATACTTACTTCTTTTAATAAAATATTTGTTACTTTATATGTTTAAAATCAGTCTTGAGAGTTGATGTTAACACTACTCATTAATATCAATTAATATTAACCTTGACAGCCCAAAAGTCAAAAGTTTCCATTTTTCAACAATGTCTTGCAATATAATTGAACTGAAAAATTAGTAGCTAGAGGAATAACTGGAAGTTAAAAATGTTTCCATACTCAAAACTGGGTTACTGTTCCTGAATGCTTTTCAATGATTATAAAAGCATCCTTATTTAATAATACATGGTCAGTGTCTGATCTGATCTGAACTGCTCCTAACAGCTAATATTGTATATGTCAGAATTGACTACTAAATAGCCTGCTATATGTAACATTCACTGTTGGAATAAACATAAAAGCTTTGCATATAGCTACTAAGTTAAAATGAACTATATGATGCTGATCTTCTACGTACTTTATGTTTGGTACTTCCACTAGAATCTCTTAAAGCTTCAGCATATTTAACCAAATTAGATTTCTCTGCGGCAGCGGATTCTGAGAAAGAATCAAGACGGTTTTTGAAATCTCCTGAACCTGTTTTCCTTACACCGAAAATCTTGGACCTTTTTGGTGTATGGCTGTCTGAATTTCTGCCATTTTCATCCTTCAAACACATTGTCCGAAAGTCATAGGAAGCACTAGAAGCGGCAGTGGGAGTTGCATACTCACTCCTGAGACTTTCAGTTCCAGTTGATATACTCAAGCTGAAATTTGAACTATTGATATCTTCTCTAGAGATAGACTTTTCTTGAGATGTAACACGACCACGTTGGTGTTGGCTCTCTTTACCTCTTATTAGCTTCATAAGCTTGCCAAAAATCTTTGACTTGCTTGTGTTGTTAACTTTGGTATCAGATGATGGATTATCAAGAGGAGAATATTCTTCACACTCTCCAGAATCAGTGAGAAAAGAAGCTTGGGAAGAGGACCATTGATCTGAATCCAAATCAGAAACACTCCCTCCTCCTTCAGTGTTTGCATATTCAAGTATAAGTTGCTTGGCTTTCTTCTCAGATGTTGGACTTAAGCTTTTGCTTAAGTCCCTTGCAGCTGTTTTACCATGTGGAGGTTGATAATTTCGTAGTTCATGTCTTAAGCAAGCATTTATCCAACGCAAGTAAACTAATTCTTCAAGGTCTTGACATCTGTCAGCATGTAGTTGTTCAACTTCTTTCATCAAACCCCCATTCTCTTGTCTAAGACGCTCTCCTTCTTCCTTCAAAGCACTTGCCTGCATCCAAAACCACAAGGTTAAATCGTGTTTATCAAACTGAATGAAGAGAGTATATTCAACTTAAATATGATTTCAATCTTTATCAATTTTATTTTAGGATGTGTTTAGATAAGTTCTTATTCTATAAATTTAACTAAATTTATTAGGATAGGTTAAAAATATCTTTTTTTTTATAAGATACCAAAAAATTTATTGAAATAAAGTTATAAACTAAAAAGATCTTACGAAAAATATAAATTGTCTAAATTATAAAAAATTTGAAAATAGTCTTTATAATCATTTAACAGTGACATGACATAGATGTAAGTCTTACCGCATCAACTATTATTATGAGGCGGCATATGACATCGCATAGCTACATATATATGCTATGTCAAATGCCACTAAGCAGTGACAGGATTATTTTTTAATTTATAAAGATTAAAACTAACAAGAAGTTTTTGAAGAATTAAAATGAAATCATGTTTTCAAGAATTAAAATCATATTATATATATTACATCTGGGTCTTCTAGAACAGCATTTGCAAGGATCTGAGTAGAATCCAATCTTCGAGCTAAGTCAGAATTGTCCATCTGCAGTCTCAAATTAGATTTCCTCAACTGTTCTGACTCAGACTCAAGATCCTTTAGCCTTTTAATTTTCATTTGAATATCTTGATCACTAGCAGCAGCTTTACATTCATGGTCTTGCAACTTGGCAACTTTTTGTTTCAGATTCATGATATGCTCCCTATTCTGTTCAGCTTCATACCTAATTTTCTTCTTCAAAAATTTTACTTTTGTTTTTGCAGCCTCAAGCTCAGACAGCACTTTTGCATGATCAGCCACTTGTGCCACTAATCTCCTATTCTCAGACTGTAAGGTCACAACTTTCAGATTGAACATTTTTGCTTCCATACTACTAATCTTCAATCTATTTTGGAGCTCCATCACTGCTGCTTCTTGCTCTCTAAGACCACAATACTCAAGAAGTTGAACCTCAAGGCTTCTCTCTCTCTCTTGAAGCATTCTGATCATGCTCCTTAGTTTCCGAATCTCTTGCTCATAATCATCCTTCTCAAGACTTGTTGAATATGCTAGAGGAGATCCTACTTTTGACCTTGGTGTTTCTACATCTTTCTTAAAAGAATTACCTGCAATGGTGGCTCCAAAGTCTGCTTCCTTTGTAGGATCATTACATTCAGGTAGGAGGTACTCATCTTTATCTGCACTTTGTTTTGTACTTGGAGAGAGACCAACTGGGGAATTTTTAGTAATCACCTTGGTAATGCATGTTTCTTCCTGATATTAAAGAAATTTAATAACCCTTTGTTAGTTGAACAAAAGAATCTTAGCAATTTTTTACCAACTTTCAATGGCTATTTAATTTTGTAAACTTCAGATTATGAGCAGATGATATGTCATCAGAAGGTTAAAGCAACATGTCTATTTGTTTGCACAAGTGTGTCTTAGATTAGACATAGTAATGAAAACAGAGAAGGTTCAAGATAAATTTCAATTGGATTTCAATTGGAAGTCAAATTTCTGAACTCCCTTCACTTGGTTATTCCCCCCCCAACACACACACACCGAAGTTAAGTTTCTACATAGATACATTGAGAGGGAAAAACAAAATTCTGCTAAAGCAGAAACTCAAAAGCGTTTCTCATATAGAACGTGAATTTTCAAGGGGAAACCAACCAAGAAAGGAGAAATTTTTCTCTTTTCCTTGTAACAAAATTATAAACTTTTGGTTTTAATTCCTCAAAATCATGTTGTGAGACTTCCAAATTCCACTTTATGAACAACGCTACAAGATAATAAACAAGTCAACAGTATCTAGGAAAGCTTGATGGGAAAAATTATACTCAACCTATAAACAATTAAAATGAGAAAGTTGAAATAACAACCAAAAAAGATGTTTTTTTCTCAGGTAAGTTGTTACTCACAGCTTCCAAAAAATTTTCATCTGCAACAGTGCTGCAAGAACTAGATGCTGCCCTTCTACCTGAGAAATACATTATAAATACAAAATATCACTTAGATTCATCATTCGAGAGAGAGAGGGGGGGGGGAGGGAGAGGTGTTTATATGTTTGATAAACAACCTGAAGCGTGTCGCCTGGGGGAAGTAGGGGAAGGCTTGATTCTTTTGGTTCTGATGTGAGAGTAGAGAAATCCAGCAAAGGTAAGAGCCAAAGCCAAACCACATTTGAGGAGAATAGGCTTCATACCCTTATCCTCCCTAGCTATCACAATTAAAAACCTTTTAGCTATGCTTTCCTTCATGATGAGAGAGAGAGATCATATAGCTCCTCTTCATCATCATCCTCCATCTCATGTCATCCCCTCCAAAAAAGCACAACACCCCATTTCTGGTTTACGCCTATAAACACAACAAACCATCATCAATAAGCAAAACTCACATATTCATCAGGAATATCCAATGTGTCCAAAACCATTAAACTCACATGCACCACGTCAAATCAAACATACAAGACCAATGGTATAGAAAATCCAACTTTTTTGAAAAAAAAAGTTTATGATACACAACTTAGAAGGCTTAATGAATCAACCCAATTCAACTTGTGCTGTAAAAAAATGAGTAAAGTAAAAAATACAAAAAAAGAGAGAACATATTAACATATTAAAAAGAACGCAAAAGCTGAAGCATATTAACATATTAAAAAGAACGCAAAAGCTGAAGCAATGAAACCTCTTTGTTTCGGGATATAGAAGAATAAAAATAAGGCTTTACATTTATAGGATCATGATCAAAAGCCTAGCTCGTGCTTAAATTAAAATGGAGTGAGAAGAAGCGTAGCGTTTTGTTCATGTTTTGTTTTGGTAACAGGTTCAATAGCGTATATGGTTGTCCCTCTCGTAGACAAAAGAACAACGTAACTGGGTATGAACGCAACCTTAAAGGAAACACCGAATATGTCTTTACCAACAAAATCTTCCTATTGATTTTTGTCTTAAGTAAACGGGTCATGTCACAGGGAGAAATAGAACTTGAATTGTGAACACAGACCGAAAAGGAAAAAATGGGTAGGAGAGAGAAAGCAATAAGAAGGAAGAAGATTCTAGTACCCTCAGTCAACAACCTATGAAAAGGTTTAAAGTGTTATAAAAGGCAAACTAATTATTAGGTAAATTATATTAGGTTCTAATTTATCCATCTTAGTTGTTTAATTATGGAGATGATTTATGTCGCTAGAGAAAATATAGTAAACACAGAATCCTAATTAAGTATAAATTCCCTTTCAAATCTTTTGCAGTTTTCCCTCCAATGCTGCTTTCCTCGCCCTTCTAAAAATTTTTACTATTTTATTATCATATGTATAAATTTTAAACATCTAAAAATATAATAATTCATTTAATATATTTATTACATAAAGTATAAATTTGTATTAATGAATTTTTTTTATAAAATTTATTATTTTTCATTATTTAAAATCAACTTCTAAAAACTGGATATAACGTTTTTTTTTAAATGTTAATTGCTCTCAGTCTTCCGTTAATAATAGTGAGAATTTATTTACCCGCAAGACTTGACAATTTATTCAGTAAAGTTGAAGATTGAATGTATTATCTATATATATTCAGATGATTTTTGTTCCTTGATAGTAATTTGGTGGTTCAAATCACATGAATATATGCATTAGATTTGGGGTTCAATCTCTAAAAAACCACCAATTCCTCCTCACTTCTGTCTCCCTCTCTCCATCACTATTTGATTTGAATTTGGCAGAAAAACTCTAAAGTTGGATTGATTTGAATTTTTTTATAAAAAAATTGTAGTATTTAATATTATCAATACATTAATTAAATTAAAATTTATGATTTTTAATAAAAAAAAATTATCATATATAACTTTTTATTATATACAATATAAAAAAATTGTTTAAATAATAAGATTGAATCTTTGTTGTTAAATTATACAATTACAAGTTCATCCAACTCGTTGGCAACTTAAACTTTTGTTATTTGTAAATTGACCTAGTTTTTATTTTATTTTTTATATTATTTGTAAATTGACGTCTTGACTCAAATCAATTTCAATTTAATCAAAATTATTCAATTTAAAAGGTTGAACATTATAATTTGTCAAATAAATAGACAAAATAAAGTTTTATATTTAAGAAAAAAGTTATTTTATTTTATGTTTGCATGAAAGAAATGAGTTAAAACCCCTTTAAGGAATGGACGAATTTAAACTAACGCAGATTGAGTTAGGTGTATGTAATAAATGTAGGATTAAGATTTTTAATGGCAATCACAAGGCTTTCTTTTTCAATTTGTAAGATGATGAAGCATCTCTTCCTCCACTTGTTTTAATTTCATTCATTCGTATATTTGGATTGACACTTTTCATCAACTAATTTTCGTTGCAAATTTAATAATTTCCTTTCAAAATGTTAATAAATAACTTAACAATATTTAATGATTTACATTTTTGTGTGTGGGAGAGAGATTATAGTTATAATATTCATCTGTTGAAACATTATAATGTTGTTTTTCAGGACATGATTATTCTTCCTTTGCTTATATAAATGCCACTCGATTATCTTTTAGATAAAGATTATTATAAAATTGTCAAAAATCAATAAAATGAAATTTTAATTAAAAAATCCTATTAAAAAAGGTAATGCATTCTATTTAAATTTGGTTGTTTTTATTTTGAGTAGTTTAAGTTTTTTGCTAAAATATAGTATATTTAAAAATAAATTATCAAAATAAGGGTTTTATGAAACATTTTCTCAATCTAAAATAATTTTTATCTCGTTATGTTGAGTATTATCTTTTACATGATCGATATTTATTTTTTTAATAATAAAATATTAAACATCAATTATATAAAATTTTATACTCATATTCTAATAACAAAAATATAAGTGTCATTAGTGTATAAATTGATACTTATTTTTTAATTATTAAAAAATAATATTATGAATTAAACAAGGAATGAATCTAAGCTACCCTTTGCACATTTCATTCCACTATTTTTTTTCTTTGTATCTTCAAGCAAAAGATCTACAAAGGAACTTGGGTCTTTCACATTCTCAAATTAAAAAAGCAAGAATTTTTTAGAATAATTAGAACCAAATGATATCATTTACTTTAACATATTTTTAACAGCACTATAAAAAAAATAAAACAGATTTTTAATAGTCTTTTTTTAAGCTATTTAATATATTAATAATTTTAAAAATTATTCATTCATGAACGCTATAATCACTTACTCCTTTAGTATTGACATTCTTACGAAACCTTTTTTTTTTTTACAGTTAGTCAAAAAATAAAAACAAATGTCAGTTCAATTTATAATATTATTTTTTAATAATTAAAAAAAATGTTGGCCACACATATAATACTTTTTTTATTAATAAAAAATAATATTAATTTTTATATAACTGATATTTAATATTTTATTATTAAAAAATAAATATTAATCACAACACTTAACATGACGTAAAAAAAATAATTAAAAAATATTTCATAAAATCTTTATTTTAGTAATTTATTTTTAAATTTATCATATTTTAACAAAAAAAAAAAAGCTATAGTTATATTTTATTCTTATAATTTTTTTGTATATTTCTAGTTTAAAACTCATGTTAAAGTAAAATAATTCTTTTCGGTTAAGTATGAAATTTGTATATTTTAAAATAGTAAATACAATATTTTATATAAAATAGAAATAAAAGGTTATAACATTGCTTTCATATCTATAATACATGAATTAATATACTTATGTTTATTATTTTGTATGAAAAAATTAAATATTTGAATGGCTGATTGAGTATGTGATGGGTGTCCAGCGAAGAATTGATGCTTCCATGGGAACAGGGATTGAATGCTGCGATACTGCCCCAAACTATGTTAAGGTGACATAACTTTTCAACTAAAACCATGTTTTAGGGTTGGTTCATGCAAACCCTAACCAGTAACTACCATAAATGGCAATGCTTGCTTTCACCATCTCTGGTTTCCCTTCAAACCACTCGTTATTCCCTCTTCGCAAGCCATCGCCAACAACAAATGCAACATTTCGCATTGACACCATCAATTCAACCCCCACTCATGCCTCGGAATTGCAACAGAACGCTTCATCCGAACATTTTGGAAAAGGAAATGCGGGTGGCGGAGGAAGGAAGAAGAAATCGAAGGAGAAAGTTCAGTGGGTTTGCAGCAATTGCGGATTCACCACTGGGCAATGGTGGGGTGTGTGTCGATCCTGCAGTGAAGCTGGCACTATGAAAGAGTTTCACGAGCCTAAGTTCAGTGATGGTGATAGTAAAGTTAGTGGATTTTCGGTTTTTGATGACTGTGTGGGGTCTTGGCTCCCACAACAAGAAGGTGAGTTGCGTCCCTTGAGATTGGCTGAGGTTAACAGAGGATTTGATCATCTGCATTGGAGAATTCCTTTGTAAGTTTTCTAGGCCTTAAAAAAAGAAAAAAGAAACTTGGTAATTTAGGATGCGTTTGGATGCATAATTTAATTCAACACTCATTCAATATTTTTTTAAAATGATGACTTATTTTATAATTTAATCATGAAATTTATTGAAATAAGTTTATTTTGATAAACAATATTAAAATGCTTATTGAAATAAGTTAAACAGAGCAGAGAGTCATAACTTATTTCATAAGCTCTTTTAAACAGACCTTTTGTTAGATACAATGACACTGGACACTCAGATGCGTAAATGTGAATGATGTAATAAAATAAAATAAAGATTTTAAATGAAGTCTCAGAACCAATAATAAGGATATTTAAATCTTAATCTTATCTTCTACAGTCTCATCTGGATTACGATCTGAATTACTTAGTCTATGTATTGGTGTTGGAGAGCATCTTAGCATGTACCTGCACTTTTAGTCTGAAGGTAAATGTGGTGCCTTTTGCAAGTGTTATACTGTGTAGCTTGCATGGATTCCAGGTCTGGTTCTTTTGGAAATGAAGTTTCCAGAGTGCTTGGTGGCGGTCTTGTACCAGGTTCAATCCTATTTCTTATTTACATTGAGAATATTTTGTTTTTCCCTTCCCTTTGTTCTGCGGGAATGAAGGATTTTTCTGCACAAAATTCTTAGATGCATCAGGCAGCAGGGGTGTCTAACACCATGATCTCCTGAATTTAATTTTTATTATTTTATGCCAGCTTTTAGTTATATATTGTTTGACAAGAACTGTGTTAGCATACCACTCTTATTTATTTTCATCAAACGTTGTTCTTCTGTTTTGACTGCTGAGATTAATCACAACTCTAATTAAATTATGCTTATCTTTGCACAATTTTTTTGTCTTGATCATGTTTGATGGGTATGACTAGTTCAAAGAGTTGCTACTTGGTGATTTATCTTGGTGAATGGATGGTCATTCTTGGTATTTCTGGATTCTGGATTTTTTTTGTGCCTCCCTATGATCCTAATATTTGAATTCTCCTATGAATGCTTCTAGCTAATTGTCTAAGGAGTTATCTTTCTTAATTCAAGTTCACTAGAAGCCTCATTACAAACTGCATTGAGTATTAATGGCTAACTTTGTTAATAATTCTTGGTTTGAAGGCTCATTGACTTTAGTTGGTGGTGATCCTGGTGTTGGGAAGAGTACTCTGTTGTTACAGGTATGAATTATGCTTGGGACAGTAAAACTGGATTTAGATGGTTAAGTTCCTTTTTTTTTACTTGGTAAACGCTGACTAATATTTGTTTTAATTATGATATTTGAATTGGAAGATTGCTGCATTAATTGCAGAAGGAAATCATGATGGTGTAGCATCTCCAGTTGTGTATGTCTCTGGTGAAGAGGTTTGCTTTAATGGTTTTAAATTTTGAAATTTATTAAAGTTCCATATTGCTGAAAAGCTCACAATGTTTGTAAGAGTTTATTCATTTTACTTGTACTTCTATATGATTGAAAAATAATAGAATTTGATGCTAAATTAATCTGCAGAAAATTACTGGTAAGCCATATTTCAATATCATTGACCCCTTGTTTCCCACCCACATAGTATTCCATTGTAACCAAAGGTGGATAGTGTAGCTTTACCTTTGATTTGCAGCTGTTATTTAGGGTTTGTTATTCTTTTTTATTTAGTTTGCATTTTAACATTAATTTTGGTATTTTGTGTGACAGAGCATTGAACAAATTGGTAACAGAGCAGATCGCCTAAGGATTGAATCAGATATTTATTTATATTCAAGTAATGATATTGAGGTGCTAGCATTTTCTTGCACCATTACTTTTTACATGAATTTTGATTATTTATAATATGTTATTGCTATCTAGAAGTTTATTTGACTTAAATGCTATTCTTAATAATTAATCAGCTTGAGTGTAGCATTGTACATGAGTCCAAACAATTGTTTTTCTTTTAAAATTAATTTTTTTATGGTGTCAGGACATATTGAAGAAAGTTCAGATTCTCTCCCCTGGGGCCCTAGTTGTTGATTCAATACAAACTGTTTATTTAAAAGGAATAATGGGAAGTCCTGGAGGGATTATGCAGGTGAGGAATCCAACCTCCTTCATTTCTACCTTAACTTATGGTCATAGCCATGAAGTCTTTATTTTTCATTGGAATATTTTTCATTGGAAAAAGGACAGCAGTTGTGATGCAGTAATCTTCTGTTGCTTTAAACTTTTTAATTAGTTAATTTAGTCTACTTTCCCATGCCACACCTTATTCCATATTTGAAGTTTCATGAATAAGACAGGTTAATCCTCTATACCAAAAACTGCATTAGCCATACCCTTTTGACGGTGAAATGAAATGCTTGGTTCCATGGTTCATGACGTTTAACCAATGTTATACAGGTGAAGGAATGTACTTCAGCTTTACTGCGATTTGCAAAGAAGACAAACATCCCAGTTCTTTTGGTAAGCAATATGTCATCCAATTTTGTGGGCTATACCTTTTAGATGAGTTTAGTGCGTTGTACTTGAGTGGTGAATCATTTATAATTTTTTAAGCCAGAAAATCTTGCAAATATTTCCGTTCTTTTTTTTTTCATTTCTCATGGTTTAGTGTTATGGTAAATGTGGAAATGCTTTATTATTCACTGTATGAACCTAAAACAGCAGTTATGTGTATTATTTAATAATTAATTGGCATTGCTTGTATGATTTCATTTATGAATTTATGGATTATTTGTGGGCATTTCTATAAAACGCCTTTGAATTGTTGACATTCACGGCCATAGTTTTACTTTTCCCCAACTTTCTTTTATTTTTTTGTTCTGTATTTCAGATTGGACATGTGACAAAGTCTGGAGACATAGCAGGACCTCGTGTCTTGGAGCATATCGTTGATGTTGTTTTGTATATGGAAGTTGGTATCTTGTCACATCTTTCTTTCTTTTTAGGGATTGTTGGTAAAGCTGATTTATACTCATCGCTGTAGTTTCTACGAAAATATTGTATTCTATAATTTTGTAATTATATTCTGAAATTTGGTATTGCAGAACATCGTTTTTCCTGTTTCCTTTTCAAAATTTGATCTGAAATATTTTCCAAACTAAACTTTGGAAGTTATGTTTGTAACACCTTGCATTTGTTGTTCATGATACTTGGAGTTGGCTTTTTGAAAAGCACTGTATCTTCCATATGCTAATTACTCATTTCAATGTGCAGGGTGAGAAGTTCTCTTCCCATCGTATGCTTCGAGCTGTGAAAAATCGATTTGGATCCACTGATGAGGTATGGTACTATAATTATGATATGGATCTAGCATCCTTTCCTGATGGTAATGACTTTATTTCTATCAATGCTTTCTATTACTTTAGATAAAGTAACTGTTGGCAATATTTAATATTTGAATAGAGTGTACTGTGTACCGGCATTGCCTACTTCTTCTGGGGATCTGCTTTTACCTATCATCTGTGCTTAAATGTTTTTGACTTGGGCTTATTTACTACATATTTATTTTGATCTGCATTGCTATTGATTTATTTGGTCAGCTTGGAGTGTTTGAGATGTCACATTCAGGACTTCAGATTGTTTCAAATGCCAGTGAAATGTTTCTCAGTGAGCAACACTTGGATTCTGAAATTTTAGCTGGACTAGCTGTTGCTGTAGTAATGGATGGGAGCCGAACATTCCTTATTGAAATTCAGGTATTTTCTTTTGTACTTTGATTGTGTCAAATATTTTTAGTTTTGAAGCTCATTATGAATTTCCTACTATATTATTTAGAGAAACATCACCTCAACCCCATCACCCTTGTCATCAATACACTATTTGTAGTCTTTGGATTTTGGATCAAATATAATATACGGTGTTGAGGTGAAATAGCATTATCGATTTACCGCCTCAGCACCTTTTGTTGGAACTTGTATCAGGTTGAAACCTAAGTGCTAATCAGTGTGATAATGTAACAATGTATCTTTAATTAAACTTCTTAATTGTTGTTGCCCTGTAGTCGTCTTATTTCTCTTATTATTTCTTCACAGTGAAATGAAGCAATAAAAATATGCTTTCCTTCTTTCAAAGAAATCAAGTGTATGATTATTTACAATGTCTAATTTGAAGTAAATCCAGATAAGTTCTTACTGAAGTCTTCTGATCTACTTGCTTTGGCTTTCAGACTTTCAGTTTGTAGTGCTCATTTTTTTCTACATGTTAGAGAAGAAAACACTAGGAACACACCATCATAATGTCGTCAGCATCCTTTCTATTATTTTTTTCTACTCTGACACCTTCAAAAGAAATTTTTAGCTAATTCCAATCGTATTTTTTGCAGGCACTTTGTCTTTCTGGTTCAACAGGTTCAAGGCAAGTTAATGGGATCCAAGTAAATAGAGCTGATATGATCATATCTGTGAGTTATTGTCTCACGTTTTATTAGCATTTTTATCCCTCCTTCCATACTATATGCATTCACCCATCTTTTAATCTTCTCTTGGTGGAAAGTGAATGAAAAGATCTTGATGGGTATTGCTTTCTTATTCAAAGTATAATCTGGCAATTTGCTGCATTGAAATGAACAGTGTAAATTTGTTCCTTGAACTGCAGGTTCTTATAAAGCAAGCAGGTCTTCGTCTCCGTGAACATGTAAGCTGATTTATGAATGTGATATCATTTCAACATTGAAATTTTTACAGTATTAAATCCTCTGAATAAACAGATTATAGAAAAACAATGGGAATACAACAACAAAGTAAAACTAATACCAACAATGAGAATATTGACAAGTATGCGTGTTCTTAGTTCATTGATCTCTTATTTGGTTGCAAGAATAGCATAAGTTCATTCATTAGCCTACTTTGCACTCTTCTGTGGGGAGAAGGCGATACTAATGCGGTCTGCACCTTTCCTTTTTAGAATTCAGAATTTCAAAGAACTAGATAGACTGCAAAAAATAAAATTATTCACATTTGACTTCTCTTTCTGATTTTTGCATGGTCATCTGGAGTTTTCCAGCAAAACTGTGTAAATTAGCTTATCATTCACGTCACTTAACTTTGACTATGAAATCCATTGCCTGTTTGGTGCTTATAATGGAACCAGCGGATATGTATTTTTATATTTTTACTGATTATATTCTATTTCCTTGGCTTGCCTTACACAACAGGCTGTGTTTTTGAATGTTGTTAGTGGATTGACACTAGCTGAAACTGCAGGAGATCTTGCAATAGCAGCAGCAATTTGCAGCAGGTTCATGTTTTTTTATTATCATTAAAATGATGTAAAATATGTTAATCTGATGATGGGTCATTATCATCTGAGGATTGAGGAGGGTGTTGACCATTTCATTTCATGCACCATGTTTGGAGAAATGAATTTTAGAGCCACTATATAACAAGTTAACCATGTGCTTTTTCTCCCATTCCGGCAATTGTTCCAACCTCCAAATACTCTTATTCTAGATTTTTGTCTTAAGTATTTTAACTTCTTACATCTGTTGTCTTTTCCTTTTCCCTAGTTGCTTGGAGATCCCTATTCCAAATGACATTGCATTCATTGGTGAAATTGGCCTTGGTGGTGAGCTTCGCACGGTGAGAATCTTTTTTGTTATGTTAATATTTCTTTTATGGTATTTTAAGGCCAATTCAGATTCAGTAGCATAACAATGTGCTGAATACAATGTTGAGATTAGCCATTTGCCTATTAGATCTCATGCCTGGTGTCTTCAGTGTCATTTTAAGACTTCTAATAGTGATAATGCTGTAAAGATATTGTGGTATTGAACTCTATTATGGGTTTGAATTATTTGATCAGTTACAGATCTAGAAGGAACCAAGTGTTTAGCTGCTTCATTTTTGTTAAAAACTTTGGGCTTAACTCACTGGTAAAAGCTAACTCATAAGAAAAGGATCTATCTCTATTCTTAATTTATATGAGACATTTTAATACACCTTCCTCACACACTAGACATTTGTAGGCAGTCCAATAATCAAACTGAATAGGCTCTGGTTAAGAAATTTAAACCTAACTTAATCCCAAAAACTAAATCATAAAAGGAGGGTTGTCCTAGCCTTTATAAAAAATATTTTGACTTTATTTCTAACCAATATAAGACATCTTCACAATCTTCAAAAAAATATTCATTGGAAGTTTACTAGATTTTGATTTTATCGCTAGCTTCCACCTTAGATTAAAACCTTGAGGTTGAGTTGACCGAGATTTTCAAGAACTTCACACTGCTTGTATCCATTAAGTCATACTTCAACATAGTGGTTTATTTATTATTTATTTTGCATTCTTATTTATGCGATGATACAGGTTCCTAGAATGGATAAAAGGGTCTACACCGTAGCAAAATTGGGTTACAGAATGTGTATAGTACCCAAGGCGGCTGAAAAAGCTTTAGGAACTGAAGGTTTAGAAAAGATGAAAGTTGTTGGTTGCAGGAATCTGAAAGAGGTTATGAACACTGTATTTCCCAGTATAATGAGAAGAAGCTAGTGATTGGTCACACACAGGATATTTGTGTTGTGCTTGTGCAGATCTTTCATATTAATCTTTTAATTTGTATGATGTAAAGTATGACTTGTTATACTTTTGTAAATATATAGCTTACTTACAACAAGATTTGTTCCAGGTATTCCAAGTATCCTTTTTTTTATTCATTAAAATTTGCAGTAAGTTTAAATTTCCTCAACCATTGTAATACATAACAAGAATTTAAGACCCGAGTTTTCATACTATAATATGGGCTATACTTATATTCAAGTGATACTGCGAGGAGTGGTGTAATTATTGAGATTATTTACTTTTAAAAATGGTATTGTAGCGGGCGTGTAAATTCGTCTGAAAGGTTTGTAAAAATAAATGGCCATGGTATGTTAGACATCACAATAAATAAGAATTTCAATTTTTTTTTAATCGTTGTTAAAACGATGCAACTTCCGTGCTTGTTTCAGTGAATTTTTTTTTTCAGGGTTATTTCAATAAAATTTTATGCATGCTATTTTAAAGTTAAACAAGTTAACCCATATATAGTTTTCTAATGACAAAACATTAAGAAGGCAAGTGTCCACACACAACACAAATAGATAAAAACACCTTACTAGGAACTAAACAAGTTGGTCTGTTCTTCTCATTTAGTCACGAGTTGCTTCCCGCTTGATGCGTGGTGTTGCGTTCTTGGTTGTGTTTCTCCAATGATGTCTTTAGGATTCAAGAAACTAGGTTGATTGGTTGAAGATAGTAACCTTGCCCACATACGATCAGTTATAACTACCTTCTTTTGTCTCTCATTTATACGCTGCACATTACACACAAGTTTAGTTTACAATGAACAAACTATGCATGATTAGGAACTTCTCAAAGGATAATATCAAAGACATCAGAATAATTCATAATAATAATGTTGAGAGTTTTCTATCTAATTTTACTTAAATGTTTAGAGATAAGCAAATGTAGAAGTGACAATAACTTACATAAAATGGAATATAAGCATGTCTACCATTGACCGGGCCAACTGTGAAGCCTGTGTATCCAGCCATTGCACCATGAACTGCACTTTGAGCAAGGAGAGTGCAATATACATTATCAGATGCAATACTTGGAACAGCACGAATCATGTAGGTAGGATCTGCCACACACCAAAATTTCCGATTGGTTACAACATAAAGTTTGTAGTTATATAGGTAATACACAATCATTTGCACCTTTAAAAAGAATAGAGCTCACCAATGTACTTCAGATTTATAGCCATTTTTTTACTTTTTGTGAAGTGGTCCTACAAAATAAACAAATAAACTTGTTACTGGGAAAAACGAAAACTGTTATATATCCATGTAGCTAATATAAACAATCAATTCTAAATTTGATCTAATTACATGTGGTTTTTCTTCAGATGCTTGGACGTAACAATGTAAGATACTTGAAAATTGTTAACTATAATGCAAAAATAGTGACTCTCTCTTTTACTAGAAAACACATACTTCAGGAGTATTATTCCAGTTGTTTTACCTTAATCTTCTGGGATAACCAAAGACCAACATCTTGAAGTAACTTTTTGCCAGAATCATCCTGCTTGTCCATAACAGATAGGCTTTCTGAAATAAGCTCCTGACCTGCACCTTCAGCGATTACTATAACTATGTGCCCATTTTCTGTGAGTCTTTTCCTGATGAACTCAAAGAGTCCACCTGGACCCTCCAGGTAAAAGGGTGACTCTGGAATTAAGCAACAATCCACATCTCGGCTAGCAAGAGTCGCATACATAGCTATAAATCCTGTATGATTAGGTCATGTCAAATAACCATAACAACTAGTACTAAAAAAGAAGGAAATGATAAAATTCACAAAAGAATAACTACCAAAAGAAAATGAGAAAGGATTATGAAGAATTTTTAGCATAATCAAGCATGACAAGTAATCTTTCAGATCTTCCACTCTATATAATTACCATCAACTAAACTTGTAAATTACCATAATAATAAAGGATACATACCACTATTACGACCCATTAGCTTGACAACACCAATACCATTCTCAGTGCTTTCTGCTTCCACATGAGCAGCATTTATAGCTCGTTGTGCTTCTACAACGGCGGTGTCAAAACCAAATGACTTATCAATTACCTGATTAATTAAGTGATTTGTTTAAAATCAAATCCCTTTTCCTTCTAAGAAAAATAGCTTAAATTGTAGGACTTCGAAAGTACAATTCAAGCATGCTTACTGGGATATCATTATCAACAGATTTTGGAATTCCCACCACTGAAACTTTCAAGCCACGTCTTCTAATTTCCTGTGAGCAACATAACAAAACCTCAATAATTATATCAAAATTTAAATTGCTGCAAACTGCATACTAACATCAGCTAACTACCTCAAAAATCACAGAAGCCCCTCTCTGAGTTCCATCTCCTCCAAGTATGTAAACCTGATTAATTCCGCGATCCTGAATGCTATCAACAATCTTTGAGGTGTCATGACCTCCTTGTGAGGTACCAAGGATGGTTCCACCACGTTTGTGGATATCATTGACAACCTTTGGAGTTAAAGGAATAGTATTTCGAGAATAAAAACCTCTACAGCCTCCCTGCATGCAAGTGAATGGAAGTGAGGGAAAAGAGAAAGCCATGTTATACTTGAACCAAACACCAGAACCAAAAATCTAATGGTCGTGAAAATTTCCAAATGAAGCAACAAATCTGTCATAGTTTGAAATAAAGAAAACACGAAAAGTGATTAAAGTGTGGTCCATAAACAATACCTCTATTCCCAGGACTTTGTGTACTCCATACATATGGTATAAGCCGCAAACTATTTCTCTGATCACTGTATTTACACCAGGACACAAACCCCCACATGTGACAATACAAGCATACACATCATCTGACTCAAAATATACCTGGGAAGCATTCAATCATTCTTATAAGTTACCCCATAAATCACATAGAACATAGCTAGAAACCAAAGGTTCATCGTTTTTAAAAGAAAAAGAACCTTCTGACGAGGCCCAGCACGGCGAAAATGGGTTCCTCTTGGGCTATTCTTATGTATCACTATCTATACAAAGAAAGAACAAAACTTGAATCAACATTTGAGGAACACTACACAAGAGTACCACAAAAGATGAGAATAACTTGCCTGTTGCGCAACAGTATCATCAACGTTAACAAAATACTGCCTGATGAAGCATAAACCAATCAACTTTATCATCAAATTGAGTTACCATAGCAATGTGAAAAGTCACAACATAGTAACACTAACTAACACCAGGAAGAATCAATGTTCAATTTTACTACAGAAAGCAAGTAAGTAACGTACTTAACAACTGAATAGGAAGGATTGTCTTGCAACGGATTAGGATATGTCTGCATGATTATGACCCAAAAGTGTAACAAAAAAGAGAATCAGAACATGTTTGTAAGCAATCAAAGTCCAAAGACATGCATGAACTCATGCATGCAAATGTAGCACAGAGAATCATTATTTTTCTTCTTTTTCTTTTATTAAAGCAAACAAACAAAGGCATTTGGAGAAGAACAGCTTACAGAGAGATGAGGGATGTAGTCAGCTAGGTGAGGAACATCTTCAAGGATATAGCCAGCAACACCGGTGATGAGCTTGTGGTCTGAGGTGGCAGAATTAACCATGGTGAATGATGATGGTGACGGTTGATTTGGAGAGAGAGGGAAAAGGTTGCGTAATAGTAGTAGTAATGGCAGGGAATGGAAGAGAAATCAGAATATGTGTTGGTGTGATCAATTATCAAAGCAGAGGAATCTGAGAGAAGAGCTTGAAGAAGAGGCCATGAAGGTCGGTGGTAAGTGGAATTGGTATATATAACGGAGTGCAGGGGTGGATATAATCACAGCCGTTGGTTGATGAAGATGAATCATGAATCCAACGGCTAGAGATACAGGTGGGGTTGACCACAACCAAGTGTTTGTTACAACATACTAGTCCAGCGTAAGTGGATCAGAACACAGAAGAGAATGCTAGAACCAGAATGACTACCAAAACATGCTTGTGTCAATTAAAAAAGCACAATCCAATGGCAGGGTGAAACGTGTTCTAGAACTTTGAAAAATTTGGGGTTAAGTAAAATGTTACTCTAAATGGTAAATGGTAAAATTTACATTATGCTGATGACAAAGTAACAAAAAGCAGCGGTATTAACTATTTTAAGACAGTTTGGATTCGGATTCGCATTCTACTTGAGTAGTTAAAATAGTTAACAAGTTTCTCTTTTGTCAAGAAATAATTGTCTAGTTCAAAATGTGGGCCTTGCAACTTTTACTGGGGCAGATACTATCGGCCCAATTACTTTTGGGCTTGGTGGATAGTTGTTTAATTTGATTAAAACTAACATTAATATCAAGGCCGAAAAACAAACTAAAATTAATATTATTGACCATTTCCAAATTAATGTGGTTCTCTATCGTGTGTTGCCCTGCTTCATAGGCGTCTTGCTTTGCGGTGTCAGAAGAAAACAAGCACATACAATACAAGTTCTCTCTTCATTTTGATTTAGGGATTCATTCTCCTTCTAACTCGCCATGTACAGAGCAGCAGCTTCATCACTCAAGACCCATCTCAAGGTTACTACCACTACCATCCTCTCCTTTTCATCCCAACTCAACTGTTGTTCTTATTATTATTTAATGTTTAGAACAAGAAAAAATTTGGAAACTACCCAGATAACAAATTTTGATTTTGATCGGTAAAAATTGTTTTTTTATTGGTTTTCTGAGAAATCAGTTTGGTGGGGTGGGATATTGGACCCTTTTTTTATTATTCATTATATGAAATTAAATCCTAGGCAACCGGTGTTGCTAATTCCTAGATTGTTTTCCGTGTTACAAATGACTTTTTTGTTTATTCCTATGAAGGGGGGGGGGGGAATTGGTTTAATGGAGTGTTCATTTTGTGGTGAATGATGTTTGTGTGATGATGTTGTGTAATGAAACCTTGTGATTAGGGCAATGGAGGCAAGTTGGGATCCGCTAGGTTTGCCACTTCAGCGGCGGTAGCTACAAGGACTTCTTCAGGTGGTTTGTTTAGCTGGCTTACTGGAGAGAGTTCTAGTTCTCTTCCTCCTTTGGACATACCACTTGGTGGTATTGTTCTACCTGATCCACTTCCAGATCATGTTGAACCAAGCAAGACCAAGATCACAACACTCCCCAATGGACTCAAAATAGCATCAGAGACTTCACCGGTATGGACATGTTTCTAGCTTTTTGATGTTTTGATATATGTTGAATGACAACGTTGTTGTAAGATTTAATAGTGTTGTTGAGGTGTTTGGCTAGCATGTTGAATTTTTTGCTTTTCCATTTTGGTTGTTTATTAGAACCCTGCAGCCTCAATTGGATTATATCTTGACTGTGGTTCCATCTATGAGACGCCTTTGTCTAGTGGGGCTTCACACTTGCTGGAGCGAATGGCTTTCAAAAGCACAACAAACCGTAGTCACTTTCGTATTGTAAGGGAAGTTGAAGCAATTGGTGGTAATATAGGAGCCTCAGCCTCTAGGGAGCAAATGGGTTATACTTTTGATGCCTTGAAGACCTATGTTCCCCAAATGGTTGAATTGCTGGTTGACTGTGTAAGGAATCCAGCCTTCATGGATTGGGAGGTCAACGAAGAGGTATTTATTTTTCAGTGACTCTCTTTTCTCTAGGACTGATATTGTAATTCTTAAGCGAGAAACCTCATTCTTCATTTTCTGCAGCAAATTTCAATCTTTTGTGGTCTAGAGTATGATGGATAAACAATTACGTACATTCCTTTTATAGAAAAAATCATGGACCCTGTCATGTCGGGTGATACTCGGTTGTTGATGTGAAAATAGTTATGGGAAAATGAAACACCAATAGTGTCTCTTTATGTTTTTATACAGGATATTCCTCTCTTTTATGTATACCTACGCTTTAATTACCTCCAACAAAAGCATATGAAAGGGAGACAAAGCTATTCATTATTTTTCTTCAGTTACCTATTCTACCCTGCTTAGTTCTAACTATACTAAGTCGTGTGCTGAGTGAAAAATTAATTATTTCTTAGCCCTGACTTCCTTTAAGTATTATCTCCACTTTCACTTTCAAATCTTTTTGTGTTCCGAGAAGGATGATAACAAACGTTGGGAGAACCACACTGCAATAGCAGAAAACCTAGCCATCCTAGTGTGAGATCCCAAGGCCATAGAAAACCCACATTAGAATCCCTTATTTCCAATGTAGAACTTAATTTCCCTAGCTTGCAATTGGACCCTAACATTTCTTTCTACCTAGCTCACTAGCTGTGCATAGTCTTTAGACCCATATATTTTTAGAAAGCTTGGATACTAATTGATATCAACCTCAAGAGAACCACACCATGAAAACTAGCCATTATGCTGGAGATCCCAAAGACATATTAAAACCCATGATGAAATCCCATACTTTTCCAGTGTGGGACTCATGTCCCTTGCCTTGTAATTGGATTATAAGAGTCACACAATACAGGAGTCTTGATAAAAGCATGCCACTCCATTCTGACATTATACTATTATGTGCTGATAGCTGTTATGGTAATCCTTCTGAACTTTTTGACTTGAACCCTCTATTGGAACAGCTTCGGAAGGTAAAAGCAGAGCTTGGAGAACTCTCTAACAATCCCCAGGGCTTGCTTTTGGAAGCAGTTCACTCAGCTGGTTATTCTGGTGCATTGGCTTATCCTCTTTTGGCTCCTGAATCAGCACTGAACAGATTGGATGGCCCCAGTTTAGAGGAATTTGTTATTGTAAGATCTGTTATCCTCTCCGATACTCCATGAATTCTACTGGTATTAATTTATGTCTTACAACTTATTCAGTTATTCCTTTCCGTTTTTTTAATCTGACTGTTGCCAAATGTGAAAAATCAGGAGAATTACACAGCACCTAGAATGGTACTTGCAGCATCTGGGGTTGAGCATGAAGAGCTTCTGTCTGTTGCTGAGTCACTTCTATCCGATCTACCAAGTGTTCCTCGTCCTGAAGAACCAAAATCTATCTATGTTGGGGGTGATTTTCGTCGCCATGGTGAATCAGGGGTGCGTGAAAATTGTTATACAATATTATTTCCATTTTCTTGTATCTCATTCTTTTCAGTTATCGACTTCAAAGACATACTGTTATTCACCTGTCAAGAAATGTTGAAATGGCAGGCCACACATGTTGCTATTGCTTTTGAAGTGCCTGGTGGCTGGCAAAAAGAGAAAGATGCAATAGTTTTGACTGTTTTACAGGTAACCATTTTGTCTGAGTCTTTATGATAGAAATACCGTGCCTTTTGTTTTTCCATCTTTACTTCTGTTGCACAGAAAAGGAAGAAATGATTGAATGGAAATAATAATTGAGTCATGCAGATGCTTATGGGAGGAGGTGGGTCATTCTCAGCTGGGGGCCCTGGGAAAGGGATGCACTCAAGGTTATGTAAGTTTTGCTTATGTCCTCTTGTCTACTATTTAGTTTGGTCATCATCTATGCGCATAAACCTTGTCATTATTTTTTACTAACTTCCATTTGTGAAGAGTAACACTTATCTGCCTAATACCCACTTTGCTTTCTTCTGTCATTGTATGTACACACATTCTTTAACTCTTATATTTAACTTTTGCATGTACAATTGAGTCCAGATCTTCGCGTCTTGAATGAATATCAACAGATTCAATCCTTTTCTGCATTCAACAGTATCTTCAATAATACAGGACTGTTTGGCATTTATGCAAGCACTGTAAGAAAAACTCGCTATAGTTTCTCGGCTTTGTCACTTCTTAATATGTTATGCTTAGGTTGACACATCTGAAATTTGTGGATGTAGAGCCCTGATTTTGTGCCAAAAGCTGTGGAAATAGCAGCCAAAGAACTAATAGCAATTGCATCACCTGGACAAGGTTTTACTTATATTCTTTATTGTTACTGCTGTATTTTAATGACAATCTTTATTTGTGCAAAATTAAACTAGCACTTCTTGATGCAGTTTCACAGGTACAGCTTGACCGTGCCAAAAAATCCACAAAGTCAGCAGTTCTAATGAATCTGGAATCAAGAGTATGCTCTCACTTTTTCATTACATAAACTGTGATGTTTTAAATACTGTGGAAGATTTCTTTCACCTAGACTCTTCTTGTTTACGCACCCTCAAGCAGCATCAATTTTTCCAAATCAATTAGTCTTGCATACTGGTAGGAACTGACAATATATGAATATTATTTATCCATCTAAAAGGGAGCTCAGCCTCCTTACAACCCTGAAAAATCCTCCAGAAAACACCTTCAAAGCAAAACTATGAAAATTAACAAAGATACCACCTCAAACATACAATATCTTGTCTAGCGTTGCCACTGGCTCCTTCCCACCTGAACCAAAAAAGCCTCTTTTAAAAGTATGTGACTATATCATCATTGCATGCTTCTTCCTTTTTGTTGATTACCCTTCTCATTCTTCTTTTAATTAGATTTCTTATCAATTCTCATATGCTAAAAAATAATACTATTTGCAGATGATTGCATCAGAAGACATAGGAAGGCAGATTTTGACTTATGGAGAAAGGTAAACAATCAATCCCAGAAGACCTTAAGAGATTGTTCTTTTCATTCATGTCATCATTGTCATGTCTCTTTACCTTAAGAGACATAAAGAGACATAGGTTACTCAATGCTACCTTTTCTTCTCTCTCTTTGTAAACTGTAATATAAGAAATTTTTCTTATCTATTTCACAGGAAGCCAGTGGAGCAGTTCTTGAAGGCTGTAGATGAAATCACGTTGAATGATATCACTAAAATAGCTCAGAAGATTATTTCCTCTCCTTTGACCATGGCATCATATGGGGATGGTAATGAGTTTTCCCTTTAATTATTTATTTAATGATAATGCTAATCTCCTATTAATCTCTTCTTTCTTTTGTGGCAGTCATAAATGTGCCCAGTTATGAATCAGTTAACAGAATGTTCCATGCAAAATGAAATTGCATGTTATTGTGAATCTTTGGGTCATCATATTTTATAGATCACACGGGTGGCTACTCCCAATTTTCATGAGCAATGCTGAAAATAATTCCCAGAGAAATTTTTGTCCGGATCTGAGGAACCATTCATAATTTCGGTTCCGTGTTTCTCTCTTTCTTTTTTCTTTTTCTTTTTTTTTTTTCTTGTAACGATTTGCCTAATGCATTAGGTGAACGATCTCATGGCTAATGATCACCTCAATTTTTGTTTATTTTTGAATTTATTTTATCTTGTTTCGTGGCTAAAGAGAGAAGATAGAAAATTAGTTTCGAGATAATTATTAATATTATTATTATTATTATTATTATCTTAAGAGTAAAATTGGAAGAAAAAACTAAATCTACCTTCAAATAATAAAATAACTATTATTTTGAGAGAGAAAAAATTAGGTAAAGTATTGTTTATTGTCGGTAATAATTTATTATCAGTCTTTCATTTTAAATTTTTATTACTTTTAGAGGACTGAAATTATTAATATTGAAATAAAAGTTTTGGCCAAATCTAATTAAAATATTTTATCGGTAATATTCTAATAATATATGTTTCTTTCAACTTATTTTTAACGTGTTCTTTGATATTATCAATTTCATTCAGCCTTTGTTCTACTTTGGATAAATTTTAAACAGGTAATGAGGAGAAAAAATTAAAAAATAATAATCAAATTTTTGTATGTTAAAATCAATTTACAAATTTCGTGTTTTAAATTAAAGAACTTTTAAAATAATAAAAGATTATGAATTAGTTTAAATTTATAAATAAATATATATATATATATATATATATATATTTTTACTTTCTTAGCTCCTATAAATATTTATACAAATTAATATAAACAAAGTCTTTATCATTAATTTCTAATGGTATGTTTGTTTATATGTTGTTCGTATCCTATAAGCACAATATATATATATATATATGTGTGTGTGACTTTCAATTTATTCCAACTTTATTTGCATACGTAATATCATTTGTATATATTACCTTTCCATTGATTCATTACTCATGCATGAGTCTCTGTAGGACGACAATGTTGGCCATTGGCAGATCATTTAGTAATGGTATGGAATATCTCGTGCAAAACTAAAACAATATAAAAATCAATTCTTTTATATTTAACTCTTTTTTCTTTCTCTCCTTTGAATTTTTTATTAGCATGCTGTATTTGCTATATCTTACCAAGTATGAAACTATTTAGATGAAGTATATCAATTTTTTTATTTTGCTTTTTTACTATGAAAATCTATTTCTAACTTTACATTTTTTTTTTTTAAGTCTGCTTGCATTCAAGTCAAGAATATTTATAAATATAAATATGAAGCAAAAAATATAATTAATAACGTCAAGATAAATATACATTTATTATTAATTAGATGTGGGTCCAAAAATATTATTAAATATTTTATTACATACTATTAAGCACGTAGATTAATTGCCAGAGAATTATTTTAGTTAAACATGCAGTTTCGAGTTTGAATTTATACAAAGGCAGTAGAGAATATTCATATTACAGAAAGAATAAAATTCTCCGTTGCATAATTAAAAATCACATGCAATCGACAATATCAGAAATGAATCAATTAGGTGGAATTTTATATCATATTAATAATAGTTATTTTAAATAAAAAATAAATACTCTGTTATTCAATCAGAGTGGAAAAACGGGGTGTGGACTTGGAACTCGCACGATCTCTCTTTGCAGATCATTACTAAGAGAATATTTCGAATCAAACAATTTGATTTTTAAAATTAAATTAATCTCTTTTTTTAATGTGTAGTCAAAGACACACAAAATTCATTAATTATATTTTATTAAATACTCTAAAATATATAAAAAAAATACTAATTCAATGATTTTTATATTTTTGAGATGATAAATATCTTTATTTTTTATGAAAAAAAAGAGATTTTAACTGATGCGCTTGAATACACATTGAAAAAATTTAATTATTAATTTGAAAATTTATAAAATACCAATTAATTTAAATCTTGGGCATGTAACTCAAATCTGGTCTGTGGTTGAAGTGAAATTTTCATTAAATATTGAACAGAGATAATGATGTTTACAAGGGTTAGTTGGGGGTGTTCATCTACTAGCATCAACATGGTTTTCTTTTATTTGAAGAGGAAAACTATTGTTTAGCTATGGTTAGTTAACTACATACATCATCATTAAAGCTTTTGTATTATCGTTTTATCTTCGTGAAAGCACTAATTACTATAGGGATAATAAGATAAATACAAATCTAAAATATATATTATTTGTATGTTAAAGAATGATTCACGTGTTGGCAGAAAATTCGATTTAGTTTTGTCATCAATTAAAGTAAATTCGATTTGTACAAATTAATACTCATTTAAAACCAGCGTGGCACAATTTTAAATATTTACTTGTGTTGAATATTATTTTCCCTGAATTAAAAAATGACATTATTCTGCATTTGAAACGCAGTTCTTCTCGTCCCCTTGAAGCTTTGAATGCTAAGATATGATAATTTTAAGAAGTGTATTGTTCTTTTATAGAGAAATTTGAAAATGTTATAATTTCATCCTTATTGTGAATTTAAGATTATATATACTACTAATTCTAAAAGAGGAACATATTTATATTTTAATTTAGACCATTAAAATATGCTACGTGTCAATTTTTAGTTTGACTTCGGTATTAATAACTAAAAATTAAATTTTATAAAAAAGTAAATACTAAAATAAAAAATTATTTAAAAAAATTAAAACAAAAAATTTATTAAAATCTGAAAAAAAAATATTTAAGCTTTTATTTATTTATTTACATGAGGGGTTGACCATTAAATTTTTCTGATTGGATAAGAAAGTAGCTACAAGCCAACAATTATATACATATAAAAGAAGTATATTAAATAAAAATGTTTTTTTATGTAAAAACATGTGAATAAATTTTAACCGTTAAATTTTATTGTATATAATTAAAATTAAAATATAAAAAATATGTAATTCAAAAAATATTATCACTGTATATACAGAGAAAAATTATCAAAACATGGTATCGTAATCGATTTATTTTTGTCCAGAATATTGTTGCCACTTAAAGGAAAAATATTAGACAAAAAGGGAAACGAGCAACTCAAAAGTAAAAAAATTGTGTGAAATAAAAAGTGAAAAATTATTTACAGTTAATTAAAATATAGACATAATTTAACTTAAAGTACAATATAGGATCACTGGTTATATATATAGTATTTTCTCACTGTTAAATAATTTTTTTAGAAAAATAAAAAATTTGAAAAAATTATCAAAAAAAATTTAGAAAACATAAAAGATATATAAAAATATACTTTTTTAACTTAAATTTTATAAAAAAATTGCCATTGTTAATATTTGAAACTTTAGTTATTCAATTTTTCAATTTTTATATCTCCATTTAGAATCGCTAAATTTTAAACTTAATATTTTTTTAATTTTCTAAAAAAAAAAAATATTTTAATAGTTATTATTTCTAAATATCATTTATAAAAAAAATAATCATTTGTCTAAAAACATCCAAATATTATTTTCCGTAAATTTTTGCCTTTAGTGGCGACGGGTACAATAAAGACTGCGCAGAAAAAGTAGTCTGAGAAAATGTAAAAGTAACGAGCAGCACATGGTAATAAAGTAATAAAGGAAAGGAATATTTTTTTATTATTAATTGGAAAATGACACACAAGCCAGAAAATTCAAAATAATGACCTATTTTCCCACACAAAACCAAAAATGAAAAGTGTGTATACATTAATAAATTCTATATATGTGCTTGAGAGAAAAGGAAAAAAGAAGAAAAATTATTTTTCTTATAGTTAAAATAAATGAATAGCACTCTCTTTAGTTCATATCCTAAGTATCTAACTATTTCAGTTTATTTCAAAATATTTATTATTTTAAAAATTTTAGAAAGTATTGATTATTTTTTAATAGTATTCACATTTATTTATATCTCACGAGTAGGTAAATTTATAATTATATTTTAACTCATTGAATAAAGATAACTTAGTTTAAGTAAATTATATTATTATAATAATTTTTATGAAAAATATTTTTAAAATATGTTTTGTCAAAAGATAAATAATACGATATTCATGGAGTCAGATTAGTTTAACGTTGTTATGCATTAGAACATTGTCTTGTATCAGAGCGATCAAGACCAGACTCAATCCTATATCATTCTTCAATAACAGTGAAGATGCTCTAAACATACAATTTAATTAAATATTTATTTCTTAACACAATTGAATATATTATAAATCAATAATAATAAAACTTATTAAAATACATTTCAAAATTAAATATAAATATATATATATATATATATATATATATGCAGTTTTACTAAAAATATTTTTCTAAGCTGCTTTAAGTTTGTACTCAACTTTTTAGTGTGAAATAATAATAACATTATCTTTAGATGACGAAATTCTTTGACATCACATTTTTAATACTATCCTTCAGCAAAAAAAAATGTAAATAAAGGAGTCTATCTATGCATACCTTTAAAAAAAGTGAGTTAATATTTATTTATATTTAAAAAATATAATATTTATTAAAATAAAATAATAGAATAAAATGTTAAATAAATTTTATTTTTTTATAATTTTAATAAGTTAGTATATTTAATAATGTTATATTTATTAATTTTGTATTCTATTAAAAATAATTAAAATATTCAAATTCAAAAATATATTTCTTTTGAAAACTTTTAAATTTTTTTAGCATGATCATACTGTATAAGACGTGCTTTTTTAAAAATAAAATATAAATTATTTAACAACAATACGACTTATAATATAAAACATGTTTAAATTTAATATAGTTGTACTTAAATTTTTTTATTTGAAACTTAACTTTTAAAGGTCATGACATTTTATATATAATTCTGATTTATACAAATTATATATTAATTTTATATAATTTTTTTTAGATTTATTTAACCAAACTCACACAAAATTGAGAATATAAACTAGTTAAAGATGATGTGATTGAATAGAATCATGTTAAAACATAAAAAAAATATGAAGAAAAAATGTAAAAATACTTAAAAATAAAAATAAAGAAAATGTTATATTTAAAAAAAAAAGTTATAAACCGTCTATAAATGTTTTTATTGAATAGATTTTAAAAGATCATATAAAATAGTATATAATTTGTATAAAAAAATAAATGTAAAAAAACTAAGAAATACATAAAAAAAGGAAAAAATGTTAGAATTAAAAAAAATTGAACGTCGTGTAAGTGTTGGATTATATAGATTTTAAAATGTTATACGAATCGCTTAAATTAAATTTTGTACGTTTAAAAGTTTAAGACTAAAAAACTTTTAAATTGAGCATTTCCATTATACTAACTAATCAGCGTGTGATAATGTATGCACAAGTTGTTTCACTTGAACGCAGTCAAATTACAGACGATTTTACTAATATTTAAAAACGATCATGCTTAATATTATATCACTTTGTACTTGACTGCAAGTCATTAAAGTTTTTTGCCACTTGTATACAAACTATAATTTATTTAAAAACGGATATTTTCATATGATTTTCTTTTTTTTATTTGAAAAGCAATATATATACGTGTGTGTAACCTTGGGACGCGAGGATCACGTGGACTAAAATAGTCTCTTAATTCTCCACACATGTATAGGGGTTGGGTGACTGAAGTGGACCACAAAATAAAGTTGAAAGAAACAAACCATGTTCGTAAATTTAAATTCAGAATTTTGTTATATTTTTTATAAACATTTTTAAATAATATCTTACTGTGTAATAAAATATATATTTATTATTTGTAAATATATATTTTAAAAGGTTAAAATTATTCTTAAAACTTATGCTAAATTCTTAAGTTAGAAGTAATAACTGATAAAAGTAGATTCAATATATATTTGCCAACTGATGAAATCTTATCAGATAAAAAGTGATGTTAATAATTAAAAATAATTTATATCACGTGGACAATAAATAATTAAGGGCACTGTTCACAAATTTTATATCCACTAGCAGGAGATATTGTCTATATAAAGAAGGAAACCCTGAACAAGCAAGGTGCAGTAGTTTCTTGTGAAGCAGTCATGAGAACTAAGATAGTTGTTTTCTTTCTTGCTACCATTTTAGCATCATGCCATGGCTTAGAGCATGGTGCTAACTTTCAAATTTTCCCTCTCCGAATGAAAACTGGTTCTGGTGGCCATTACATTCCCGAGGTATCATGCCTAAGTTGGAGGCTTGGTGTTGAAGCCCATAACATGATTGACTGGAAAACTGTTCCTGAAGAATGCAAAGATTATATTGGAAACTATATTATTGGTGATCAATATAGATCAGACTCTAAAACAGTTTGCCGTGAAGCTTATCTTTATGCTAAGAAACTCAATCTCACTGCCAAAGACATTTTCGTGTTCGACGTAGATGAAACTACACTCTCCAATCTCCCATATTATGCTAACCATGGTTTTGGGTATGCTCTTTTTGTTTTCATGCATTTTCTTTTTCGTTTCATACACTGTTTTCTTTCTCCCACAAGCATGGTTTTTTGGTACATTATTGTTTTTTCCGAATAATAACATTGCTTTTATTAAAAAAATTATAATTCATTTTGTAATAAAGGAAATCTTTAAAAGGAAAGAAACATGAGAAAAGATGGATGGTGCTATTAAAAAATTAAAAAAATGTTGTAGAATTTTTTAGTGAAAATAATTAGCATTATTTATATTTGATATCTAACAATCCTTTCTGAATGCAAGCTTCAAATCCGACCGTTCATTTGTTTGACTTTTGAATAAATATTTTTAAATGAATTATAACTTTGTAAAGTAAATAACAATAGTATCCATCATCATCAAGGAACAAGGTTTTAACTTGAAAATAGAAAGAAATAAACAATAATCGTTTCTTCATTACTAGCTCAGCTGATTTAGATTAGTCAGGTCTTGAGTTAAACAGTCATAAACAATTAATAATGATAACATTTATTTAAAAAAATTTATTATATTTTTATAACTTCAATACAAATTATACAATAAATATGAAATATTTATATATAATATTTTGATTTACGTATGTTTAAACTGATTCCTTACGTTAACCAAACACTTTTATTCTTATCTAATTAACATTCTTCTGCATACACCTTTTACATTCTTATGACAGTGTTGTTTTAATTATTTATTGACAAAGAAATTGGTGATAGGGTGGAACCATATAATCCAACGTTGTTTAATGAATGGGTAGACCAAGGATCAGCACTAGCACTGCCTGAGAGTCTTAAACTGTACAACAAATTGGTGTCTCTTGGCATCAAGATTGTATTCTTGACTGGAAGACCAGAGAATCAAAGGGATGTAACTGCTACCAACTTAAAGAGTGTTGGATACCACACATGGGAGAAGCTAATTGTCAAGTGAGTTTCTTTTTCTCATCAAACTTTTTATAAATATGCAATAGTTTAACTCGTAATTTTAATAATCATAATAATAATTTATAGATCTACTTGCACAATAATTTTATGTAACTTACTTTCTATCTTGTTCGGATGCTCTTTATAAAAGTTCAATTTGCATTAAAGTAGTCAATCATCGTCAAAAATTCAACATCAGCATATTTTGTAAGTTTTTTAATGTAAACGTAATTTGTTAATTATTGATTTTAAATAATAACTGTGTATATTTTTTACAACCAAAAATGCTAATATATATTTATTTATTAGTTAAAATATGTTAATAAATTACACTTATAGTATTTTAAAAAATTATAATTATAATTTATTAACATGGTTCTTCTTCTTCTAATAATAATAATAATAATAAAATATCTTATTTAGATCTTTATTTAAGTTCTTCAAAACAAATTTGAGTATTTAAAGAAATATTTTTGTGTTAAGATAACTAGCATGACATCACTCTTAATAATTGAAGCATATTTATATATGTATAGATAACCAATAATTCGACTACTTTAACATGTATTAAAAATTATCTCTCTCAATAAATTAATAATTCATGTCACACCATCCTTAGTTTTGTGCATAATTTATTGAAGGCATTTACTTTGGTGATACATAAAAACACGATTAAAGCATGTGAAAAGCAATCGATTAACCGAAGAAAAATGTTAACAATGTTCTTTTTAGTATACTCTTAATTATTAATTAAATTGATTAAAAGTTATAAAAGTGTAAGAGATGAAAAGATTAGCATAATTTTATAATTTATAATAAATTTTAAATAATAATTAAAAACACGTTAAAAAATATATTGAAAGCATCCCATTCCGATTTATAGATTAGATGTGGTAGAACGATTCCATGCTAATGTTTTGATTTTATTCGCACTGTGTCGTAAGGTGTGAAATAAATGAAAAAGAAAGATACGATGCATAGTATGATTTAAAAATAAAAATAAAAAAATAAAAATATTTATATTTTCTTATATTATTCTTTTTATGAATATTAAACTAAAAAATATAAAAGAAAAATATCATCAAACGAGCATGTTGTGGTTTTTATTAAATAATTAGAACCAATGGAACAAATTTGTTTGAATTTTTATATACATACATGATACTAATTTTTTATTATTCTTTGAATTACATGTCACTTATTACAATTTTTATATACGTATTTTAATCTGATTATGTACGTATATACACCCTATGAGGGTATGACAATTATTGTCCGACAAAGTTGGAGTAGGGTAGTGGACAGTGGAATGGGGTTGCAGATATCACTGACAGGTGTGAGAAAGAAGACAAGTTATCGTAATTCGTGAATGTTAATGGGGTGGGGTTGAGACTTTTTATGTGAAGTTCATGGCGTTTATTGCAGTGAATCATATGAGATTTTGCAGGTTCATATATACTAAAGTTTAACCAATGGGTTATTGGGTACAGGGATACATCAGTGTATGCGGGCAAAACAGCAGTTACATACAAATCAAGTGAGAGGAAGAAGCTGGAATCACAGGGATACAGAATCATTGGAAACATTGGTGACCAATGGAGTGATATTCTGGGAACCAACACAGGCGATAGAACCTTTAAGTTGCCAGATCCTATGTACTACATTAGTTGAACAACTTTGCTTGCTACTGTGTCTTAATTCTCAAATAAGATAAGATATGGGAAGAGTTAACGTTGAGCAGTAGCTATGTGGCTTTTTTAGTTATGGGGTCTATGTAACATTGTCACAATGTTGTTTTCTCTTTCTCCGTTTTAATAATTATGTGTCCTTGTTCCATTTACAAATTCCCCGTTCGGTTTAAACATTTAAAAAAGCTTAATATATTTTAATAAATATTAATAAATATTGGAAAAGGATTCCGATGAAAGAAACGCGGAAATCAGAACGCGACCACTTTGGGCCCAAAGTGGTCCAACACTGAGTGGGCCTAAAGATAATGAGCTGACAACGCAGTACGTTACCTGAAAAATAATAACCTTCAAAAAATCTTTTAAAATATCTTCTAATTTTTTCATAACATTAAGTGGTTTATAATAATTTTATATTTACACTCTTATTTTTATCAATTTAAATATACTTATATATTTATATAAAATATTAATTTAACTTTTTCAACTCGTAAAGATCAACATAAAATGTGATTTCTCCGGTTTCAGCACAGAATCCAGCACTGCAAATAGATGATATACGGGTGAATAAACAAAGCAACGTTGTAAACTAAACTGATTTTTTTGCAACACCTTTCAAGTGTACTTAACAGTAATAGATCTTATCCTAATTCAAATAAAATTTTATAAGTACTTATAGAAAAGAAAAATATTTAAAAAAATAATTTTTGAAAAATTTTGAATTAAATTATTTATTTCAAATTTTAGAAAATAATTTAATGAGAGAATTTTTTAAAAACATGAGATGTATTACTTGATTTTATCTATTAAAAAAATATTTTATGTTCCTATTTTTTTGTTGAAAATTTTATATAGACCTATCTATTTTTACAGACTTTGGTTTCATCTATAAATATTTTGATTTTTTTTCCTTTAATTTTTCATGGAGTAATGCCTGACCATATAATTAGGATTTTAGTTTCACCTCCGAACTTCTTCTTTTTTCTTTTCTTTTTTCATGGATTAATCCTGACCGGGTGGCTAAATCACTTATTTTAATTTTATTATTATTCAATTATCATGCAATAATACTATTTTTTTTATATTAAAATCTCTAATGACCATGCTAAAAACAAATAATAATGAAAAAGTTTGTTACTTTATTACTAGATTTTAAACCTACAATTTTGCTTGATTCTCTAAAATCTTAAGTTTAGTTTATTTGATAGAATTAACTAAATGACAGTGTGATCACATCTTACTTAATTAACTAAGAAATGTTAAAAGTGATTTTTTAAATAATAAAATAAAAATAATGAGACAACTACTATGGTACCAAAAAAAAAATTCATTCTAAGAAAAAGGCTTAAAAATCAATAATTTACCATAATCCTTCGCTATGAATTTTATTACTCGTATTAATAAAAATATAAAATAAAATCAATTCACAATCTTACATAAAAAGAAACTAGAAAGAAATTTGTTTGTATTCAAATGCTTTGACGCCATGGAATTAGGGATGGATCCTATATTTATAGATATTTGATGCTTTTGAAACTCCAATTTTTTGCGTGGGAAAGGGATGAAACACATGACAAACAAGTAAGGAATAAGTTGAAGACAAGAAAATTATCTTTTAAAAAATATATATAACGAGATAAATAAAAGATAAGAAAATCATAAAGTATAGATAACAGATATTAAACTTCAATTTAAAATTTAAAATTCTGTTATTCTTTTAGAAAAACAAATTCATAAATATAGATAAGGGAGTTTTTTTTATTTTATCTATATCTTTAATAAAATAAGAAAAATAGATCAATAGGAAATAATGTATCTAAAATCCTATAAATAAGCAGAGAAAATAGTTAATCATATCACGTAAAGCATGAAAATTAACGGTGTTTTTATCCTCTAGCTAGAGACAGTGTCTATTTAATGAACGAAATTAGCCGGCAGCAATCGGCAAAACTTGTTCTTGTGGTACGTAGAAGAAATTGAAGCATTCATGGGAACGAAGGTAGTTTTTTGTTTTCTTGCTACAGTCATAGCAACATGCCATGGATTAGAGCATGGCACAACCCATCAAGTGTTTCCTCTCCGAACGAAATCTGGCTCCGGTGGGCACTACATTCCGAACCTTACTTGCTCAAGTTGGAGGGTTGGCGTGGAAGCACACAACATCATTCAGTGGAAAACTATTCCACAAGAATGCGAAGGATATATAGGAAACTACATTCTAGGTGATCAATATAGATCAGACTCCAAAACAGTGTGTCGTGAAGCTTATTTTTATGCCAAGGGTCTCAGTTTCGAAAGACACGACAAAAACATATGGGTGTTTGATATTGACGAGACTTCACTGTCTAATCTCCCATATTATGCTCGCCACGGATTTGGGTATGCTATTTTCTTTTTACTGTTTGTATTTTGTTTTGTGTTTTTGCCATTAGAGAAGAAAATTGAAAATTAGAAGGTGTGAGAATTTGCTAGAAATAGAATTTGAATCTTGTCTAGAATGTATATGTTCTGTTAACTCATATTATTGATCTGTCTAATAATAAAAAACAAAGTCTGTCTCGCATATATATTTGTGTGACTTAATATTGAACTCTGATTTGAGTAATGAAAACAAAGTTTTGGTTAATCATCGATTCTTGTTGCATTGAAAAATATTGTTAATAATGTTTGATTGAATTTATGCCTGTTAAAAAAATGAATCCATTTTTGTGTTAATGTAATTTTTCTTCTCCTGATAGGGTGGAACCATTTAATGAGACATCGTTTAATGAATGGGTGGAGCTTGGCATAGCACCAGCACTGCCGGAGAGTCTTAAACTGTACAACAGATTGTTGTCTCTTGGCATCAACGTTGTATTCTTAACAGGAAGACCAGTGGATCAAAAGGATGTAACGGTTAAGAACTTAAAGCTTGTTGGATACCACACGTGGGAAAAGTTAATTTTCAAGTGAGTTTCCTTTTCCTGTAAAACTTTCTTACAATCCTAAAATTGTTTGTATAGGCAGTTCATCCTTTAAACCCATCAAGAAAATAACATTAGGCATTCAACTTAATTATTGAAATATTAAAGTTTTTTTTTTTTCAATTGTTGAATCTAATCATGAGGGAAAAAGGACTAGAATGATCATTGATCATGTTATATTAACAATGGTACTTAAAGTTTAACTAATAACATTTTTATTAAAACACATGTAGAAGTATTTAACTATTAATATTAAATACTTTTTGTTTCGGTGCTTCCCATGCACCGAGGCACCTGTTTGACTTTAGATTCGTGCATATTAATTTTCAGGTTCAAATAATAAACTTTTCTTATGTGATTTTTGGTTGCAGGGATCCATCATATTTTGGTAAAACAGCAGTTACATACAAATCAGATGAGAGGAAGAAGCTGGAAACACAAGGATACAAAATCATCGGAAACATTGGAGACCAATGGAGTGATATTCTGGGAACCAACACAGGCAATAGAACCTTTAAGTTGCCAGATCCTATGTACTACATTAGTTAAGCTCTCTAAGCTCTAGCCTGCTACTATGTTTTGAAATACTACTAAGTTTAATGATGGGAAATTTATAGACATTAATTCAATGCAAAAGTTATAATTAGTAACATAAAAATATACATAAATCTATTTTGAGTCACATAACTCACCTCTGGTTTCCCTTTATGCGTTTTTGTTCCATTTAGAAATTCATCGTTTAATTAAGGGGTAGATTTTTATTTTTTTTGGCAAATGAATAATCTCATTAAAAATATATGTCGAAATATTTTTATCTTAAAAAATTGTCATTCTCGTAAACTGAAAGGCGAAAAAAAGAAGGCTTTATCGGGATTTTTATATATCATCCAAATGCATGTTAAATATCGATGGAGAAATTATTTTATACGATTTTAACAAATCTTATACGGTTAATGATTTTAAATAAATTACAAATTTTAATTTAATTATCTATGTCAGATTATATATATATATAACTAAACAATAGTAAGAATAGAATGAAGGGTTTCTTTTTTATATATACGTTAGAAGTTTACTATGACATTAACATCATCATAATCAATAACTTTGGATAAACGAAAGAAATATTTAGGGTTCATTTGTTCTTTAAGAAGTTTGACCTTGGGCCTATGTTACCGAAGTGGATAAATGTCCTTTATGCGTTCAACAAAAGCCCAAGACAGAAAATATGGCTACCAATACCAGTGGGAATATCATGCATATTGCTAACTACTGTTTTCATAGTTTGTAAAAATGTCAAATGCTATTATCGTTTTTACCTTTTTGAGAAATTCATGATCCAATACTTGTGGAGATTAATTTAATTATTCAGTAGCTAAAAATAAAAAAATAAATATAATTATAAGAATAAATGGCGGGAAGGGAAATGTTTTGAAAACACTTTGGACAACAGTGAGTGATGCCTCGATTGGAATAATTTTCTGACGGAATTAATCAATTTTGTTTCCCATGAGCCAAACATGGTCTAAGTAGTTCACTAAATGGTGTGGAATCTTTTATTCACGCATTACTAACATGCTGTTTGTTTCCAAAAGACAACGACACCATCGAATTGTTTTCGAAACTTCCAAACACAAAATGCCTATAATAAGTGTACGTTTTGGTACAAATGGATGCCAATTACATACCACAATTCACCTTCAATTACTATAATTTTAAGGTATTGATTAAAAATCCATCTTATTAATTGGTGGTTAACCCTAATTAACTGCTCCACTCCAAGGTTACGAATTAAGTCATTAATGTTAAACAAACACTTTAGTGTGAAGATTAAACCTATTTCGGAATCTGGGGTGATGTGGATATTGCTACGGACAAGAGGCCGGCGAAAGGCCCATTTCAACAAAATTAATGGACACGTGGAAGTTGGAATTAACAGACATCATTTGAAGAAAAAGAAAACATGAATAATGAACACAACCTTTCATTCTATTATTTTCTCTCTCTTTTAGTCATTAGCAAGTTAGAAAAATGAAAATATAGATAATTCATAACTAGTGTTGAAATATACGTGTATCCTTTTAAACCAAATCCAAGTTTGTATAAAATAATGTGAATAGTGACGAAAGCAGCAGCATAATAAAGCTTATCGGCCAAACAAATTGGACCTCCATTTCCTTGAACCCTGTGCTGCTTCAGACCCCCGTTTTAAATAATCACTTTTAGTAATGTTGGAATCACAACTTCACAACGCATGTAATAATAATAATAATCTTTCATTAAGGAAGCACTTTGTAATTTAATCCATCTTGGCCATTTCTCAACGTCTCTTTCTCTCTGTTCAAAGAATGGGGTTATCACATTCAATTCCTTTTTTTTAAATTATGACAAAACTATATTAATAAAAGTTCATCACCCTTTTATTAAACATTTTTCTTCAATTTTAATTATTTTACCTTATCTTTTATATCGACAATAACAACGATCCTCAAACTTCACACCCATAAAAAGCTTGATAGTAATTTTATGAGATTTGTTTATTTCATTAGTTAATGAGTAATATTCCCCCAAATATTTATTAAATCAGTATTTTAGCTTCAATTATTACATTATTTAAATAAATAAATGATTATTATTTGAATTGGTTGGAAGACAGGGAAGAGAGAAGGACCATATCGGCACTCTGCACGAAAATATGAGCGATGATGTATGGATGAGGGCATAATTATTCTGCGAAAGAAAGTGTTAATTACCAAAAATACCCTTTTGATAACAGTTTTCACGCAAGCACGTGAGGCATCATAGATGCGATGCATGAAAAAGAAATAGCGACTCGAAATTCAATAACAAAAATGTTCTCAAAACCCATCAGTCAAATGAAACCCTAATCATTGCTGATATGAAATTTAAGATTCAAACAGTGCCTTCCGATTAGACTCCATCTCCATTCAACGCCCACGCTCCTCCTCAGCGCGTCAAACCACGTGGTCAAATTTTTCATTTTTCATTATTTTCCATTTTCTCGTTACACTTGTTCAAACTTCAATCTTGATCGAGATTTGAGCTAAATAAACGTTCTTTATTTATTACTTCCTGCTAAAGACACATACATGGGACGAGCTCATGACATCCAACATTTGTTATTGAAATTGGGTTTGCGTAAAGGGTAATTTTCCTCATGTTTATATATACATTTTTATAAATTTAAGTGTTGATATGATTGTATTTGAATTTAAAAGCAATTTACGACTGCTGAAACCGAAATATAATCATATGTACTACATAATTATGCATTGTGGTTAAAATATTAAGTGACACAACATAGAGAAAAAACACAATACACGTTGAGAAAAAAAATTGAAAATATCTTTGATATTTATTGATTTAAGGCACACACCAAAAATTAATGATAGAAAATTCTCTCGAATTAAATTGCCTACTGTCACGAGAGAAGACAACGGAAAGGAACATTTCTTGTAGTGTCACTGTCATTGCCACTTGATGCTGTGCCATTTCACGCAATTTTTAGAGATTCTTCCCAATTGAACGGCACTAATTGAATTCTAGCTGGTAGATATTGGCAAGCCTTCACATAATTAGCTGGCAATATTAGTAGGAACATTGGAGCTTGGTGAATAAATTAGTGGCATGAGTTGGGTTTAAATTTGGCAAAAGATTAAGCAATGAATAATAATAATAATATATTTAAAACATAAATATTTAATAAAATTTGATTTATATAACTAATAATATTTCTGATCACCCAACTAACGTTGTTCCACTGTTGATTGTCGAACACATGAAGTACTATCAATGGCAAACTCCTTTTTCAGTGACACAGACATTTCAACCATTAGTAGTGAGTGAAACTATTCGGAGTCAGCAATATGATACCCCACAGAGACACTCCATCATTTTGTTTGGACTTTGAAAGCCACCACCAAGTTTCACTTAACAAGCTTTCCTTTTATGGCGTACTAACACAATAGGCAGTTTTAAGTTTCTGTTCATTGGTCTTTACTTCATTCCAAAACCAACAAGCACTGCGAAATAGTTCAAACTAACTACTACAAACCAAAAACAAGCAATTAGTATACAAAAACTTTGCTCTAATAGAACCCAAGCCAAATTCTTTACTAGTAGATGTAAATGAACCGGTACAAGAGAAAGGGCATGGGTGAAAAAAAGAACTCTTTGAAAAAGAATGTACACAAGCAGAATTTCATTCTTGAGTTTATAAGTTGTAAGCACAAGTGGGAAAACAACTTCTAAAAACTAACGTCATTTAAACTTGAATAATTTACTCTCAAATTTTCCTTTTGATTCTGATCCAAATTCTGATCCAACTGTGATTGTCAAAAATTCCAAGACTCTTGAGTTTGGAAGAAATTGGATGGCCTTTGCATTCTAACACCACTAATGCTATTTCTAGCAGCCATCATTTCATTAAGTGAGAGCCTTTTCTTGGGTTCCGGTCTTTGTTTTGGAGCACTATGAGACCTTAGTTTTGCCTTGAATGACTGAGTATTGGCCATGTAGTTTGGGAAATTGGAGCATGGTCTATAGAAGGTGTCTCCACAAAAACTCTTGGCTGGTGTAGCTGGTGCATTAGGACGCACATAGTTTGTGAAACGTGGGGTGCTATGAGCAGTGGAGAACTTACACTCATCGACATTGAAGTACCAATCATAATCTGGAACATGTCTGCAATCAGGAACTGAGATTCTACCTGGGATTGGGCAAGGAAGTGGTGATGAAATTGCATGACAAGACATGTCTTCACCACATTCAGACATTGTGGATGTAAAGCGCCTAGATCTTGATCTAGTCTTGTAAGTGTCAATTTCAACAATTTTGGGGCTTTCATCAAACCCATTCAAGGGTGTTTCATAGGGTGAAGCTAGCCTTTTACTGTGGAATTCACTCCTTGTTTCATCAAATCGTTCCTAGAAGTAATAAAGGACACATGAGCAAGTAAGGCATTGTTTGCTGAAAGGTAAATGAGTGAAGTTGGTATGCAGGGTTAAAGAAACAGTTTTTTACCATAGATTTTCTTGCAAGAACTTCAGGTAGAAATCTGTTTTCTTTGCTCATGGATCGACGAGCTCGTTGTGTTCTAACAGCAGTCTGGGCTCTTATTAGAGCTTGCATACTGTGAAGTGTTGCAGCAGCTCTCTTCCTAACTAGGTAGCCTCTAACAAGAGCTTGAATCTTAACCAATCCTTTCAATGCTCTAAGAGCCTTCCGTGCCTGAAAGTAAACAACATCAAGTTTGAATTTAAGTGCTAATAAAAGTATACATTACGCATTGAAAACCATGAAATTGGTAAGGTGGGTAATGTCAAAAATTCAAAATTGTCAAATATTGAAGATGGTTTGAAAGAGCATCAAACAGAAAATAAGGATGCGAGTGACAAGCCAAGTCAACGAGAATGTGAAGAATGGAAAGTGCTTCTTTCTTGCTAGTTTCACTTTCTTTGACCCAAACAGAAACTAAGAGGCACTGTTTCATTAAGAATCTAAAATAACTTTTCCACCTTTTGAGAGTAGACAAAGGAGTAGGAATCAAGCAAAGCACTTCACTTATACCAACCAAAAAGATTTGTCCCACAGACAGAATCACCTCAAACACATAACAAGGCCAATTAACTAAACAACATTTTCAAAAACTAAAAAAACAGACATACCCACATCACTAACACAAATTTGATTTGAACCTTGCCTAAAAAAACAAGACACATACCAAATAGCCTCTGAAAAAAGTTTGAATCTTCACAGCAGCCCACTTCTCCCTGCTCCCACTGAACAATGTACCTCTCCCCTGGCTTGTTAGCCTCACCACAGCCACCGCCGCCTGTGCTGCAGCCACGGCAGCATCGGCGGCGGCGGCTGTGGCAGCTGCCACAGCAATTGCATGCTTGTTCTGCTCATTCTCAGTCTCAGCAATATAGGATCTGAGCCAGGTGTTATCAGTGCCTGAAACAGCAGTGGGAGTAGAAGTAATGTGAGGTGCCACATCCTTCCCTGGCTTAGCAAAACTCCACCTTTTCTTCTCCTTCTTGTCAGGAGCCAAAGACCCTGAATTGTCACTGTGGTCCTTCTCCTTCTTCATGCCCAACAACCCCTTCAGCCACCTGCTAGCCTTCCCCATATCTTCACTTTCTCACCACAACTTTTTGGTCAGGATCTGAAGGGAGAAACAGTGCCAAAGTTAATCTCAATCTCAATCTCAAATGTGAGTGCAAAACGCAAGTTAAGTGGGTTTGCCTCTTGTAGTTATAGACTTAAGATAAGAGGAAGGGCTTGTAAGTGAACAAGTGTAGCAACCAAACGTTGAATACAAGGGATGTGGTAAATGAAACTTTTTGGTTTAAAAAATGGAGGGACAAATAAACAGGTGGAAATTATTATTGCAAGGGGAGGGTGTGAAGAATCTAGCTGAATCTTTAGCAGAGAAGTGATGAGAGCAAGATGTGGTGGATGAAAAGATTAATAAACGGTGCAAAAGCATCAAACCTTAAAATTAAAATATAAGTGGGAAAAAATTGGATAAAGATGGAACTTTTTTTGAAAATGAACCTCTGACAGCACCTCGTGAAGAATTGCATTAGAGGACAAAAAGAGGTCACAGAAAGTTATCAGAGACTCAAATAAAAAAACTAAAATAGTTTTTGCATAATACACTTCAAAATCTCTCTCATCTCAACTCACCCCTTGGAGTAAAGAGACAAGAATTACAGACAAAGCACAAAGGTGAAATCCTATGAAAAAGTGACATTAATCATAGGAAAAAGCCCCCCCCCCCCAACCCAAGACCAAAAACAGGTTCTTATCTGATCTTGAATTCAAAAAAGAGAAAGAGCGGCGAATTCCCTTCCCACCCAACTCACTCACTCCAATAACCGCTGCAAAACTTTCTGGAGCAACGTGTACTACATATGAAAGATACCCACTGTCACAACAATCCCGTGAGCTTGCATTGAGCAAAGCCTCAACTCAAACAAACCCATTGAATCTCTCAACCTCTCATTATCAAAAGTGTGCTCCTTCATTTGAAAGATAAGAAAAAAATGAGACTGTGACTGTGAGTTAAGTTCTGAAACCAAATACGAAACACTTTAAAGGCTAAAACTTTCTCTCATTGATAGTACCATTCATTAAAGGCTATATCACCAACTAAAAGGGTCCCTTTATATCATCATCTTTTTTGTCTCAGACAATAGGCCAAATTTGGGTCTGAGATTTTGCTTTGGTTTGGAAAAGATTTTTCGGTTTCCGTATCTCATAACAACAGTGATTCCAGAAAACTTTCTCACTGACCATCATCATTCCATTGCTTACCTTCTCTGCCAACTGCCACACTTTCTTCAAACCTCTAACAATGCCTCCATCAAAACTCCCCTTCCCCTTTCCAAACGCCAAACGTGATAATACTATTGTTATTACTCTTATTCATAACATTATCTTAATCTGATTTCAACCATTAATTATTGGGTTAAGATTCAAATTTCGAATTTAAATGTTTTTTTTAAGTTCTTTTTAATTTTGAACTGATATCTTGCCGAGTTTTCGGAGACTACAGTTTATTGTTTTCTTTTTTACTTTGTGTATGATTGCATGAAGGTATATATTGTTGCTTTACCTGAATTTTAAGCTTATAAGAATTAAATGACAAAATAAAACTCTACGGTGAGGACCCATTAGGTAGGTTTTAGTTTTATCATAACGTGACAAAGTGACAAAATACTCTTGTGAGAAACATTTTCTCCGATGATTTTGGCAGACAGTCGGAATCCTAATAAATTCAATTGAATATGCCATCATCTGTTTATAAGCATGGAAAAAGAAATTGAAATCCATCTAATTAATTATTGATACCAATTTCTTAGTGCCAGTGAAGTCTGATTTTTAATATAATTGAAATTACATTTAAATTGTGTGCTTTTATTAGAATGTTTAATTTTTAAAACCTTAAGATAAACAAAGCCACTTGCATCACTGATATTTGATAATTGATATGACAAAATGAAAATATAGGTGTGTTGAAAATCAAATCAAATCAAATCGGTTGCAATCAAATAATAAGCATTATAAAAATGTGAAGCGACGTATATACATTATGAGTGAATATGTAAATGAAAAATATGAGTCTATATAACAGCTGGCGTATGGAAACTCATATATAATTTACAATGCCTTCTAAAAGATTGTAGTTTGAACATTTCACAAACTCAACCAAAATAATTCTTATAAATTGGAAAAACAAAAACAAATTAATGTTTCCTGAGGAAAACCAAAAACACCATGCACCCGGGAGTTTCTTTTCTTAGTTTATTCCCTCAGAACCATGGTTACTGTTAAGTTTCCTCTTTAACTTTCACCACCCTCCAAATCATCACAAACTATCATTACTATTAAGCATTTTACATCATAAATAACAAAACATGCTCAACATTACAATATTAAACAACTTTTTGCTATGATGCAAGCTTTTAATTAACAACCTTCTAAATATACGATATCAGAAAATCCATTGACAATGCAAAGTTTTATACAAGACTGATAAAGCCAAAACTGAAATCTAAACAAATTACTATCAACCACAAAACGTAACGATTCTATACTTGCATAAGAGATTGTTGGAATTTTTATGCATAAACCGATACCCCTTGACTCAGAGTTGTAAAAGTATAAGCATGTATTAAATATAGTGTGGTGTATAAATGTGTTGACTGTATCTACCCACTGTACTCTATAGTTATAATGTGAAGTGTACAAAATGGTCCCGAATGATTGCAATGAGAAGTGGAGTCTGGTATTTTGTACACATTACTGGGATTTAGTGATAGAGAATGGAGCATGGATTTGTATATCCAACCATAGTAGGTAGTATTGGACCACATTCCTTTATAGTATTTGCCTTAGGTAAACAAATTCCTTGTAACAAACACGACCTGCTTCTCTGACTCTGCTCTTTTTGTGATGGGCTGCATGTGGGCTCAGCTCAGCTGCTTGTCTCTTTGAGCCCAAAATCACTTTACAATAGCCCAATCAGTTTCATATTGCACTTTCTTCTATGTACTTTATGTGACAGAAATTGTGACCACGACTTGGACCACCTTATTATTATTATAATTAAAGATATACTCGAACGGGTGAAGGTCCTGAAAATATTATAACTATGGAGATCATAGACAAATATAACAAGTATTTTAAGTTATTGCCTTTCATCTATGACTTAAAAAGGTAATAAAAAGGTAACATATATAATTAATGCAAGATCAGTATGGTGGGGGGTCCATCACGTCATTATTGACTCAATTTAATTAGTTATATGTAATAATAATGGTGGAGGTTTACTAAAAGTGTGTTTTTAAAGAATAAATTATTGAGATTATGTTGTTTTGAAATATATTGTGAAATTATAATTATGTTACAGTTTAAAAAGTGCTAAAAATTCACATTTCTAAGTGATATAATTATATTTTTAAATGATAAGTTTAATTGTTGTTTGGTATTTATAGCTTAACTTATATATAATTGTAGTCACCGAATCGTCTATCTCAAAAATTCACCTGATAATTATAAAAAATATAGAATGTATTATTAATTTCTGTTGATTCAAATAAATATATAAAATAATTTATACATTTAAACAATATCTTATATTTTATTATATATTTGTTGATTATTAAGCGAGTTTTGATGTTAGAATTTTTTTAAAGATGTGAATAATTAAAATTTATAACTGTGTATAAAGCAATGTATAAAAATTAAAATAGTGTTATTGAAATGGTTCTTTCAAAAGTATTGTTTTATTAAATCAATTGAACGAAGCAGGATGTGGATGGTAACCTTTTGGCATAGTGTCCAATTAGGGTGGCTAATTAATTGATGAAAAAGTTAGAAATATATTTTTAAGACATTTATTGTAAATGGTTGGTTTTGTAAAAGGTTAAAATATTTTCTAAAAATATTTAATAACATCAGTGCTTTAAGTTTTCAAAAACAAATCAATCATAAATTGTTTATTTAAGATAGTATTTAAATAAACATATTGCTTGTATTTATACAAATTGACCAAAGGAACCGTCCATATAAATTACAATGCAGATGGCACAAAAATATACATTTAAAAAAGTTTTTTTGCTTACTCTTAAGGCAACCCTTTCTTTACACAGTTTTTTATTAAATAAATTGAGATATTAAAATTTTTTAAATATTAAAAAAAATTAACAATAAAAATATAAATTAAAAAGACACAAATGTGTTGTTTCAAAGTGTGGCTTTTGAAAAATATAAGGACTTAATTGATAAAAAATGTTTTCTTTTCTTTTCTTTGACACTTGACACTTTTGTTCTATTTACTTTCTTTATTTTATAAAATTAGTGAACTGTTAATTTTTTATTTACATTTAATAATTATTTTTTAAAGAACCCTAATAATTAATGTTTGTTTGTAAAGAATAACAAATAAGTGAAGTAATTAATATAACAGATAAATAGTATAATAATAAAAATAATAGCTATTTATAAAATTTAGAATATCAATTGTTTTTTTAATTTACGCGTAAAATCTTAAACATTGAATTTAAAAACAGATGTATTAGTTGATTTAAAAAACCTTAATTAAATAAATTAATGAAAGTAAAGTTCCTTTAAATAAATAATAAAATAAGGAAAATATTGATTTAATACATGTTAAAAAAAAGTGTTTATATGAAAAAGATGCACATTAAGATACTGTCACTCTCAAGAATGACAATTCATATTTTTAACATTAATGTTTGCCACAAATATGAAAAAATAAAATAAAATTGGGGACCTAACCTTCCAAACAGAGTCTTAATTTGATCATGTACTTTGAATTTTAACTTTGTTATGTGATGTTTTCTTTTATTATTTGATGATAATTAGTATATATATTTTAGTTACATTAAATTTTATAAAGTTAAATTAATTTAATTTAATTCTATAAACACATATATTATTTATTGAACTAAAAACTTGTCAGCTAGATTATAATAACTTTAAAGTTCAATATTTGTATCTTATAGCGCCTGAGAATTTTTTAATTAAGCGATAATAATAAAAATTTATCATATTACAAGATAATAAACTATAAAAATACAACATATGTAAAATGATTGCCAAATCAAAATTCAAGATCCACAATTAAAAATTCAGATAAAACAAAAGATAACAAATCAACTTATCAAAAATTTATTAACACGTCTAAAATTAGTTGATGTATAATATTAATTACAAAGCAATATATAGTGATATTTTCATAATTATGTTACAATTATTAATACTATTACACTTTACCTTAATAAATATTATTATTTATCACAATTATGTTTCTATTCTATGTTTTATTAGTTTTTTATGGTAATATTTTTATTTAAATTTTAAACATTACTACACAACAAACGAATTTTGTTTTTAGTAATAAATAAATGAATAAATATTTTATATGGCTGATACTTATTCTTTTAAAATGATATTTAAATTCAAAAACACAGTTATCAATAATTATTAAGCGTAAACCTCTGTTATTGTGAATACTAATAAGATTGTCTAATATAATAAAATTAAGCAATTTGATCTCATTATCAAGACGACGTTTATATAGGTAAGTCAGTTTTATCTCACCATTTGTTTTTCTAAGAGATTCTGTTTATTTTGACAAATATTTAAAATTTAAATATAAATAAATGTATTTTAAATTAATATTTATTATGGTTGTTGTATATATTTTAAATTATTTAATACTAGTTCATACTTGAAGCAAAAGCATTAAGATCAAAGCATACTCTAACCAGTATAAAGAAAGTATATACTCTAACCATTTTGTTTTTAAGCAAATTAGTGAATTTCGTGCATCGTATATGCAATTGATTGAACTAAAATAAATATTTATATTATATTTTTTTAAAAAGCAATAAAATTTATAATTTTTAAAAATATTCTATTACTAGTTTATTGCATTAAATTAAAGAAATAAGATTTGTAAATTAGAAAACTTTAAAATTTAAATTAAGATTGAATTGAAGCTCTTTTGATTTTCACTGGTGTATGAAAAAACAAATAAATTAAATTCAAATAAATATTAAATAATATTAGCTTATTTTGTATTTTTATTAGTATATCAAATTTAAATATTAAATCAAAATAAAAATGAATAAGATTATTATAATCTTAAAATTAAATTTATCTATTTTTAAAAAATGATCAAGCATATGGAAATTTAAAATTAAAATAAAAGTAGCATAAGAAATAATAAAAAATAAAATACCTAATTTAAATTAGACACACAAAATAAAAACATAAAAATTAAACTATTTTTATGACAAATAAATTTAAACATAAGTTTTTTGATAATTTTAATAAAAAATTACAAAATATATAAATTTAAAATCATGTCGAGTGGATCATCCATAGAGTACAAGGAATATTTAGACAAAAAGTACTAAATGGAAGAATTTTAAATTAAACTTTGTATTCAAATAAAATGGGGAAGAATCTCGTAAATCAGAAAATATTTGTTATAAAAACTGAAAATATAGTGAAATTAAACTATGCGAAAAATAATAAAACGCGTGAGTGTCGAGTTTCTAAGAAATTTGGATTAATAAATAAGAAAATAATCGGTTGCATTTGAGATGATATAAAATATCTGAGAAAAATCAAGGAAGGGCTTGGCTTATTAGCTATTCCCCCCATTGCGTATCTTCCTCTCTCTCTCCTTTTCTGAGTGCTGAACCGCTTCGTTGTCCCTTTTTCTCTCAAACCTTCTTTCCGAATCACCGTCCTCTTCTCCTTTCAGATCCAATTTCGCCCTAATCTTCTTTTTCCGCCGCCAATTTCCACCCCTTCTCGTATTTTTTCGTCGTTGGGATCTAGGGCTTGAAATTCATCGTTATAATTGCAACGCTTCCCTTTTTTTTTTTTTTTCTGGGTTTCTGTTTACTGTGTTTTAGGGTTCCGATTTTCCATTGTGGGTGACTTTGATTTTCGATTCGTTCCTTGTTTTTTCAAATCGTTTTCTGGGGTTCCATTTATTTGAACTTGTTAGTCTGCGATTAAAAAAGGGGCAAACTATACATATAAAAAAGATTTCTTTTTTCAAATTTGTTGGCGTTGCGATCATGGGGAGCTCTGAAGGGGTGGGAACCTCGACGAAGCAATATGGTGTCACGAAGCCCATATCAATGGCGGGCCCAACGGTTGCTGATTTGCAAAGGACTCTTGAATTGGAGAAGGTTAGTTTCATTGCTTTCAGTATATACACAATCACACACACACCCTTTCTTTTACCAAGGTTTTTAATTATCAACTAATTGTAATTAATGTTAATTGGTTTGTCTGAAAAAATTCTCTGTTGGGTGTGCTAGTTTCTCGTTGATTCCGGCCTTTACGAGAGCAAAGAGGAAGCTGCCAAAAGAGAAGAGGTCCTTAACCGACTTGGACAGGTAGTGGGAGAGAGCTAGATTTTTTATTATTCTTCGTTATGATGATCGTAGTTGCTGAATCGGTGTAATTCTTTGATGACAACAATTTTTATTGAGATGCTAAATTAAGAGGTGTATGGGTAAATATGGAAATATATGTTTGAATGGATGAGCATGGACGTTTATGGGGAGGGTAGTTATATTGTTTCTGCATTCTGGACTTTGGTGATGATTATCCTTGGAGTGACTAATATTTGCTTATTAAAATTTGTCATTTATAGAAGTTGTTCTGTTACTTTATTCTGCTGGTAATAATTATTGTTGTAGTTTAACTTGCGGGTGTGGTGGTGATTTGGGGTAATATGTGTGCCTATTGCGGCTGATGTGGTCAGCAATCACATCCTTCATGCATTGAGGCGGCCACCAAAAATGGGATGTTGTGATTGCATCACATGATGTGGTCCACTATTTGAGACCCTGACGGTTCTTATTTCCATTTATCAGCTATTGAAGCTATTTTGTTGCTTTGTTAGTGTTTAATGTAACTTAGGGAAATGGTGTATTTTATCTAGGATTCAAATCATTCAGGGCAACTGGTTTTGCTTATAATGTATTTATTTATTTCAGGTAGTAACTAGTTGGGTAAAGCAACTTACCCGCCTAAGAGGATACACTGATCAAATGGTGGAAGATGCAAATGCTGTTATAATCACTTTTGGTTCTTATCGACTTGGTGTGAGTTCACTTGTCCCTTGCATGACATGCCAACCTTTTTGTTTTGGTTTGTTGTTGTTGGATTAAACAACAAATTATATGGATCTTTCTACTGTGTTTGGGAATATGATGATCTTGTTTGCAAGGGATTGTATTGGGTTTTTGGCTGTTAAACTTTGTTTTTACTCTTCATCAAGTATGACATGTAATTTCTATTTATGTTAATTAGGTCCTTTTTTATCGAATTTTTTATGATGTAGGTTCATGGTCCTGGGGCTGACCTAGACACACTATGCATTGGGCCATCCTACGTAAACCGAGGGGTAAATTTGAAGTACAAACAATTTTGGAATCTGTGCTCCATCAAAATTATCATTTCTGTATGTGATCTTTTCGTATTTCTTGATCAGGAGGATTTTTTCTACACATTACATGATATCCTAGCTAACATGGAGGAAGTCACAGAACTGCAACCAATTCCGGATGCTCATGTCCCGGTTATGAAATTCAAGTTTGATGGAATATCAATTGACCTCCTTTATGCAAGTATTTCTCGCTTAATTGTACCTGAAGTAAGTGAAATAATTTTCTTTTCTACTTATATGAAGACACTTGATATTATTAGGTTAATTTTTAATAGTTTATTTGTGCTGTTGATCTGCATCTTGTAGGTTTTTGTCATATATTGTAGAACTTTGTTATGTTTCCAATTTGTGTACAGGATTTGGATATATCTGATGTCTCTCTTCTACACAATGTGGATGAGCCTACAGTGCGAAGTTTGAATGGTTGTAGGGTTGCAGATCAAATTCTAAAGCTAGTTCCAAATACTGAGGTACTTTTTTAGGTTGCTGCTTGTTTCTTATTGCTTCAAGTCATCCATTTCTTATAATTAGTAGTGCCCCTAAATCTTTTAATTTATTGAGTTTTTTGTGTTTGGAATATAGCATTTTCGTACAACACTCCGTTGCTTGAAGTTTTGGGCCAAAAGGCGAGGTGTTTATTCCAATGTGAGTTATATTTTATTTCAAGTCATTTTCCTGCTTTGCATATCCCTTTTTATTTTTTGGGGCTAGTTGTTTAAAAATTTTCCTGTTGCATTTTTGTATGTTCATTTTCAGGTGACAGGTTTTCTTGGTGGTGTAAACTTGGCGCTTCTTGTTGCCCGAGTGTGCCAGTTGTATCCAAATGCAGTTCCAAGCATGCTTGTCTCTCGATTCTTTAGGGTTTATACACAGTGGCGATGGCCAAATCCTGTAATGCTATGTCCAATAGAACAGAACGAGCTTGGGTTTTCTATGTGGGATCCTCGCAAAAATCCTCGTGATCGAACCCATCATATGCCAATCATCACTCCTGCCTATCCATGTATGAATTCCAGTTATAATGTTTCTATAAGCACACTTCGTGTTATGATGGAGCAGTTCCAGAATGGCAACAGGATCTGTGGGGTAATAATTACTCCTTTCTTGTTGAGTTTGCTTGAAACGTCATGGATATTATTGATTATTTGTTTAAATAATTGATAATTGAAGGCTTTGCTTTTGTCAAACAAAACCAGGAAATAGAACTGAATAAAGCCTGTTGGAGTTCTCTGTTTGAACAATACATTTTCTTTGAAAGCTATAAAAACTACTTGCAAGTTGACATAGTTGCTGCCGATGTTGATGACTTGCGTGCATGGAAAGGTTGGGTGGAATCACGCCTTCGACAGCTGACTCTGATGGTATTATTGTTTATTTGTTATGGTGATATTGGTCCTTTTTTAAAAGGAGGTTTTTTTTTAGAACATGTAATTATGTGTAGTTTAGAAAGATGAACATTGACGGGATTTGGCTGGGTTTGGATCCTGTTGGCAGATTGAGCGTGACACTTTTGGGAAGTTGCAGTGCCATCCCTATCCTCATGAGTATATGGATAATTCAAAGCAGTGTGCACATTGTGCTTTCTTTATGGGCTTGCAGAGGAAGCAGGGGGAAGTTGTTCAGGAAGGTCAGCAATTTGATATACGAGGGTCAGTGGAAGAATTTCGTCATTCTGTCAATATGTACAATTACTGGAAACCAGGGATGGACATTTATGTTTCTCATGTTCGTCGAAGGCAAATCCCTGGCTATGTGTTTCCTGATGGTCACAAACGATCGCGACCATCAAGGCCAACACCACAATTGGAGAATCCTCACAAATCATTTCATGAAGATGAGGTTTTTGGGACTAAACAAATTGAGAGAAACCACAAGAGGAAGTACAATGACAGGGTGGGTGAAAGGCTGGATGCATTGAAAAGACAATCTATCAATCCGCCTGTGCATAGCTTGGCAATACACAACAGCCTTCACTATAGTGGTTTGTCTGTTGATGCTATGGCTGATGGTCAAGAGTTGAGAAATGTGGAGGGTGCTCATTTGTCCAACAGCAGGCAAGATGATTTGGATCGAACAGAGTCTCCTGAACCTGCCTCAAATTCTAGTGTGATTACATCTGTTACCAGTGATGCTGGTTCTTCTGAGGATATTGGATCTGGTTATGTTGAGGATAGCACCAAGGGTGTTGAGGCGATAATTAATGGGAGGTTTGGGGATACTACTTATGGGGAGTCTGTGAAAAGTACAGTGGCAAGTGAAAATGAAGTATTACAAGATGAGCTACATGAGCAGTTAGAGGTTTTGGCTTTCAATTCCTACCCAAATTTCTGCTTTCTTACTTTTTTTGCTGGGTTGATATATTTTACCTGTTGTCTTGTTAGTCTAGTAATTGGCCATTTGATCAATTCTTATTTTTCCGTCATTTTTCTATGATTGTGTATAGATTGTACAGCCAAGTGCACTGATGTGCAAGGTCTTCCCTGAAGTACTGTTAAGCCAAAATGCATTGATTGTCGAGCTTTTGGTGATGCATGATATCTTCAGTGAAATTGTGTCTAGTATTAGATAGGCTATCTATGGTCTTCACTGTGCTGTACTGTGTTTAGGAAAAAGTTCACTATGTCATTTTGTACATCTATGTTTATATTTCAATTTTCTTGGTAAGCTTATTATGGACAAGGTTTTGTATTGACCATTATTCCTTTTTTTTTTGGGCTTTTTTGTGAAGCCCAATGCAGTGCTAGGGATGGTTCTTGATTCCAAGCGACAAGTTCGTTCAAATGCGGTGCAAAAGCCAGTTATAAGGCATGTTAATGTTCAATAATTACTGTTTTAAGAGATTTTATGTCAGTATTTTTTCTTTATGCTGTCTCTCGTGCTTTGTGTAAACAGGAGATTGAGTGTAACATCGGCAGTGTGACAGATCAGTAGTTCGATGCTTGTGCGACGGAGAAAGAGGAGAGCCAGCAGTTTGGGTAAGTACTAATTTAAATGCTGGCTTTCATTTCGCTAATTTTTTCAGGCTTGCTTGTTCATTCAAGCTTGCAAATTGGAACTGATTGGCATCAAGCTGAAAGACTTGGAGCTGGGATCAGCCATTTGTATAGTTGGCAATTTTTGTGCATTATGGTGTCTATTGACTAAACTAACTTCATTAGAGCTTTTTTTAGGATTGTCCCTAAACTTAAAGAGGGCATACTAGGAAGGCTTTTGCTGTACTTTGCTATTGTTGACCGTTTGGTTTTTTTCTTTTTAATTTTTATTTTTCTTTTAGAGCTAGAGAGACGGGGGCAAAAGGGCATATAGGAGAGGGTTAGGGTGGTTGAGGGGTTGGCTATGTGAGTGGACTTGGCCTTTTTACTGATTGTTGTACTGCCTCTGAGAGGTTACTGTATAAACTCCACAGTGATTTGGCAACTATCATCTCCACCTTCTTTACATTTGCTTTGTCCCTTGCCTCACATAGGAACAATCAGTGTCTTTCCAATACCATTGATTCAATACATTTTAAAATATTAACAATTATGATTCTAAACTTGTTTTTAAACATGGATTCAATAAACGACATTGACATATAATCTATAAACACACTGACCCTGTAACTCGTTTCAATTGATGGCTACTTGCGTGGGTTTGTGAACAAATATTATTTTTCTTATGAAATATCGCGAACTTAACAAAAATATGTTTCGTGTCTCGCTTGGATTTCAATGGGGATAAAATTTAACCGAATCATAACAAATATGCAGCTGTATTTGAACACTTCATCATCTAGCGTGAGTCCATTTTGACAAATCTAAGATTGTAAATTTATGTTAGTTGGAGTATTCCCGCAATATACAGATTTTAATGTATTAATTATGAATTATTATATCATTGTTGTGAGGATTATTTTGAATGTATTATTTAGGCAAAAATTTATTCGTACAGTTATTAAAATTGAATTCGTTGTTTTTCAATGAAACAAGTGGAACTATATTCGTAAACTTTTCACACATTGATTATAACTTCTAAAAGTATGGCGATGGCGACGTGCTTTTTGCTTGAATCAAGTCTTATTCCCGTGGTTCTAGTTATTTTCTAATAATGATTTCAAGTATTTTCTCTAATGGACAGTACTTTGAGTAAAATTAAAATTTAACTTGGATTAAATAAATTTACTTAAGAAGTGCCTTAGATGCAACTAAGTAATTTGAATGGCATTAGTAAAGACATTTTTAAATATATGATTTAATATTTTAGGATAGATTAGAAATAAATTAATGTGTCCAATTAAATATCAACAAACATAAAGTTCAATTTATTTTACCATAAAAGTTAAAAAATCTTACTTTTATCATTAGGGAATCGAAGTAAACTTTATTTTTAAATTTAATTTTATCTCAAATACTGTCAAACATACTAAACACAACATAAGAAAGCGAACCTCACCTAAATTTATGGTGTAGAGACATGATAGCACAATCTTATTTTGTATTTAATAATTAATTTGTTTATTTAAACTATTATTAGCCTCAAACATGAGTTGCTAAAAAAACACAACGAGGGTTGTTTGCGAACAAGTAGCTTTATTTTTGTCGTGGTCTTGTTCCCAACACAAGTTTCCTTTCCCCATCTCACTTGTTTATACCCACGTGCGGTAAATTCTCAGCTAAAGCATCATTACACATAATAATTGCACGGTCATTCAATTTTATTTCCAATTAAACAATTACTTAAAATTAATTCGTACATCAAAATCGTTATTTGTCTTCCTAATTAGCCGCACTAGTCAATTCAGTAATTTTATTTGACTTTCTATTTATATACATTAACATGATAAAGAGACACATACCGTTTGTTGAGCGTTAAACCCGAAAACGGAAAATGAGAAAGGTGGTGGTGGTGGTGGGTGCGACGGTGATCGGCGTCTGCGCCGTGGCGGCGGCGATGGGGGCGCTGCAACGCTACGTGAGTAAATCTAAACGGTGGGGACGAGCATTGGCCATATTGAAGGAGTTGGAGGAGAAGTGTGCGACACCTACGTGGAAGCTGAAGCTTGTTGCCGATGCAATGAGCGTTGAGATGCACGCTGGGCTTGCTTCCGAAGGTGGTAGCAAGCTCAAGATGCTCCTCACTTACGTTGATAATCTTCCAACTGGGTATTCCATTTCCTTGTTTTGTTTATCTTTCGTGCTTTGATCCAATCTACCTTTATCTTATATTGCTTTATGTTTATGTACTTTCTCTTAAGTCTTTTAGATCAATCTATATCAATTTCCATATCTTTATTTTTTTTCAAAAATAAATAAAAATAAACAACTAAATTTATATGTAGTACTCCAGTTCCTTCTGGTGCTGTTCTCTGATTACCAAGGTGAAATTTCACTTTTAATAGGAAAATAGCGTCAAAAGGACCTAAGTTTTGTCTAAAAATAAATGTTTTTGTCTTGTGGTGGTAGATTTGTTATTGCTCGAGGCTTGGCTGATCATTATTCAAATGCAATGTGTTACTAAAATGTGTGGCTAGGAAGCTAAGAGCATAACCTTTGTATTTTGTAGTTGTGTGTGTGTTGTTTCACTTACTTGAAGAATGCTATGAAATTGCAAGGTAATAATGATGATGGTGAATCAGGTGTAATTGGTTTTCCTTAGTCATATTCCAAAAGAAACGATATCCCTCGATTTCCCATTTTATGCGGTTTATTGATATATCCTCTGTAAATGGATGTCAAAGAGAATCCAGCCACTGACATTTCATACTTCAACTGCTAAACTTTTGAGGTTGCAAACGAATTTGATACTGTTTTGTTTCCCTCCCTTTTTAGGAATGAGGAAGGACTATACTATGCATTAGACCTTGGAGGAACCAACTTTCGTGTGTTACGGGTGCAACTGGGAGGCAAGGGTTGTGGTATTATCAATCAAGAATTTACTGAGGTGTCAATTCCTTCTAATTTGATGGGTGGAACATCAGATGTAAGCCCTTTTTTCCTATCATTTTGAAATTCCTCCTTTTGCCTACCACATGTTTTGTTCACTCTTTTTCCTTAACGATTGTTTATTGCTTTATGCTTATCACGTGAGAAACAAGACCAATCTAAAAAAAATTGTGATTCAGGCACTCTTTGACTATATTGCTGCAGAGCTTGGAAAATTTGTTGCCCAAGAAAATCAAGATTTTCAAGTTCCTCCTGGTAGACAGAGAGAGCTAGGTTTTACCTTTTCCTTTCCTGTTATGCAAACGTCTATTGCTTCTGGGAACCTTATCAAATGGACAAAAGGATTCAACATAGATGACATGGTTAAGTTCTGGATTGCTTTGATGCCTTTCACATTCTTTAAGACTGAATATTTCCTTGTCTTGCTAGCTTTTCAGAGATTTAACCTATTGATTATTAATTCTTATGTATCCAATTGCGAAACACAAGTTGAGTCTACTATTGTGTCACATTCATGAGATCCAAACATTTAATTTTTCATTGGTTTTAAATGTCATCTACTGAGAGATATTCTATATCTCTTCATTTTTTCAGACAGCGTAGATGAACTCCCCTAAACTTAATAACGTGGAAGTAGTTTATACTTTATACTTAGTTCAGGAAGTGTTGAAAACAGCACAAAAATAACAGAAAATCATTAGAAGCTATAAGTTCTTGTATATTTACTTGTTGCTATTGTTGAAACTATTGATTTTGGAGAGTGATGGGTTTTCATACTACTATTCTTTCACCTTTGCTTTCATACTTAGTTTTGTTGTTGTTTAAATAGGTTGGTCAAGATGTTGTGGCAGAATTGACAAAAGCCATTGAGAGACAAGGTCTCGATATACATGTTACAGCTCTGGTAATTAAAATTTTGGACTATTTTGCATAACATTAACTAACTGACAAGACTTCAAAATTTTTTGGAGTTTTTGATAGATCTCAAGGGAAATACATTTTCAGTGTATTTTGTCTGTAGACTCTATACTTATATTCAGTATCTATATAGGTGAATGATACGGTTGGGACATTAGCAGGAGGTCGATACACACACAACAATGTTATTGCTGCTATTATTTTAGGTACTGGAACAAATGCAGCCTATGTGGAGCGTGCTCAAGCAATACCAAAATGGCATGCTCCCTTGCCAAATTCTGGAGAAATGGTGAGCACTTTCTGTCTTACTTTCCATTGGTTGAGTGTGTAGTGTTAAAAATGGCTACAGATTATTTGATATGACTGAATGATAGATAAAATATTGAAGCTTATTCGATATATGAGATGACTTTAGGTTATCAACATGGAGTGGGGAAACTTCCGGTCATCACACCTTCCATTAACTGAGTATGATTATGCATTAGATGCTGAGAGTTTAAACCCTGGTGAACAGGTGAATTTCTGTTACTTCTAATCTCCATCTAGTCTGCCTTAATAAATGATGTTATATAATTATTTTTCGACTATGTTTCAGATTTTTGAGAAGATAATTTCTGGTATGTACTTGGGAGAAATTGTTCGTAGAGTACTATGCAGAATGGCTGAAGAAGCTGGTTTTTTTGGTGATGATGTTCCCCCAAAACTAAAAGTTCCATTCATATTAAGGTATAATGTTAGGTGTTCGACTAGCTGCTCTGTCAACGTGATTTTGTTTATTCATTATTTTTTTGCCTCACTATTTACTCTGTGTGAATAGCTGTCTGTGGTAAACATTTATCCATTGAAGCAAAGAAGTGTGACTTCACTTTGAAAGAGGGTGGTTGGTTTTCAATTGCATATTACTGAATATACAAAGAAATCTTTTAAGCTTTTCTAATGGGTATAGATAGAGGTATCCTTTTGGCTATTGTCTATTCTTAAACAAATAAGCAATTTGTCTAGAGAGGAGAGAATCGCAAGGAGTCATACAGCTTATAAGGTTCAATTCTGGCTATGAGATCCTCACTATGGTGCAAATTTTCAAAATTCACTGGTTGATCCATCAAAGATAACGTTCTAAAGTTGCTCAAACTAGGTCATGATTCAATAAGAATTTTAAGTTCCAAGATTTCTGTGCTTGTTATAATTACTGATATTGTCATAAATTTTTTTGTATCATGATCATCAGCTTTGGATGTGCAGGACACCTGACATGTCTTCAATGCATCATGATTCATCTCCTGATCTCAATGTGGTTGGAAGCAAACTGAAGAATATTTTCGAGGTAAATGAAATTCTCTGTTCTGTTTGGATAAAGATATTCCAAAAAGGCTTTTTAAAACCGTCTGCATATTTACGTTAAGAAAGCTTATTTCAATTGACGGAGATATACACGTTCTCTATGTACTAATAATTAAAGTCCTCATTTTCAATATTTTAGTTCTATTTAAACTTGTAATGCAAGTTGAGACTTCCAACTTTTAAAGGTGGCAATATGATTGAAACTTTTATCAAGCTAACTTTGTTCTCTTTCTTTTAATCACATTAGATATCCGATACCTCCCTGGAAGTGAGGAAGGTGGTTGTTGAGATATGCAATATTGTTGCTACCCGTGGTGCTCGTCTTGCAGCTGCTGGCATCTTGGGTATCCTGAAGAAGTTGGGCAAGGACACCGTCAATGATGTTGAGGGTCAGAAGAATGCAATAGCTATGGATGGTGGATTGTATGAGCATTACACTGAGTATAGCAAGTGCCTAGAAAATACCCTTGTAGAGTTGGTTGGCGAAGATGTCTCAGAAAGTATCACCATTGAGCACTCCAATGATGGTTCAGGAATTGGTGCTGCCCTTCTTGCTGCTTCACATTCCAAGTACCTTGATGGTTAACTACAATGATCATGATAGGATGGTTTTAATCAATTATTTTTGTGGAGGTCATAGTCCGTTTATGACTCCAGCTGTCTTGTAAGGCTTGACTTGTAGGCATATTCTTCAAGCCAATCTTAGCTTAACACCATTTCTTACGTTTATGTATTTAATTCTTTCAGGAGAATCCTACATTTTTCTCTTCCTTTGTTAGCTTTAACATAATATTTCACATCACCTGGGTCTATCCATTTGTTAGGATAGAATACCTTTTGTGACTAAATTGTTGGATTACTTGTTGGTGGTAGGACTGTAGTTATTTTTGGATCAAATATGCAAAAGATTGTCTTGGAAGCAGCCATGTGATATTCTAGTTTCTTGAGGTAAATTTGATGGCCAATTTCGATGTCATTCAAAATTAGCAGTCTATTCTCATTAGCCTGTCTATTCCTCCTCGGATTTTATTGAGCTTGTCAAGGGTTTGTTCAATATTTGATTATCTTAATTAAGGTTAAAAAGTTGAGAGTTTTTAGTTCCCTGTACATTTTGAATAAGCTCTTATAGTATAAAAACTATAAAATGAATCTCTATAATTTGATAAATATTTTTTCAATAGTCTCTTTATCCCGTCCATTTTTATGTCTTAGAATATCCAACTAAGATAGACTTTGAAACTACGAGGACATATTTGTATATATATATATATTTAAAAAAATTCCAAAACATTTTGAGATCCCAAGTGATTTTACATATATAAAATAACACTATGTTTTGTATTGCCTTATACGCATGTATGTACGTATAAAATATAATAGTAAATTAATAGCTTAATTTTAATTCTGAAAATATATTGTTTTTCCTCTTTTTTCTTTTAAATTCACGAGCTCAATTCAATTTTAAAAGGTTGTCTTAGTTTATTCATTTTTTAAATTAATTAATAGCATAAATAAACTCAATATAAATTTCATTTGAATAGTTTACTATTTAATATACAAAATAATACTTGAACAAGACTCTTTTTTTTCTAAATTATACCGAAGTCCATTTCCTTTTATTTCCATTAACGTATTAAATTGAATTGGGATGGTTAAGTTTTTTTTTTTTTTTGAGGAAAATAAGGGCAAAAGTTATTCTTCTTTGAACTGTTATGATCAGCTATCAAAGTCAACCCTTTTTTTCAGCGTAAATATAAAAAAGGAAAATTTAACATCTTTCTGGGTTCAAATTTACGTAAAATATAGACAATACTTCGGATGAAAAGTAATTTGAAATAATACTGATTGTTGCTATTAATATCTATTAACAATTCGTTTGACTTATATATTTTAAAAATAAAGATCTACTAGTTTACTTTATTTTAATCTTTATGGCTAGAATCCCTAGCTTATTTAAACATTAACTCAACACTCATTTAAAAGTCTTGACTCAGCAATTTTTTTACAGGTCTTGACCCAACACTTATTTAAAAACTTAAATGTAAAATAATTCTTTAGATATATTTTCCAGCTAAATGATGCTTAAAAAAAATCATGTCATGGCTAAAAGGTACCTGTATTAAATAGGAAGTTAATGTCAAACTTTATGTTTATAAAATAAATTTAGCCTATCTAAATTAAGGGTCCTGCTAACAAAAATTTTTAGGAAACTAATTAAAACTAAAAAAAGATTAAAAATTATAATAAAATTGTATTTATGATATTTTTAATAAGGACACTGAATAATATTTTTCTTAAAGCTGGCATGCCCTTGCCAATTTCATGCTTAGTTTTCTCATACATCGTATTGGCCTGTGTGAGGAGAAATAGAGAAAGTGCAGAACAAGACAGAGTTACAGATCAGACAAAAATCATGGGATCTGCATGTTTTATTGCAGAATATGGATCATGCAATTCCTCTCACTTCAAAAAGAGTTTTTCTTGAGAAAAAAGAAGAGAGAGAGAGAGAGATTGAGAAAAGTGACCATAGACATCCCATCCATCAATTCAATTTGTTGTTTCTTGTGTGACATATAAAAAAAGGCCAAGTAACACAATTTAATTATGACTAATCCCTTAATATATGTTTATATCTAATCGAAAGTCTTAACCAACTTAACCGGCACTTAACTAGACAACTTTTGAATCGATTAACATCATTGACAAAAGGGAACAACTTTGCCCGTGTTTGTGCCAACAAGGAAAGAACTTGAGTGTGTTAGCGCACCTCTTTTTATTCGAACTTTGAACTTTGACTCCAACCAAAGAGAAAAAAGATGCAAAAGTTTGGAGGGCATGTTTGGAGTGGTGTGCCATCAAGGCAAAGTCATTGTAGGAGCCAAGTAACTGTGTTAAAGGCATGTTTTATGAGAGGTCAGCGCTTCAAGGCTTCCTTGCTTGCTTTGCTTCCTGTGCTAAGCAACCTAACGTTGTTGTTTCAGGTTGCGTGTGTTATGCTCTAATTCCATTCCTGTTTTGTGCATGTTAGGCACAAGGGAATCTCACTACCCTCTTAACCATCTCCTTAAAAAGAGGAAAGAAAGAGAATCCACTAAGCGGGTGAACAAAAGATATAAAAGCAAAGCTAGTCAACAATTCCATGCCATTATGTAGTTCCCTTTCTCTTTGCCTTTGAATGTGTTCCCTTTTCTCTTTGTGGGGTGTCTGTTGTGTTGTGATGATGCTTGTGTTGGCTTGTGTCTTCTAGTACTACGGCTGTTCAAGGTTTCCACTTGCTGATAGCTGGAAGGTTTATCTTATTATAGGTTCTTGTGGCAAGTGCTTCAAGGTTCAATTATTTGTTTGAATCTATCATCAGAAGCTTGTTTGTGAAGGCAAAAAAAGAAACACAACTGGAAGCAAGATGTGGCAAAGAAACCACAAGTCTTCAGAGGAGAGGAAACTGGAGCTTAGGCTTGGTCCACCTGGTGAGGAGTCTCTCAATGAAAGCATAAAAAATGGCAACATAGGAAGAGATGAATCATCATCACTCCCGCTTGGTTACTTCTCAACTCAGAAAATTTCTACTTCTGACAAACCAGGTCCAGGTGGGGTTATATTGCCCCCTGTGTGGCCTTCCACATCCTACCATCACCACAGTCAACACCAGGCTAAAGCTTCATCATTTCTTAGGCTTCCATCAAGCCCGAAAAACATGCTAGTGATGGGAAAGGATGTGTCACAGCCCTGTTGCTTAGACTTGCAGGTTGCAGAGAAAAAAGAATTCAGACCCTCTTCTTCATATACAGCTGTGTCCAAAAGGTAATCCTGCTTTTCTCTGTTGTATATATTATATATTTTATTTTCAACTTTTTATAGAGTATATTCATTCATAGAGCCATCTTTGATATTGTTGTATCCATGCAAAGTTCTGTATTTCCACAGTTTTTAGATAATAATGTTATATTATGAAGCTTTTCATTATTGTTAATTGCAAGTTGTAACATAATTTCTGAATATTTGCTCAGCCATAACAATCATCATTCAATCTTTGCTGGCTTTTTAATTTTCATTTGTAATCCATGCCATGCTAACTTCAGAGATGCCTACATCTGATTACTGATGCTATCTGTCATTTTGTATGTGGCTCCATTATCTATCAAATTTTGACATTGGCATGGCATGTGAATAACTGATCCTACTTCTATTTTCTTCCCTTTCTTCACTCTTCTTCCACTGTCTCTTTTGGCCCCTCTTGGTTAAAGGGTAATTTTGCTTGCGTGGTGGGTTCTGAATATGAGAAATTGAATGCTTACTGAATTGTATGTTTATGCTGATACTGATGTGCTTTGCTTTTGTCTTATTCATAGTGTAGTGCTTATTATTTTTACTGTTCATTTTCATGCCTAACTTTGTATATGGACCCACCAAAAACAGAAATGCTTCTGGGCCAGTAGTGGGTTGGCCACCAATTCGTTCATTTAGGAAGAACATTGCTAGTGGAAGCTCTTCTAAACTGCCATCTGGGTCCCAACAACATCATCAACATGTTGTTCCAGACAAGTTTGCTAGTCACAAACCTACTCACAACTCTGGTAAAGGCTTGTTTGTGAAGATCAATATGGATGGAGTTCCCATTGGGAGAAAAGTGGACATCAGTGCTTATGATAGCTATGAAAAGCTTTCCTCAGCTGTTGATGAGCTCTTTAGAGGCCTCCTTTCAGGTAATATTTGTAGCCATATATTTCAATCCATGTGTCCCGTGTGGTCAATTTAATAACATTTTTTTATTCATTTGTTGTTGACATAATTGTTTGAATATGGGAATTTGTTTCTTTGTGTATGGAATTTAGCCTTGATTGCTATTATCCTTTTGTTAGCTACACTCTTTGACTAACTAGTGATCAAGATGTTATCAACCTTTCAACCTCCTGATATAAAATCCCAACCTTGATCTATTGCAATTGAATTTCCATTAGCTTATAGTCATTTTTTTTTCACCTAACAAATTCTTTAATGTAAAATTTATATGTTACATTTTATACATATTTGCTTTCAATTTATTTTTTATTCTTTTGTTATGTTTTTAAACTCACTTCTAGATTGTCATAATGAAACTTGATGCAGAGATGAATTTATCTCACATTATCTCTTCCCGCTGCTGTTCTGCTCAAAGAGATTCCTCTGCTAGTGGAATTCAAAACAAGGAAGAGGAAGAGAAAATGAATATGGGTTTATTGGTTGGAAGTGGGGAATATACTCTTGTTTATGAGGATAATGAAGGAGACCGGATGCTAGTTGGGGATGTGCCATGGCAGTAAGTATCTTATCAATATGGTGAATCTGATGCATTTTTATCTTACTCTATTCAATATTATATTCCACCACAAGAGTTTGGAGCCAATATAAATATTTCATAATTAGGTAGCATATATTAAATAAGAAGAATGAATTTGAATCATTAAATTTTATTATGAATGATTAATATTAAAATATAAATATTATGTGATATTTTACAAAAATTAAATTACTTCTAAAAATGATCATATAATTTAATTTACCTTTTAATTTTTATCAATCATATATAATTGTAGAACTTAAATATACTCTTCTTGTTCTCGTATAGAAAGTCTTTTTCAATTTTTGCTGGGATAGATAGTGGGATCCGGATTGTCTCCAGTTTTTTTTCCGCTTAAGCAAAAAAATTCGCTTAAGTGAAAATGGGTTATTTTCGCTTAAAATCATGACAAAATAGTTTAAGCCAATTTTTATAAAACAAATGGCTTAAGCGAAAAAAAATAGCTTAAGCAAAAAATGGCTTAAGCGAAAATAATAGGCTTAAGCGAAAAATGGACAGAGAGTTTTAATTTTCACTCAATTTTCTCTTCTCCTTCTCCCTAAATATAACATTTCCTCATCAACCTCCATATTCAACTTTCTTTTTTCTCTTATACTTAACTCTTCTCTTTCCCTCTTAACTCTCTTTTTCTTCAACTTCATATCTGACTCCTCTTCTCATTCTCACCTCACCCAATACCCATCTTTCCTTCTTTTATCTATACTCAACTTTTCACTTTCTTCTTCCTCCACTGCCAAAATTTTTTTTATGCAAAATTAGCTTAAGCTAATTTTCCTAACTTAAGCGAATTGTATATTCGCTTAAGCAAATTATTTTATCTTAAGTGAATTTTGTGTGTTTGAAGATATGAAGGTTGAGTGTAGAGAAAAGAAAGAATTAAGAATGGATGTAGACAAGGAGAGCGATTGATATAGTAGTGACGGTGGAAGAAGAGGAAATTGAAGAGTTGAGTATAGAGAAAAAAGGGAGAGATAGGTATTTGGTGATGTGAGAATGAGAAAAGGAGGAGAGGAGTTAGGTATGAGGTTGAAGGAAAAGAGGGTTAGGAGGAAAAAAGAAGAGTTAAGTATAAGAGAAAAAAGAAAGTTGAATATGGAGATTAAAGGAGGTTGAATATGGAGGTTGAGGAGGAAATGTTATGTTTAGGGGGAAAGAGAAGAGAAAATTGAGTGAAAATTAAAACTCTCTGACTATTTTTCGCTTAAGCCTATTATTTTCGCTTAAGCCATTTGTTTTATAAAAATTAACTTAAGCCATTTTGTCATGATTTTAAGCGAAAATAACCCATTTTCGTTTAAGCTAATTTTTTCGCTTAAGCGAAAAAAGAACTGGATGTCTAGTTCCCGCCTAAACTGGAGACAATTCGGATCTATAGATAGTGATACCAAGCACTACATGCCATGCAATGACTTTTTCTTACGTGAAAACACAAAACTATAAAGAAAATAACTCTTGCAGTTGGATTTTCCCTATGATACAATTTTCATGTGTTTGCTTGGCAGCATGTTTGTGTCAACAGTGAAGAGGCTGAGGGTGTTGAAGAGTTGTGATCTTCCTGCTTTTACCCTTCAATTGGAGGCTTCAACTTAACTGAGAAGAATGAGTTCATTATTCCCCCACGGTTTTGTTTTGGTTGTGATCAATGGTTGAAGTCAACTAGCTAAACCACTTGGCTTGGCAATGAGAGATGAAGGATGGGGCTGTTTGAGGCCTTATTCCATGATGAAACTTGAAGTGTTTTTATTTGACTTTTTACTTTTTGCTTGTCAGTGTTGAAGATCAGGGAATGAAATGTTCAACTTAAAAGTTAAATTGTATGAATTTATCTTGTTCCTAGTGATGATATGAATTGTTTGTGCATTGTAAAAATATAAGTAAGGAAATCTTGATGGATATGTGCACTCATGGTTTACTGTGAGTTTCCATTAACTTGTGTTGGCTTGTATATTCTTATAACATGTTCACAAAAAGGGTGGGAAACTCCATAAGGGTACATGATTTTGGTTTCAATCTAAAATTGATTTGCTCTTAAAACCATGTTTGACTAGAAGTGAAAAAAAAAAAAAAAACCGTAATTTTTCCGTTGAGTTGATAATTCTATATTAAAATTTACTTCAAATTTTGAGATAATTTTTTAAAAATTTAAATCACTTCACTTTAAATTTAATTTTGATTTAAATTATTATTTTTTATCAAGTTTATAATCACTCAACTAAACATACATCGAATCACTTTCATTGCCCTGTATATAGGGTTGTTTATTGTATCATTTTCATCTGAATATCATAAAATGTATTCAACTTGTTTGAGTGAGCATTTACGAACTTAATTTTATAAAATTAATTTTAGATAAACTGATTTAAAAAATCACTTTTAGATGCGTAATAATCAATATATCAGCAAAGTAAAATCAAAATCATGAAGACATTATATCAATACGTATGGTAGTCGTTTTTTTCTACCAAAGAAAAAAACCACAAACTATGGGTTGCATTCGTCAAAATGAAGGTTTTGGATGAAAATTGATTTTGAAAAATTATCTAACTGCTACAATTTTCCAAACACGATGACACCCACTTAACATGATTTTAAGGGTCTAAACTTCTTTAAAAACTTTCAATAATTTCAATTTTATTTTCTGAGTTTTTTATAAGCTAACAATTTTAGTTCCTAACGATTCTGTGACTGTATATTGACACGAAGTAATATTTTATCTAGTTACATCATTAAAGATAAAAAACATATTGAATTTTTTTAAAATGACAAACTAAAATAAAACATATTTTTAGAAGAACCAAAACCAAAATTTTACAAAAATATATTTTTTATGACAAAAGTCTCTCAACTCTAAAATTAAAATACTAGCGATTCACGCAATTTAATATCAATTTGATGAAACATTGAAGTGGATTTGGTAATCTGTAATTCTCATGTTTGGGGAATTGACTTAGTACTAAGTGGTGTAATTTGGAGCCTTTAATCACGTAAATAATAATGGACGATATGGTCAATAGTTAATTGCCCAAGGACATGCAACAAATATCTATGCTTCATGTTTCACAGTTTTAAACAACTGTTCAAGTGGAGTGGATTTAGTTTGTATATTCTTATTAGTTGTTAAATTTTTTAATAAAATTTTATTATTTTTAATAAATTTTAACTAATAAAAAAAGTTTGAAAAGGATGCAACAAGCACGCAATTGACCTTTTACTTTCCCTCTTTTTACCGACAACGTGCATTTGTTTCGCAAATTTTATAGAATGACACTTTTTTTCTTTCTTGAAATAAAGAGTCAATTTCATTTCTAAAAAAATCATTAAATTTATTTTTGTTCTTAAATAGACACCCAATAGAGTGATATCACCTAAATAAGGGTAAGCCCCATACCATTTAATGAGTTTTGCATAAACATTATTGAATTATATATAATAACTTTAAAAACTCATAATTAAAGAATAATATATTTGGAATTGAATTAAAATAGCATGATCGGTTTTATAAGGATTTTTTTTTTGGTCGATAAGGAACGCCGTTTGATGCTTCATGTTGGACAGCAGACCCATTAAGGTGCGATGATGGGCTCGGCGTGGGCCATGTAAAATTGGAATTTTGAAGCAGTACCAGAAAATTTATTTATCTTAGTATTTTAAGCAAGGTTGTTAAACTCATAATAATTGAATAAAGTTTAATAATAAAGTTAAAATCATGCTTAAACAATCAAATCATATAAAATTAATAATAATAGTATAATAATTTTGATGTCATAATTACAAATGTAATGCTTCACAACTTGTCGAAGAAGAAAAAAATTAGTGTTCTAATTCTAAATGGTGTTATTTTGGGGGGGAAAAAATTGTAGTCTTACCCTTTGTTTTATTAAACTCGCAAAATTAGGTATGAATTCATGAGTTTATCCAATTCACTTAAATTTATTCAAAAATAAGTTTACGTGTGATTTGACATAGATTATAAACTCGTAAAACTTTGAGTTAAATAGAGTTTAACGAGCATGATTTAACAATTTGCGTTAGACACATTTATAACATTTGCTATGTCTATAATATAAAAACTCACATTCACTTTTAATACTTTGTATTTTATATGTTACGTTGTAATTATATTTTGTTTTATGATTTTACAAACTTATTGTGCAAAGTGTCTAACTGTCTATGTGTTATCATATCTGTATCAGTTTTATTTATAATTGATTAGTGACTTATTAGGACCAACCGTGTTAAAAAAATATTATTAGTGTGTTTATCTTTTATTACAAATTTCAAATAATTATTTAAGCAAAGAAAATATAAAAGATTAAAAGCATGCTCTAACTTTTTTTGGTAAATCATATTTTAAAAATTTTCAGGCTGAAACCCAAAATAAGCACTTATTAGTGCAAAACTGCAAGTCATGACAATAACCTAGTGCCGATGGAGTGGACCGCATTCAATTTTATTGTGATGCACGTATTAGGTCAATGTCAATGTCAATGTCTAGTTCTTATAATATTATAAAATGTTACACTTTCTCTTTTCTTTTTATATGTGTGTGTATGTTTTAGTAATTTCTTATAATATTATTCTTAACAATTTAATACAAATTTAATAAAAATTAACAAATAAGTGAGATGTTGATTAGTATAATAAATAAAATATAATATAAAATTAAATAATACTTTAATAGCAAAAATAAATAGACAATATTTTTTTATAAAAAATTAATTTTTTTTTTATTTTTGTACAAAACCTTAAATGTAAAAAAGGGACAGAGTAATAATTTAGAGAAGAAAAGTCAAAATATAAATTAGCTTAGCTCATTGCAATTCAATACGTACCCTGTGTAATTGATGCAACCTTAATTACTATTTATAAACCAACCAGCCTCCATGACTTGACATACATATATATACACAATTCTTTCGCCATTAAAATTGGGTTTTAATATAGTTGAATGTATTCATTATTGTAGAGCATAAGTTATTAATCTCTTAAATTAGTTCAGTTGATCAAGACAAAAATTATAGGTATACGTAATTTAATCTCTCATAATGTTTTTTTTTTTTTTTTCATTTTTTCCTTTTTTCTTATAATATGTAAATAAGTTTATCTTTTAAAAAAAGTAAAAGGTTTTTATTTTAAAATAAAACATTAATAAATTATAATTTCTTATTTAAATTGAAATACTTCTATCATTAGTTATCAAGTCAGCTTTTTCTTTATCATAAATTTTCTTCCAAAATGAGAAGATGAAAGGTTGTACACATTGATAGGACTATCACGTTGAGTTGACTCATGGGACTAATTTCTTTACAACATTTCTGAAAAAATGTTTGATGGAATTTTATTAAAAACCCCAACAAGTAGTGTTTGGGTAACGTAAATGAGCTTCTTAGAAGCAATTAATTAATCAACTCCTGCTTCTTGTCACAACATATCTCAAGCATATAGCTACTAGCTACACTCTTAATTTTGTCATTAAAACTTACCAAAACCAAAGACCCTCTATGTTGTAAGGAACGCTAAATAGGGGAAACTTATCATGCAATGGTGATGGGCATTCTCAGACAAGATCCAAGTGTTGTGGGACTTTAGAACCAAAATTATCAAAGAAGAGAATTATGGGTGAGAGAGAATGATATTAAATAGTAGAATTGCACATCTTGCTGAAGCATATTATTCATCAACACATACTAAATACAAAAAAACAATACCCAAACTTGAGTGCTTTTTGCTTAATTTAATACCATGATGAAACGTAAATAATGAGTTGTAGTGTGATGATGCTTCGTACACATGCTCTGGCTTGGGGTTGTGTTCAATGATTTATGCTTGCAAGAGCTTCACATGCAACCCACGTCACCAATGGCCCCATCTTATTCTGATGAACCTTTTATTTCATATAATTTTGTTCCACGTATTAGGTTGATTAGGTATTATATCTAAGAGTTTTAAACATATTTTAATAACACTTGAAAACGATTCCCTTTCATGATGATATGATATGGTGCATCTATTTTTCAAATAGTCGTTTAAATGTTTTTGAGAGATGCTTGTTTATAAGAGTGAGAGATACTTTTTATTAATTTAACATTTCAGTAACCAAAAGTGTTGTGTTTTAGTTTTTAAATTTTTAATATTAATTTAGTTTCTTAATAATGTAAAGTATCATTACTTTATTTTTTAATTGTAAAATATTATTAGATTATATTAGATCATAAACTAATAAGTATACAGTATTCGTTTATTTTAATGTAAGGGGAAACATTTTTGAACAATCGGTTTAATGATAACTAAAGACACTTATACTGAAAACGAAGGTTTGTTTTATTAACTATAAATGCTGTATCTACCCACTGATTTTGAAACCCTGCACAAATCCTCTTCATACGTGAAAATTTATTCATGTTATTGTTTATTTATATGTATTTTTTTAAAGTTTCCCGACTATTTTTCAAATTATAAGTACACTATACAATTTTACAGACTAGTTTGACTTAAAAAATATTAAATATTAACTATTTACATAATTTTAACTTAAAAATTTGATTAATTCATCAAGTCCAGATATAATAAAATATTTTAAAATTATCTTTTGTCTTATCAATTTAAATATAAAACCTATTTCTTATGTATAATTATCATAATAATTAGTTATCCATATAAAATTATATATGTATTTTAACTAATCTAAGCGCGCAAAACCATCCTTTTGAAAAGCAACGTTGAGATCTGTGTCCCACGTGCGGGCCTCACACGAGTCCCCCATTTTATGTCTCTCTAATATGTCGGCTTTCTACAGTGTCAACTTTGTGCCCACTTACTATAATACCATTACCACTTTAGTTGAGTTTTGCTACATTTTTTTAATTGTTTAATAATATTTCTACTCATAATAAAATAAATATTAAATAATATATATCATCTTAAAGCTATAAAAATTATAAGTATGAAAAGCAAAGAGTTTTAGAATTATTTCTTCAAGTTATATCCAATAATTCTTCTTAAAATAATTTTAAATCTTCTTATTTCTTATGTTTATATTTTTTTGTTATTAAATGAATAAATTATTATTATTATTATTATTATTATCTAAATTTAATAACAATAAATGTATATCCTTTTTTATTCAATGTCTACTTTATAATATTATAGAAAATTTATTAGAGAGTTATACATGAGGATAATTATAGTAATTTCAGAATTAATGCTTCGTTTGAAAAAAAAAAAACTATGAAATAAAATCACCTGATTTATATTATTTATGTTTTAAATAGCAATATTGTTATGAGATAAGTTGATATTAATAAATTATTTTTGTGTATGTCTGATTTGCGGGGTGAATTTCTTGTCAAGGTGTAGAGTTAATCTGGTTAGTGTTCAAAGTAGCATGTTTAAGCTGAAGTAATGTAAATCCAAATACTTGTTTTATATATTAGATTAATATTCTTAGTCATACACTTTTTTATATTATGATTAATATTCAGATACTTATTTTGTAAATTATTTTTTGAAAAATATTTACTTGTTAAAACACAATCACAATAAATATATTTAATTTAATGATTTTAAACTTTTATGTAATTAACATTTCTCTTGAGAGGATATCTCAGATTGTCAATATCAATAATAAATTTATTTTAAAAAATAAAAAAGTCCTTAATTTTATTGCATCATTTAGGTAAGAAAAAGCGAGTTGACAAATGAAAAAGACAAAAAAAAGTGAAAAGTCGAACCAGTTCTTTTTAATTATTATTATTTTCTTAACTCTCGGCCTTTTATCTTTTTCTTTAGATATTGGTCCATGTTTTTTTTAATAATAAAAATATTCTAAATTATGAATTTATAATTTTAAATTTTAATTTCAGTGCATTGTTAAAATTGAACTGAAAAATGTTTAATTCAGCTTTAGTTTAGTATTTCGTATGCTTCTTGATTTATAACAGGGACTACAGTATTACTTAATTAATTTTTAATATGCATAAAAATATCAATAAAAATATGTACGTAACAAAATTTCATTAAAAAGCATAATATATTACAAAATTTTGTATATTACATGAATCGATGTTTAATTTGTTGTTTTAACTCTGGTTCACTTTATTACGTACTTCGTAAAGTCACAGACAGAGTGAGGTAAGAATAGACCACGAAGCAGAGAATCATATCTCACACTCTCTGTGTCGGTTTCGGCGAGTCAAACAACCGAAGGGTCAACGCATTCTACATTATAATGGCCGAGTCTCCGATTATTTGAGAAGTCCTCGGCGAGGTTTTGGTCGCATTGGAGACCCTTTTCTGTCACCAAAATTGTCCTTTTCCTTTGCTTATTGCCAGCTATTCGCTGTATAGTGCCTTCGCTTTTCCGTAACTACATGTTTATTTCCCATAATATCCTCACACCAAAAAAATCTCACAGGCATTATTAATATACATATATATTCTAAAATTTTTACTGTAACGTAGGACTAGAACATTTATGAAACAAGATTTTTGCTTATGGGTCCTGTGTTTGTTTGATTACCCAATGAATTCTTTTTGTTCCCCCCACAGTTAATACTTATAAGTTCATATACACCTCTAATAATACCTACCGTTAATGTGCATATTTATATGTATCTAAATTATTATTGTTACAAAGCCTATTATCAATGTTGTAAATGTTGATGAACAGCTATATTTTTTTAAAAAACTTTAAGTCATCATAATTAATTAGCATAATCAAATTTGAAAGTGATACAAACAAGCTCTTAATTAATAGTCTTTATGACCAAAAAAAAATGTTTTGTGAAATTTAGCAAAGATACTTAAGTAAATAATGAATACCATTCAAAAAAGAATAACTTGATTAAAATAAATAGACAATTGACAATGAGATTTACTTGCTCTTACCTTAATTATGATCTTATCTTACAATTAGAAGTTGAATTTGGTTCGTTTATTTGCAAAGAATAGAAGGAAGGGTGAAAGTGTCAAAAGAGAAGTATCTTGAAACATATGGCCTATGGAGGGTGTGGTGGGTGGTTCTGAAAGTTGCCTCTTTGCAGGTCGCTTTCTCTTTTTACTGTGTCCAGTAAGCAGTTTACCAGACAGAGTGAGTAGTAGATTACTAGATTGTTACTTACACATACAAATGCTGTCTTTACACTCCCTTCATTCCTTTCTTCTTCGTCCCTTCAACTTCAAACCCCCTTAGGCCTTTGTTGGTAGTACCACACCACCTTTTTTCTTCTTCTATTCCAGGACTCTCATTTTACCATTCTTTTGTTTTCTTATTTTTGTTATCTTTCGGTTTCATCAAATTGTTAAAGAAGAAAGAACAAAAACATGTTCTTTTGAGCTGGAGCATTAAAATCCCATGACTTCGCTTTCTAGTTCCTGCTTAATCTGGATGCTCCCTTTGGTTTTTCTTAGCTGAATTTGTGGGTTGCGCCATTTTCCTTCAAACTTAGATCAAGTTGATTCCTTTATCTTGCTTCTTCTTACTTTCCCTGGATCAAGCTCGTTTATTTACGTTCTCTGAGTTCAAAGCTGTTTCGGTTCCAATAATTTCAGCGACCCTTTTAATCAAAATTCTTTGAAGTGTTTCCAAGCAATGATTTTTGTACGAAAATTCAATTGGGAGTTGCTTCTCTTTGTGCTGATTTCGTTTCACTTTCACTTCTCCACTTGTTATCCCATGGAACCCATGAACTGTACGGACACAAGCCGTGTTTGCACTTCTTTCTTGGCCTTTAAGCCTGAAGAAAATCAGACACTGGCGGTGATTGAGAGCATGTTTGATGTGTTACCTGGTGACATCACTGTTGAAGGCAATGGGTGGGGTTACATGTTCATAAGGAAGAACTGTTCTTGTGCTGCTGGTATCAAGAAATATGTGACCAACACTACTTTCACTGTGAAATCCAATGAAGGGTTGGTGTATGAAATGGTGATGGATGCCTATGATGGCCTTGCTTTTCTTCCCAACACTACTAGGAGGGCAAAGAATGGTGCTGTTGTGTCACTGAGGTTGTTTTGTGGTTGCTCCAGTGGACTTTGGAACTATCTGGTGAGTTATGTGATGAGAGATGGGGACAGTGTTGAATCCTTGGCAAGCAGGTTTGGGGTTAGTATGGATAGCATTGAGACTGTGAATGGCATCGATAATCCTGATAATGTCACTGTTGGTTCACTTTATTATATACCCATGGATTCGGGTTAGTCCTTCCTTGCAATCTTCTTCAATTCTTTTCTTGGAATATGCCTGTGTGTGTATGTTTATTTAGGTACTTATATATCTGAGAGGGGTGTTCGATTAAACTTTAGTTCTATATTGCTTAATGCTGTGGCTTATTGTTTGTTCGTTACAACTGCTAGATGGGATGTGACAATTGGAGGTTGTGTGAAAAGGGATTTGTGAAAAGTGGCTGAATATAGTGCTTTTTTAGCTTTCTAATTTTAAGGTGTTTAGAGATAGGGTACACATGTGACGATGATGTTTACATGTAACAAACTGACTATCAAGTGAAAGTGATTTCGCATATGTAGTTGGGAATTGGGAAAATCCTTTGTTTGTCATGAGTGGTAGCATTTAATGTGTTGAGAGGTTCATGCATGTATGTGACATACCTTTTACCTCATATCAATTACTAGAAATTTAAAACAGAGCATTGACTATTTTTTGTGCATTGATGAATTAGACAAGTAACTAGACTGGAGGGAAGTTTTAAACCTGGGATTTTTCTTTCAACCTTCTCTTTTCTCCAAGGACTGTCGCATTCTGTTTCCAAATGATATAAATTTTAATATTAAATCAATAGTTAATTGTTGTTATACGGTGGTTTATGTTAGTGTCTCCATGCAGAGTAAAAACTGAAGAATGTCCTATTTTCTATATTGACAATGTCAATCTGTCTTAGACCTGGAGCTTAAGTTAAAGAACGTTATTGTGGATTATATTTTAGTTTCTCTACGTATTTGGGACAAATATGACTGGTTTCTTTGAGGGAATGGATTTGCTACATATGCTGTTTAATTTTGGAGGATATGCATTGGACAGCATTCATTTTTCTTGAATTGACCAAATTGAAACTGCTCATTCAAATATCTGTCTATATCCTCTGCTTCATTGTTTTACATGTATCGGATTTATCTATATTCCCTGTTCATTGGATTCATGAAAATATTACTAGGTGCCTTCAAATCTTGAATGCAATTTGATCATTTCACTGGATTGCAGTTCCTGGTGATCCATATCCCCTGAATAATGCGGCTCCACCAGTTCCTGTTCCTGCCCCATCCGATAATAACTTTTCAGGTATTGATCAACATATGCTGTAAAAGGAAAAATAACTTTTCCTTTGGCTTGTAGTTTGTCTGTTTTCTTAATGTAAATACTAAACCTAGTTAGAATTTTCTAGTTATTTGTGCAATGATAGAATATGCACTTTATTTAATTATTATTTTTTTTGTTACAGCTGATCAAGTCAATCACAAGACTCATGTTCCCTATGGATGGATCGTTGGGGGTTTAGGAGTTGGTCTTTTATTGATAATATTAGCTGTAATTCTCTGTGTTTGCCTGAGATCATCAAAGTGTTTTGCTGAAGCCAAAAGTCATGAGAAAGATGCCGAGGGCAAGATCTCTCATAAATTTCATATTCTTCGGAACCCAAGTTTTTTTTGTGGTTCTGGAAGGTACATATGTGGCAAACCTGTTGACCAGAAGCAAAAAGATGGTGAATCTAGCAATCACACAATTACCATTCCCAAAGCTTCAAGTAACTAAGCTACTGATTGGATCCTCAATTTGTATTTTATACCTATGATTTCAGCTTGAAGTAATCATGTTTTGCCTGTACTGTATTGAGCATGAATGTGCATAGTTCCACTTGCAAGCTAGATCAATCCAGAGAGACACATTCACAAAGTCAGACGCTTAAAAATGAATTCTTAAATGCCAAATGCGATTATGTTATTCAAAGTTGAGGATTTAGGTTGTGCAGTTCTGCATCAATGCCTGGAAACTGTAGATATATGAATTAAGTTGATAGTGCTGAACATTCATTCGGACCTAGTTTTCATGTTAAGTTAATTGTGTTCTTGGGCACACTCCTAAAATGTTTTGTGGTCTTATTTGTTTAAAGGTTCCTTTTCAAATATACATATCTGTATTCACAACTGTATGTTTTGTTATACAACTCTGTCTACCAATATTAATGATTTGTTTTTTAAAATTGGAAGTTATGCATAATACACATACAATTATTATTGCAGCTCTAGGGCCTGACGTATTTGACATGGATAAGCCTGTAGTCTTTTCATATGAAGAGATTTTTTCCTCAACTGATGGTTTCTCAGATTCAAATCTACTTGGGCATGGAACATATGGTTCTGTTTATTATAGCCTCCTTCGCGACCAGGTTTGTTTTGCATACTTTCAGTCTCTTATAATAAGAAGTGAGCATTTTTTTTCTCATACCAATTTTGCTTAAATCCTTCTAGGAAGTTGCTATTAAAAGAATGACAGCTACTAAAACAAAAGAATTTATGTCAGAGATGAAGGTTTTATGCAAGGTTCATCATGCTAATCTGGTAATTTCTTTTTCAATCAAAATAAATGATATGCTTTGATTTCGAAGACAATTGCTTGGCCCATTTCGAAAGTCTGAGTTGTCTTTTGATTGACTTTGTCAAGGTAGAATTGATTGGCTATGCAGCTAGTCATGAAGAGCTTTTCCTGGTTTATGAATATGCTCAGAAGGGTTCACTCAGAAGCCATTTGCACGATCCTCAAAATAAGGGTAAGATTATGAAATTCAGGGTTAATCCAACTGTGTCAACAGATTACCATTTTTACTTTGAGCAATTGATTGTTTTCAATATCTGTTGTATTGGGGCAGTAGTAGGCTGTCAAGTGAAATGTGTTGAAATACTTGAACGAAACTTCTTGTAGAGTCAGTACTGAGAAAGTTCTTATGTTATTCAAAGATGAGGCTTGAATTGGTGTCAACACCCTGGACTGCCTAATTTCCATGTTTTATTGTAGGAACAAGTTTAAGCGTTGCATTTATAGTTCATGACTGATTTTTTGTGTTGCTTATAGGTCATTCCCCACTTTCTTGGATCATGAGGGTCCAGATTGCGCTTGATGCTGCTAGGGGCCTTGAATACATACATGAACACACAAAAACTCATTATGTCCACCGTGATATCAAGACAAGCAACATTTTACTTGATGCTTCTGTTAGAGCAAAGGTAATAACAAATTTATACACTCTTACATCATTTTGAAATGCTTCACATTTCTTGATTGTCATTTTTCTTGGATCTCTTTCTGTTTCTCTAGATTTCAGATTTTGGGTTAGCAAAACTTGTTGGGAAAGCAAATGAAGGAGAAATTTCAACTACTAAAGTTGTTGGTACATATGGATATCTTGCACCAGAGTAAGCAATGTGCAATATTTTTTTTTCAAATTTATTCCTCCTGCATAAAATAATATTTTTCTTTGTTATTTCTCATATTTTGCAGATATTTGAGTGATGGTCTTGCAACTACTAAAAGTGATGTATATGCATTTGGTGTTGTCCTTTTTGAGATTATATCAGGAAAGGAGGCTATTATTCGATCAGAAGGCACAATGACAAAAAATGCTGAAAGACGTTCACTGGCATCCATAGTAAGTTCTTCTTATAAGACATCATTTTGAGCAACAGTTCTACCAGCATATAGTTTTGGAAAGGATTGTAAGGATTTGAATAACTCTAGCAGTCACTCATGAATCTTGATGATGATCTCATCATGTCTTCACTAATGATTCAATGTTCAAGATTGTTAGTAGGGCTGGAAATAACCAGATTGTATTCCCCAACACTTTTCTCTGAAAAACAAATACATGTAGTAAGCCTAGTTTAGATAAACTTCTAGATAAATATTTATAAAGAAGAAAATAAAGACGTAAAATGAATAAAACATATTTTGTAAATTAAAAAAAAATTATGCACTCTAGTTTTAGTAAGATTAAATGAGCATTTCTAAAAAATTAAAAAGAGTTTAAGTTAATTTTAACACATGAGAGGAGATAAATTCATTTTGCTTCTGTTTTTTGTCTGTCATAGGTACTTATTATGAAATTTAGTCAAACTGAGCTGCAATGAAGTCCTCAGATATGTCAAAAGTGAATTTTTGTTGTCACAATATATGCGATATAACATTTTAAATTTACATATTACAATATATGCAATATAATTATTAATTGATCTGTAATAAGTCAACCTCCTGAGATGGTTGAGTTGTGTAACAACCACATACACAGAAGAGTAGAGGAGGGAGACTTGAATTACATTTGAGCCATGTGGCAATATATGCATATGGCTCAATGGATAAAAAATTTGAAGTATATTGTCAATTGATGGTAGCTTGGGACTGTGAAACCAGTATCATACTTGGTAATGATTGCATGGTTGAAGGTTAGACCTAGGTAGAGGTGAGGAGATAATGGCAAATGAAACAACCAATACATTGTATGGTTGTCCTTAGCAGGAAGTATTGCGTGAGAACTTTGTTGAATCATATGCTAATGAAATACAATCACAAACCACTTCCCTGCCTTTCACTAGAGCCTTGGGTGGGGTAGTTGGTTTAGTCAAGGAATATGCTAGATGACCTGGAAGTCCTTATCTGTCATTTGAGCATGTTGTGACTGAAGGAGTGACACAAATTTATGAAAAGTCATCCACACCAAATCTATATCTATATAGTAATTCAAAGGAATCCCATAGTTATGCTACAATTGTGTGCTTGTAGATTTCATAAAAAGTAATGGTGAATTTATTAAATAAGTTTCGGTGGATGCTACTTGTGTGCTTTTCTCAGCATCAGTTGTTTGGTTATGTATGTTCTGAAACCTTTATATTTCTTCTTATTTCATATATGATGGCATCCTTTGCAACTGTTTTCTGGGGTATTGCCTTGACATTTGTCAAATTGCAGATGTTGGCGGTTCTTAGGAACTCACCTGATTCAATGAGCATGTCAAGCCTGAGAGATTATATTGATCCAAATATGATGGATCTGTATCCCCATGATTGTGTATTTAAGGCAAGTTATTTTCTTTATTTTCACTTATTTTTCTTCTGAAGTTTGTTTAGCTCAGAGCATAATCAAAGTTAGTACTTTTAAATTCCTAACACAAGGAATGCATCCAACTGTGTAATTTAACTTCTCATAGTATGATATTATTAGTTTGAAGAAACAACGAGTCCATTTATTTTAATGTTGTGACTCATTTTTGACTTGTTGATTTGGTATATTAGATGGCCATGCTGGCAAAGCAATGTGTGGATGATGATCCCATCTTAAGACCTGATATGAGACAAGTTGTGATTTCACTCTCACAAATTCTCTTGTCTTCTGTTGAGTGGGAAGCAACACTTGCAGGGAATAGCCAAGTATTCAGTGGCCTTGTCCAGGGAAGATAAGTTACACAGCGACCATATCTCTCTTCAACATCATTCTTTTCTTGTGTATCCTGCTTCATTATACCTTCTTGGTTGGTGGGTTGATAATGATGAGTCCATAGGAACTGATGGACCTGGTGGTGGGTCAATATCTATTTTTGGCCATTTATTTTATTCAATGTTTTATGAGCTAAGCTATTCCTTGATTTTATTTAGCTTCATTCCAATATGTAGAAATTTTTTGATGTAATTTAGAGTGTGTGATGAGGATCCAAGTAAACATTTTATTGCTCTCTGATTTGTATTCATAATATAAGTTGTGATTCGACATTAATCTATGTATGTTTATATTCTTTTATTCCTTGCATTTCTCGTGTTCTAATATCTTTTTTGGAGAGTGTTATGTTAAGGCAAGGTGTGATTGTTACTTAAAAAAATCATTTTAAATAAAGCTTGATGCTGATCTTCATCTTCTAACCTCTTGTGCGGCGTTGCTTGTGTTAAAATAATTATATCTATTCCGGTATTGCATACACCTACAATTTTTTCTAATTACAAAATAAAGAAGAAAATGGTTTTAAAAAATGACCACTTAAATATTTAATTAAACTAGTCATGGTTGTTTATTAACTAAGGTTTAAATATTGTTAACTAATTGAGTAATTAATTATTCTTAAAATGAAAGTAGATTAACTAAAAATAATAAATGGCAAGCCCAAGGTTTACACGGGCCGAATCATACAATTTCCGGCTGGAGAGGACAAATTTATGGGCCCAATAAATCTAATATGGCTGATACCAAAACGACGTAGTTTGGTTCCGTTTATGAACCCGCGTGACCAAAAATTCAAATAAGAGAAACGAACGTTTGTGTCGATTCTGGAACGTGAAGAAGAAGAAGAAGATGGCTTGTGAAGTTGAAGATAACGCTTTTGATCTTCATCGTCTTCGTTCCGATATTTCATCTCTTCTCCAACAGGTACTACCAACTCTCTCTCTTTGTTAATTCAATGCTTTCACTTTTCACTTGCAATTGCAATATTTCATTATTAACCCTAAAGAATGAATAAATAATTCAATTAATTACTAAACTACGTTTTAATTAATTCACAGGTTGACGAGCTTGTCGTGGAAGCGATTAAACTGAAGAGGATAAGCAAAGAGGGCGAAACCAAAATTCAATCGTTCTCTTGTGTTCTGTCTCACATGCTTTCCTCATTGAAGGTCAAAGTCAAACCCTATTATCTTTTTTTTTTCTACTCTGCATTTTTTGTAACTTGTTGCTTGCAATTTCAGCCATGGGTTTCCACATTTCAAAGTGCATTTCGCACTGAAACCCAACAGCATCAACCTGTTTCCTGTGATGAGAGCAGAGTCTGTGACAGTCCTCAAGAGGCAACCTTGGACTCTTTGGTGTCTCCCTCTCCCCTTGTTTCATGGCGTGCTAACTGTACTGTTGAGAGGGGGAGACAAATGTTTATGCTCACACCTCTTCCATTACCTTCCAAATCACACTTAAAGGAATTTGCACACTCTAAATCAACCACCCTTTTAGCTTTGCCTAGAGATATGACTAGTTCGACGGGTAGTGTTGTGGTGAAACCAACTCCGATTAAGCTTGTTAATGAAGTGCCAAGGAATCAAGAAAATGGGGTTATTTCTTCACCAACTTTTCCTAAGAGAGATGGGTCCATGCTTGTTATGATGACTCCTTGCTTGAAAATGTCGCCTCCTAAATCTTGTGTTTTACTAGAACCTATATCTGAGATCTCTCATATGGGTAATGACAAGGTTCGCAAGTCCACTCCCTTTCCTGTTGGGATTAATTACAGTGATTCAGAAGGTTCCGAGTCTCCCGGTGGCGATGACGCTTCGCGGGGTTTGGCATTGAAGTATCCAGAGCTCTTGGGGATAAGACATGTTTCTAAGTCAGGAATTGGAAAGAAAACGGTGCAAGAGTCGCCGGATTGGCTTATGTCACCTCCTAAAACTTGTGTTTTGCTGGAGCCAACTGATGAGAAGTCATTGAAGTTGGAGGAGAAGACTGATAACGAGTCGTGTATAGAGATAACCGAGTCCATTCTTAAGCAACAAGTCAGCAAATTTGAAGGTGATGATGATGTTTCTGAATATCATAATCAAGCCAAAAAATCTGGTAACCAAGGTAATGCTAATTGCTTGATCTATTTAATATTTGTACATGAATTCTGGCTTGTGGGGGTTAAAGGTTGCACGCTTGATAATAGCTGTTAAATTTTTGCTTCTGTGCAGGTCATTTCGTTGGCAACTTATCACATGTAGAGAGCACTCCCATGTGGCATGAACCTGAAAGCTTGTTTCAAACAGGGAAACGTCCTGGTGAAAATACTTTGAAGAAGGAGTTATGGACTAGGTTTGAAGCAGCATCCACCTGGGGGTGTCAACCCAAATTACTCACAGTTCAAAATAATACTCAGAAAGGGTTTCTTGACCTACTGGAAGAAGCTTCCTGTGATGATGAATAAATTAAAGATACGAAAATGTCAAAATTTAAGCAAGCAAATAATCTCATTCGAAAATTTTGACATGTATATGCTGGTTTATGTTGTAACATTTGTAACAAAGAAGTCTGGTGCTTAGTGATGATGCGCGCAAAAAAATGTGCTGGTTTTAATACGTTTACATCACATTTTTTATGTTTTTCTTCCTTTTTCATCACATCTTCTACCTTTCTTTTTGTACTTCTCTCTTTCATCATATACCCCATTTTTGGGTACAAATTTTTTTCTAGGCTAATTGTCATTATTATTATTCTCTGGCATTTTCTTCAGTATTAACTTTTTTTGGTCAATATTCAGCATTAACTATCAATATGGACTTCAATATTGTGTACAAAATCCTAGTAAGGGGGTTTCATTTTTTGAACTTTTTCTAGAATTTTAATTTTGCAAAATCTTCCAAAATTTAATTCTGGAAGTGATTTATAAATTATTTTTAAATTTTAATTTTGAAAATTTTCAAAAAAGTCATGGGAGGTGCGAATATATAAAAAAAAAGGTATGAAAAAAATAAGCCTCTCATTAAATATTGAGTTTGGACCTGGGCTCTACAAAACTTCAGATCAAAATATTGGATCCCGGTAATGAATCATCATTGAAGCTCCTACTCTGAATTGTAAATTCAATGACATTAACATACTTTGGCTATTTTTTAATTTTTATTTAATTTTTTTCTTAACGATTACTTTGTGCAAATGCTCGATTATTGCCATTTTTGAAATGTTATACAAAATGAAGAATAAAAACTCTCGGTGTTCCAGTAACTAGGAATTTTTGAAAATTCGTCATAATTTAAAGCCAAGTCATGTATCAAGTTTTGTTAAATTAACCCATAAATGTTGACCTGAAGTATCTTCAAATATTTTGCGAAATTTAAATTACACGTCTCAGTAACATACTATTCATCAAAGGGACAAAACCTTAATAATGTGCAGTGGTTTACAACACCACCATTCTAATTTATAGCATGACTCGATTATAACATTAGTTTCATGTATTTATAAATATTTTTTAAATTCACGTACAAATTTTAAATACAAACATATTAAACAATATCACCATTATTAAATAATGATAAAATAACTTATTTTCAAGAAAAGAAAAATATAATAGATATCTTTATTGTCAATGATGAGAAAAAAATTAATCCAATTATGAACATAAATTGTGTATATCACAATACATCTCAATATCGATTAATTTGATATAATACGTCAAAATTTAAATTCATTTCGAGATTGACTAAATTCAAATCCTTATGGAATGATGGCTAGCCATCTTAAAAGATACGTGTAATTTTACAGGCAATGTATCACATTTAAAAAAAAAATGGGATTTGTCATATGTTATCCTTCATTGAAGCATCACTACAGGTTCAGCTATCTGCAGCCAATCCCACCACCACTTCATTGGACAACTTTCTTTTTAAGGCAGAAGCATTTGCATTAAATAATTAATCAGACATGTCATCTTCTCCTCCACTAGACTGATAATTGTCGTGGTGCGGTGCAACTCTATGTTGATGTTCAAGACCATCATCCATTTCTAAATCCCCTCTCTTCGAGGAATTGCCCTTTGAACTTGTATAAACCTTGAAACGCATCATGGTACAAAATAGCAAATCATTTTATAATTCAAGTAGAATGGCAAAATTATAGAATAATTAAGTGTCATACCCCAGAATCCTTCCGCTCAATTGCAGCAACACTAGACCTCCGCCTTACGGTCACTCTTGAAGGTATTGGACATTGTTCAACCTCATCACCCCATCTTCCCTCTCTAGCCCTCTTTTTTCTTAAAACAAGTTTAGTTGGAAGAGGCTGCATGTAGAATTTATAAAATTAGCACATCGAGACCGAGTAACCAAGAAAGTACGTACCGGAGCATAAGTTGAGAAAGACATAGATATTGGCTCCAGTAAATACCAAGTAACGTGCTTCTGAATCGTCAAATGAAACTAAGAATGTTGTAGGGTCATCTGCATCATCACCCCGAACCTATTAAGATATTTTAAAATATGTCAGAATAGTGTTAAAAAAAGGGGGAAATTTCTTTAACAGTAAAAGGGTTCATGAATCATGACATCAAATTAGTTACAGAAACTTAAAAGCACAAAATGATGTAATTTTAAGGTAACACTATCGGAATTTTTAAAATATTGCAACATACATCCCAATTATACTCGCGGATCCAAGAATACGAGACTTCTTCATTTTCATCATATATATCCTTTGACAGCTGCCATCACAAAATTTAGATAAATCCATAAGTTAACCACAGAATTATGTACAATAACTAGTGTTTCAAAAGTGAGATCCACATTTAAATTTAATTGCATACCTCTCCTGGTGCTGGGGTCATGTATGCCAAAAACTTATCAGGATTAGCAGGATCTGAGCTCGTTGCAACATAACTTTTCATAACAGCCTGCAGGCAATGGATGGATGGAATCAGTCCAACAACAATTTGCAGTCAGCACCATTGATCAACAGAGTAACCAAAATAAATAGTCCCAATATATATCTCATAAGTTGCTTCTTGCAAACACATTCACAGAACCAGAAGATCATCAATCAGGAAATTAATACCCATCACTATCCCATGAATAAACAAAAGGTAAATTGAATACTTCAAGAGTACATAGCTCCACCCCAAATTGAGTCAAAACTAAAAGAGCAAATTAACAAGACTGGTAATGTATGCAACTTTGCAAACAGGTACAGTATCAATACATTTCCTTTTTATTCTGTCATATATCCTTTTCTGAGCTTTTGAACTTTCAAAGGGTGGGGTGGGGGGGGGGGGGGGGGGAATGAGTTATTGATTAGTAATACATTCATCCTTGCAACACAGTCTACCTTTGATTCAAAGGCATCACGAACAGATTTGTCCAACTTAGCATACATTTCTGAATCAGCTGTGGGAGCATTATCAAATGCAGCAACAACAAACTGTTCATCATACCTGCAGATCAGAACAGAAGAAGGTAGTTTAGTCGTTATTAAATATGAATGTTGTCCAGCAGTTAGTATTATCTAGTGACAAAATATCAGGCTTTATATATTACAAAAAAAAAAAATCAGATTAAAAAATAAGCCAGTGTGTGTAAAAAATTTATTGATGAAAGGTACACACGGTGCCATACCTATCAAAATCAGGTAGCAATGGCATAACCTCAACAGGATACAAATCTTTGTTGGTTGCATGAACAAGATCTGACTTAGCTGCTTCAAATGATGCTTCTATTTCCCTGATTTGTCTTTCCCTATGAGAGAGAATTCAATTATAGTTAGAAGATATTAATTACTTACACATAGTAATTTGTGTCCACAATTGACTTTGTATGGGTGGCATACCTATTGTTAAGATTGTCCAAAATGCTGCGGCCTCCTTTCATCTCTCTCAATTCCTTAGCTTGTTTTTCAGTTAAAGACTACAAATAACATATTCATTAGTTATTGCTAGTAGTGAGAGTAATGCATCATTATATCAACATATATGCCTAGTACCTGCTTTGTCGATTCCATGCTTAGAGGAGATATATATTGTGTTTTGACAAGCCAAGCTACACCTTTATCAGTAGGCCTCTCTTTCCTTTTTATGCCATCTTTTTTTATAGGAGTAATTGCTTCATCATCTCGCAACAAATCTTCATCTTCTGGAGCAAGAGGTGGTCTGAAGCTGGGAGGACTGTATAAAAGGGTGCATCAAACCTTCGCAATCAGCATAATCCACTCAACTATTCAAATTTACTAAAGGAACTGAGGACAATACTTGTAAACACTGAGATCAAGCAGGTCCAGAGGTATCCCTAGATCTGGCTCCACAAATAGCTTGGGTTTGTACATTTTCTCCAGAGATGTGATTGTATATTTTGCATATCTGGCCAATGACCATAAAACTAACGTTAGATTACGTACTAATTTTTATCTGTATATTTCCCAGCTACATACTGATGTAAAGTGAGAACAAGATTCCATACTGATCTTTATCTTTCTTGAATGCCATAAGCTTAGGCTGTGCACTTGGATCTGGAAGTTCATTTCGAAACCTTAAATGAGAGTAAGCATAGAAAATGTGTCAGTATTGGAAGTAAATACAACAAAACCACGAGACAAAATAACGCATTATCCAAAAAATAACAACATATCATTTGTCTGCCATATGGACCATTACAAACACCCATAAGATGTAAGGACTTGAAACAATAGAGCTTTGAAAAAAGAAATTATAGCACAAAATGATCAACGCACTCACCTGAGCTTACACAAAAATGTTGTGGGCTTTTTCAACCTATTTTCAACCCTCTCGCCGCTCAACAATGGAGTAGTTCTCCTTTCTCCCATTCGAGACCCTACAATCGAACCATGCCCCTTCCCAGACGACAACATTTGAGTCTTTTGCAGAACAGTGTTCTGGGATTCCTTCAACTGCTGTCTATGCTTTTCTTCTTGCCTTTGCTTCTCATACTCCCTCTTTTTCCTCAGCCTCTTTTCTTCCTCGGTCTCAGGCCTGCCGGGCGGCCCATTCATCTTCTTCCCTGGCACGGGAGGAACAGCAGGCTGCTTGTGCTGCTTGTGAGCAACGCCATGATTGGAATGCTCGTATTCGCGCCTGCCAGACGTGGAAGGCTCCTTGAAACGCCTCTCTTCATTGTTTTGAGTTACCAGAGGGGGCGAGGGTGAAGCAGGGGGAGGTGGCGGTGGGGGCGACAAAGGAGGTGGCGGCGGGGGAGGTGGCTGATTGTTATACTGATTATTAGGAGGATAATACATAGGAGGTGGTGGTGGAGGAGGCTGGTATGAGGCTTCAGGTGGCGGTGGAGGTGGTGGTGCCGGTGGAGGGTATGGAAAATGAGGGTGATGGGAATTGGGAGGAGGTGGAGGTGGTGCATATGGAACATGTTGTTGTTGTTGTTGATGATAATTGGAATTTGGAGGGATTTGGGGGAATGAAGAAGTAGAGGGATCTCCATAAGAACCCCAATTTTGATTATACTGATGATTTGTACCTGCACCTGCAATAGGGTTTTGAATTTGACTCGATTGCGGAGGGAAAGGCCTGTAAGAGGCCATTCCTTACAAACTCAAATTTAAATCGCTAGGGTTATCTTCTTCTTCTCCTTCTTCTTCTTAAACTTCAACAACAGAGAAAAACCCTAAATTAATAATTAATAATAATGATAATCAAAACGAACCGGTTTGGGTTCCAATTCCAAATCAGAGTGATAAAATCGTGTACCTCTGAGTGACGCTCAGTGATCGATATTGGAAGCGATGGAAGATTGAAAGAGGTGTAGATACCGGCGTGCGATATACTTAACAGAAGCGGTGAATTTTGTGCTTACGAATGCAGCTTCTGCTATTGCTATTATTTCTAACACACACTTCCCCCTTTTTCTTTTTTGCTAATCATTCCCCATCCTGGGAGTGCAAGGGTTTGTTTTTGGGAAGAAAAAATATATATTATACAATGAAAAATATCAGAACATAGTTTATAATCATAAAAATAATTATGTATAAATATTGTAACTCAATTAACATTAAAAGTTAATGATTAATCTAATTACGATTTTTACTAAAATATATTGATAAAATTACACTATATATAGATATATTATGAGAAAATTTATATTTTTATTTAGTCATATATTAACAGATTAAAAAGTTATAGTGGTGGTCATTAGTTGATGATATAATTTTTTTTATATTTACGCAATATTAAAATTAAATTTTAATTTAATATTATTAATTTTAGAATAATTACTTGTTGATTTAAATATATTTATTTTTATTATTCTACTAAAAATTTGTTAATCTAATATTGGATTTAATGTAATATTAATATTTTTTTAACTTATACAGTATTATACATGGTAAAAAAATTGTATATAAATTTTTTTTATTAATAATTATAAAATTTAATAAAAGTTAATACATTAATAATATTAAATACTATAATATTTTATAAAAAATTTATCATATGTAAAATTTTTGATTTTGTAAAATGTTGTATAGATTAAAAAAAAATCAATATTAATATACTACCTTTAGTTTAAGCTCGATAAGCGAAATTTTTATTTTTAAAAAATATAAATAAAATATTTAAAAATATATAACATATGTATCACATAAAAAAAAGTAGAAATATAATGATATAAGTCGACATCTTAAAAGATAAAGACGTAACTCATTTTAATTGTTGACCTATATGTTATCGATTACTTTTATGCATTTTATTTGCATTAAGTTCTATTATTTTTCATACATAGTCGAGACTCCAGAGTTCAGATACATAATGACTTGCCCTGAAAAGGACATTTACACTTTTAATATAGCTTAATTAAATATTGATTTGATACTTTTTAATAGAATAACTTATGTCATAATTTTAGCTATAAAATTTATGACAGGAATCATAAATTACTACTATAAATTGTTTATAATTTTTTAATAAAGTAAGTTCAATAACTCTAAAAACTTCATTGTAAATAATATTATAAATTACATTTTAAAATATTTTAATAAATTAATTAATAGATTTTTTTTCAAATAAGTTCTTATAAACGATTTAACTCTTTTTTTTAAAAAAGGATATAAACTACAAAGTAAATATCTATTTGTATTAGTTTAAATATTTGAATTAAAATTAACAATAAATAGATTTTTATTTTATTACTTTATATATTTTATCAATTTAGAGAATTTTAATTTTTATAATTTTTTTACAAAAAGAATCCTTCATTTTTTTTCGTTTTTGACCTTTCTCAATGTCACAAGTTTTTCATTTAATATCTTGTTTTAAGGGAACTAAATGAAAAATATCATGATATTTCTAAAGACTACATGACGGGCTATTTGGTAAAAGAAATTGTTTTAAATGACTCATTAAAAAATATTTAAAATAATAAATTAAATGAAAATATCATAAATTTTTAGAAACTAATTATTTAATTAAGTCTAGTTTAATTATAAACACATTATTTAACCAGCCCGTAAAATGGACAGGCTTATATACTTAACTATATATGAAATATAAGTTTCAATTCTTAAATGAGAGTATTTTATAAATTATTTTTTAATTACAAAAATTATATTTATTTAATATAATAAAACATTTAATTTAATAATAGTCATCCAATGTAAAAAAGGAAAAAAAGAACTCACAAATATTGTATAAAGTGGAAGAGTAAGATTCCTCTAACATTTGAAAACAAAAGGGATATTTAGGAACAAAATATCTCAAAAGGGCGAAATCACTTTCCTGTGGTGAATATATATTTGTTTATGATACAAAATTCACCAATTACATTGCATTTGCCCTATCTATAATTTTCATTAACTCTCTATTTGGAGCGACACGCTGTTTCTTGCGGCCCAGCTTGCCTCACCAACTGCACAAAATAAGGAACTTTCATTTAACATAACATATTACCAAACACTGCATATTTACATTTCATACAACACTGCTTTACTATATAGTCTCACCTGAAAATAAGCTTCAAGTTTCTTTCTCAGTGAAGCATATTCTTTCTTCAATTGTTGGAAGCTCTTCATGCATCTGCATATATTCAAACAAGATTAGTACCATCATTGTTTAGGAAACTGGGTGAGTGAAACATCACTCTTTATTCATGTTCTACATATACCAAAATGCATTAAGAATGCTAGTTATGATCGTTATAGAAATTACCCTTCTGCATTTCCTGTCCTGCAATATTCCCTAAACAGATTGCACTCTGCTTTCACCTTTTTGGCTCCGATGCTGCAACCCATTATTAAACAAAATAATTAATTCAAATAATTTGGATTCTTTGTTGTGATAAAGCCAACAAAAGTATGTACCTGATGATACTTTTAAATAATAATTTCACTCAAGTGATAATTATAATAATAGTATTAATTATTGTCTTTATTATTTTTCTGTTGGATTATTCTATATTTACCTTGAGCTGCTTCCTTTGAACTGATGCATAAGTGTGTCCAGTTTGTTGAAATCCAAAGGGTTCCTCTCCTTGCTGCAAACACAAAAATGAGTCAACTTTATATACCATTTAAAGAAACGAAAAGTTAATAAAATACAAAGAATGGTGAAATTAATTTACTTACAGAGCCTGTTCTATGTTTGAGATAAGCCGTGATGAATCACGGTAGTAAAGAGTCACAATTTCCTCAACAAAGTTAGGATTAGCATCATCCTGCAATTCTTCCAGCTGGATAAACTGTTCATCCAGTAATCCCTGAAGAAAACCAATGTTTAAACTCATCACTGAACTGTTATGTTGTGTAGCTAGGAGAACATTGCATAATCTATACATTCAAATGATTCCATTCATGGCTGCAATCAATTGCACAAATGCCACCAATCCACCATCAGAAGGTGTGGATTCTTTGTGTTTGGAAGCAACAATATTGAAGGAAGTCTCCATTATCTGTTATTAGTTCCAATGCATGAAACTTTCCTTACAAGTGTCCAAACTTAAATGTCATACCCACTATGAAATACACACAATTTTCCTTAGTCTTGTGATCTAACTATGATAAAGTGAACATATTTGAATGTGTAATTTTCGTTAACCACCAATTAACTATATATTTCAACATATGCTAAAAATAAAATGAAAAATGAAGATAATTTGTGGTGTTTTGGCAATACAATGAAGTTAAGAATTAAGATCATACATATGACATGAATACAATTATAGAAATGGTAGGATAAGGGAAGAACCTGGTCAAAGAGGGATTGTTTCATTGCAGCAACTTGCCTCCGGGATTGGTTTCTATCCATTAGAAGAAAATGTGAAGAGAGAAGGCAAAGGAAAATTACAGTGAATGAAGGGTGGGGAGGGAATGCATGATATGGAAGGAGGTGTGGGAAATGAAGGGTTTTATAGAAGAGAAAAAGATGTCAGGTGTCTAGGATCTAAGAAGTGAGAAGCACGAGACAGAAAGCTTCACCTTTTCCTTTTCATCATTAAGGAGTGGGGCTACTTGCAAATTCGAATGTTGCATTGCATGCACTCTCTCCTTTGGACATTTGAGAGTGAATTTGTGTCAAGGAAAAAGGGGCACTTCATAAGCACTAGGGGACGAGTATCTTCTTGAATGGTATTTGCACATTTGAATGTTATTATATCACCAGATACAGAAATTGATGGATTACATACTTGTACTTTTTTGAAAGGAAATTTTGTAATCATAGTGTAAAACACCTTGCTTTATGTATTTTTCTTACTTATTTTATTATTATGTGTGTTTTCTTTTTGTAATTAGGCAAAATTGATCCTTCTTTTTTGTTGTATTAGATTTATAAAGTATATTAATCTAGGTCTTCAATTAGTCAAATTGGTGAAACTTTTTAAGGGGATAAACCTATGATCTGGTACTAAAAATTTTCATTTACAAGCTTTAACGTTAAGAAAATCAAGCTCTTTACTACTTAAATTAATAGGTATTAGAAATTAATTCTTCAACATTTTATATTTCCATGTGCCTACTCAATTTTATTTTTTTTAAATTTGGGGTCCAAATAAGAAAATGTGAAATACTTAGTATCCGGCGAATTGTTACCAAATTAAACCTTTCTAATGGCAAATTCAACTTATATAATTATATGATAAATTTCTTAAATACTTTTTTTTTAATATAAGAGTGCTGCTACTTATTATAATAAATCGTTTACAAATTCGTTTATGGAAACACTCGTTATTGAGCGTAACTAAACGAATTTTTTATGTGACTAATTCAAGTTTTACAATTACGTATTAAAACCTTAAGATCTTGTTAATAAATTTAAAAATATTAATTAAGAAACCAATAAATATTGATTTTTATTAAAAATTATACTAAAATATATTAAAATGATCAAAATGAGTGAAATACTATACTTTGAATGAAATATTTTATTATTATGTCCTTTAGCATTTTCTAAATTTCAAATACTTTTTCATAAAAGTAGAAAGATAGAAGAATCAGATACTCTACCATTTCAAATACAAGAGTAATGATACTTGTTTTTACAAATCTTTCACAAACTTTAAGATAGATTCATTCAGAACATTAAAAAGGCTACGGTAAGACTAGATTAATTCTTAATGACTTGCATGAATGTTTATAAAATAGTACAATATCATTTTCTAAATTATATTTTTTTATCAATAATAAGAAAAAAAAAATCATAAGGTGTACCCCTTTCAAGAAGCTCAGATATTTAAAATTCACCAGAAGAATCTTGTGACAAAGATTAAACTTATGCTAAACATAAAATAATCTCACGATGAAAAGATGTGATTACAATTCTACCTTTTTTTTATTTCTTTCTTTAAATAGTATTTAGCCGCAAGAAATAGTGGCTGTACGGAACAGTGGGGGCCATTGCATGAGCATCGTATCGTAATAAAGTTGATAGAGAACTTTAATGCAGAACATTGAAATGACACGATACGTGGACGCATTTTCAGTCCATATCCATTTAACCCTTGGTGTTTAATCTGTACCTCATAAAACTAGAGAATAAAGGTTTATAAGTTGCTTTGGTTTCCAAAATTTTGTTAATACAAGTCTTTACAGTTAATTCTATATATTAAAATGTATTTATTATGTTAAAAATATCAAATCATAATAGATATTTTAATTATTAAGTTTTAATACTTTGAAATACTTAAAATTTTAAGTTAATAAAATTGTTCTTTTATTTATTTTGACAGAAAGTATATTTTCTGTAAAAATCTATGTATGGAATATTCGAACATAAGATTTTATCTCTGTGTGCTTTCATGTTTATTATAAAATTTCAAGTATTTTATATAAATATCTTGCGAATAAAATTCTGAAAGTATTTAAGAATTTTCGATTACTGTATTCCAATACAATCGAAACCAATTTTAAAGAATCAGTTTTTTCAAAGAAAAATAGTTTACAAACATCCTTTTGAATATATACATGTAGAAAAAGAAGGGATAAATATATTAGATAATGGTGTAATAAAAAGAGAAATAAAAAAAATTAAACAAGCATTTATAAATTAAAATTATTCAGCTCGAAATACCAAAACTGTGGAGATTACTATATAATTATATGTAACATTGCTTTATGGACTTGGATATATTAGACTACGAACAAACTTTCTCATAATGACTTAGATACGTTTTGTTTTTTTTTTTTAATATAATGTTTTTGCACTTTTTATTGATTTTTTAATTTATTTTTACTATTTTAGTTTAACTAAATTAAAATAGTATGTTTTTAATGTATAACGGGTTAAAAAAAACAAATGAAGATTAAAAGCAAGATCAATCTTATAATAACAAAAATATACTTGAGCTGTATAGTTTTTATCTATTAAAAAAAAATTGCTTCGAACATGAGTAAATCACTTGTGAAATTTGAGTTAGTGCAAATATAAATATCATAATATCTAACTCCAAAAGCACTTGCATACACTATGAGTGGAAATAAGTAAGTTTAAGTTAGATTTTACTTTTTATATATAGCTAATACTCCTTTTTTCCCCCTTATTTGTTACATTTTTAAGAATTTTTTTATTATTTATTTATTATTTTAAAAAGTTCATGATAATATTAATAATTTTAAGTATATATATATATATATATATATATATATATATATATATAAACTTAAACAATTAATAAACAAAAGAGATAAAATGATATAATAAGAAACCATATAGTTTAAAAACATTAATTTGTTATTTTTGTATGAAAACCTTAAAATAATAATTAAAATAGAGAAAACAATAAGTAAGCCATCTTAAATTCTAGTCTAACCTAAAAACTTATATAAAAATATATTTATCGTGAGACATTTACAAAGTCTATTTAAATTATTGATTTCTCAGAGACAATACATACATTTAATCTGATCACTAACTTATTGTCATCCTAACACACATACACATAATAATTACATTTTCATTATAATTTACAGTAAGACTTAAAACTTTTTAAAATTGATTTATATATACTATACGTTTTTAAGTAATATTTTAACAATTAATATTAATTTTAAACAAGAGTATTTCATTAACTTGTAAAAAACAGAATATTGAACTAAAACAGGAATATAGACATAGATATGAATATATATAATTGTTAATTAGAGATAAGCACCGACATTAAATTAATGTTTCATTATGAATATGAGTCATAATTAAAGTATTTATTTTTTGATAAATAAAAAATTATATTTCTTAGTGATTATCATCCTCGTGTCATCATTAACGCCGCACCACGTAAATGCAAACGGTTGGAAAATGGGATTAGAAAAGTAAAGTTTATGGATGTGAAAGAAAAAAAGAATAAACAGAACCCTCTCCCCCTTTCAATGAGACATATACCTAATTAGCATATGCCGTGTGCTCTCGAACAACTCATGTTTGGATATATTTTTTTTCACACTAAGTAACATAAATGCAACTATATTAAATATTTAAAGAGAAAATTTTAATACACATAATAATCTTTAAAAAATTGTAAAAAAAATATATTAGATCAAAGTTCAACCATGATTCGTGAAGCTCATAAATCGTTTATCAAATTTAATTTCTACATTTCAAATTATAATCTGAATATACTAAGAGTTACTTTCATTAGTTCCATATATGATTTGGATTTTGATATTTGTGGAAGGAGAAAAGACAATGAAACAAGCGTTGATTGGAAGCAAAGGAAAATAAAATAAACAAAATTCCTCCCAAAAAAACGATATTGGGCATCGCATGAGACAAAGAATTTATCCTAATTAATATGAGAGAGCCAAAAAGTTTGCTTACGGACACTAAAGCATTATATATATATATATATGAATAATAATAAAAATCTTTCCCCTTTGTTACTACCATGCTTTCATAACACTTATAGAAGGAATAACTTACGAGAAAGAAAAGTGAAGCAAATCGTTGATTCTATGAAAAGACATTGCTAATATTCAAACATGGTTCTTGTCTGACAGTGACACATTATCCCATTCCTGAATTCTAGAACAAAAATATGTATTTCATATCAGATGTGATACAATTATAACACAACACAAATGCAGATGAACTGTCATATAATCTTATAATTTTGAAAGTAAAAATTTATGGCTGTAAGCAAGGGTACGAAAATAGCATATTCATTTTCCCTCAAGTATATATTAACAAAATCAAATAGAAATTAATGATCATAGTAATCATTAGTTACAATCAAATGAAATTAAAAAAATTTAAACATTAACTATTGTCAACTGTAAAAGAAATTTACGTTGACAACCAAAAGTTCCACCATGTCCATGTCCTAGTTTATGAAGAAAAAAAAATATTGTGTATCTAAATACATATAAGGAGTAAAGAATAATTTTTATTTTAAAAATATCTATCACAATAAAAATACAGAAGTGCCATATTTTAAAATAAAATGTATTTAATACTATAATAGCATCTGCATATAAACCCATAATAAGAAATCCTAAAAACATCATATTAATAAGATTTGAAATAATTTCATTCAGGAAATATGATTTGTTTATATGTAAAATTACTGCTTTCACGCTTAACCATATATATATATATATATATATATATATATATATATATATATATATATATATATATGTAATTATAAAATAAGAATTTCTATATTTCTGAAGAAAGGAGGGAGGGTAAAGGGACATGTTGAGTATGAATAAAGTCAACTCCTTTCACTCAGGATCTTTATAGGACACGTGCCATTTGTTTATTGCTCAGAATGGAATATTAAAACACTAGTGGCCATTGCACTTTAACCAAGTAGAATGCGATGGCAACGGTGAAAGGAAACCTCAAATTTAACAGTGTTGAATTGAACTATTTAATTGATCTTGGTAGTTTCGATTTGTGTTTCCATAATCTTTCTTGCTTTCTTGTCATGTCAGTGCATCTTTGTTGAGATCTAGAGTTCATAGACAATTGCTACATAAAGGTGAATAATGAAGCAATGTAGAGGCAAGCCTCAAGGGCCACATATTACATAAAGTACTCAAGTTAGTTCTCTTCTTCAATGTTTTTGCCTTCTGTCTATGCTTGTAAAATTAGCAAAACTTGGACAGAACAAAACCATGTTACTGTTCTAAGGTATGGTGCATAGAGAATAATGAAGAGGGGAATCAGCGAGTGACCAAAGAGGGAAACAAAATAGGAGAGAAAAATTCCCAATGATTGACATGAGAATTTTGCCATGCACCTCAGTGGTCCATCATGTCCCTCCCTACAATTTCAGGAAAGCAAAATGTTTTAAAGGAGAAATAAGTGTTGGAGAAGAGATACTCTTTCTATTCTTTCTTTATTCCTCTGCCACACTCATGTGAAAGGACCAATTCAACCCTCTTCCCATCCCTCCCTTTGTGCTCTTCTTTCCCCTCTTCTCCAATAACATTGTTTCTTTTGCATGTGTATGATCACATCTGCTTCTTTGTAAAGAGTTAAAAAGCTTCATGTTTTGAGTGGGTGGAAGAGTATCAGAATCTGGTTTCTCAGTCATTTTCAAGTTTGGCAGATTGTGGCTTATTTTTTCCCTTCTCTTATTACTATCTCCTATCTTGATAAGGATACCACCCTGGACAATCATAATTCCCTACTTGTACTTGCATTGACATCAGCTACTTAGGATGAACTAACTTAAGTAAGATATTATTAGTCTATTTTTCTCACCCAATTGTAGAAATACATCTCTAAACTATTGAAGTCATATGTGAGTGCGATATCAAGTGTCTGATTGGAAAAACTTACCATCAATTTATGAAATTCAACTTATTACAAAATGTTTCTTGATATAATTTATCAAGATAAGTATTTTTAACTTATCCCAACAAATTTCATCATTAAATTTATTATCGCTTAAAAAGAGTTTATTGAATAAGTGTTTAATTAAGTACTACTCTAATAAGAGAAGAAAATACAGTATGTGCTGATGTTTGCTACGACCATGCAGAATCTTTGTTAGACATATCCAAGAGGAATAAGAAAATATCATATGCAAATGTAATTCCATTTTAATATATGTCCTAAAATTGGGATTTTTTTTAAAAAATGTTGTGAACCAAACTAGAAAGTAGGCGCCAAAATGAAAGAATCTTTAATTAATAATTAAGCAAGCACAACAAATTATTAAAGCTAGAATCTTAACATGTCGAAGTGCCTTCATGTCCATCTTTATGCCAAAAAACATTGATTGCATCAACTATTACCTAAAGCGGGGAAGATCCCATCACAAAAGGGACATGGAGGCATTGCACTCTACCACAGAAGGGATGCCACGTCAAAGAATAAGCTTCTGATATAGGAGCTTCTAGGATGGGTTGCCACGTTGAAGCATCAACAGATGAACAAGGACCTGAAAAAAGGGTATACCTATTCTTTCCTTTCCTCATCAAGAATAATCCAAGCCTGTGGGTATGGAGAGGTTAGCTGAAGTTGCTTTCACAGCGACTCTATTCTTCTCCGGCAGCATCAATTCACAACAGAATCCATTGCTTGGAAGACAAATTGTTGAAAGCAGCTAGCATGCATTGCCCACTAAAGACAACTTTTGATCTGTTCCCCAAAATTTTATCCAAGAAAAGATAAGATGAACAAGACACGATCCTCGTAGTAAACTTGAAAAGGCAGGGACCAAACAACATTACATGCCAACAAAGGACGATAGATAACTGCCCAAATCATGAAAAAGTAAGACTGCCTCATGCAATCAGCAACACTAAATATCACTCACAAATGCAGTTGTCACCATGCCCAATAGACACGAGAGTTGTCAATACCATTACAAATGCTTGTATGTTGTCATAAAGTTTTTATTCTTCTCAAGCAAATACAATGCTAGGCACAATTTCAGATTCAGAAATCAGAATGAACCACACCCTTCACCTAATCACGCCTTCAAAAGAAGGGTCAATAATTTATTATACAGAATCTGCAATAACACCAAACCGCCATAAAATTTATCATCAGAACCCCACCTCACAAATGATTGCTTATTGGCCCTTTTAGTTCTTTTTATAAAACTATTTATTAAAACGAGACGAACTTAACATTTTTGTAAATCAATTTAGCAGGATTAAGGGAAAAAAAAGGTAATGATAATGTTAGGAAAAAAAATAATGTGCATTGTTGTGGGATTTTAATTAGAACAATTATAAACCCTCTTACTTTTTATTCCTACATATCATCCTAATTGTTAAATGAAGAAAGTATTTAATGTGTTTTATGTTTTCAACACAATAATAAATGAACATTTTCATATAATACTTACTTTGTAAATTAGTAAGAGGATTATTAAGAAAATATAAGAAAGCTTTTTTAATTACGGTAGTAAATTTCTGTTGGGAAGAGTGGGATGATATAATACTAAATGCACAAATTTTTAAATGACAAAGAGATAATTAATGTTTAGACCAAGATACGAGTTAAACGTCAAATCTCCTTTCTTACGATAGTGTTGCTTCTCTTCGGTGATATATGGGGCTGAGAATTGGTATAGAAAATTCCATTTAATATTTATGTAAATTCAGAAATAGTATAATTGATAAAAATTTCTGTGAATTTTTACAAGAACAACTTATGCTTATATGATTATTCTAAAGAATTATTGATCAATGTGAATTCGATGCAAAATAAAGAAGGAACACAATCTACTATTGAAGTCAAACATCCGTGTTAACTGTTCAGAGCTTGTTTATCAAAATTAGAAAATCAATTCTTACATTTTTCAATAAAAAACACACTCATAAAAATGTGGTTCATATTAATTTATATATACATATCTCAATCATATTTAATGGATCAAAATCAATTGTACACAACCTTGTGAAATAGTAAAAGAAAACAGGAAGTGCAATTATATGATGTTGAACTCGTACGTTAATAGTATGCTGTAACCACTCAGTACATGGAATCTATCCATGTTCCATTACATCTCTGAGATAACACTCTTATTTACTTACACATCGTGCCTCTGTTTAGTTTCTTGTTAGACAGACCAGACTTCAGACCCAACCAATGAGTCCGAAAACAATGCATAATGCGTCCAAAAACATCAAATTTTACTCGTCAGACGGTCAGTGATGAACTATTGTTGCTTTGGGTGGGTGTTAGCCAATTTTTAAAATTATATAATTAAGTAAATAGAAAACGAATTTTAACAAGTTATATGTTTATTTATTTTTATTTATGTAGTAACTTATTTCCGTTTTAATTTTATTTATCTTGAGTTTTTTTTTTTTATAAGTTTTCTTCAGCACATTAGATTAGATTTATTAATGCTTTATTGTTGAGTATGAAGCACATGGGCGCACTAAATCTTAAACCAATGATTTTAATGAATAAATAAAAGGGGGTGAGAAAGGAAACAAGAAATGCATAATGGTATACAACTTTATTTTTGGAAGGTACTAGCATTATTCATGGTTGAAAATGCTTTCAAATGCTTCATTTTCTAATTTTTAATTATTGTCAAATAAAACTTATGGCGAAATACAAATATTTCAAGCTATAATACAAGTCCATCTTCCTCTACTACCAACCACCTAACTTCTATTCCAACAAATACAATAACTTACAAGAGTAGAAAAGGGACAAGTACAAATAAAATAAAATTATTTCATGACAAAAACCCAAATTTGAAAAATGAACTATTGTTACTTCACCGGTAGCTTCTATAGGCTGGGGTATACATACAGCTCTCAGCAAAGTTCACCAAATCCTTTGGTTGAGGAAGGCGAGTGGCCAAGCCTGAGCAAGATGGGAACTCAATTTCTTTATTGTTCTAAAATTATTTATAATATTTCAAGGAGAAAGAGTATAGTATTAGGTGTGCGCTTTTATAGACAACATATTTAAGCATTTATTCAATAAGTTCTTTTTAAACAATTACTTGTGCTATAAATTTAAAGATAAAACTCATTAGATTAAGCAGAAAACAACTTATTTTAATAAACTATATCAATAAGCTTATTGAAATAAGCTGAAAACAGCCTATAAGAGTCATAAACTGTTTTCTATAGGCTGTTTATAAGCTCTTCCAAACAAGTTTTAAAACATGAAACATAAATCCTTTAGATACCAAATGGAAAACAAAGCCTCACCAAGCTCATAGGCCTTAGCAGCCACATTGGCAGCTATGTGTGCTGAAATCTTTCTGATGTTAGTGAATGGTGGGTATATGAGCCCCTTGTCATAGTCCTCCTGAGTCACTTGTGAAGCCAAAGCCTCAGCTGTTCCAAGAAATAGGATTTGTCATTTACATCAAAGGTGAGTTTGTCCAAAGCTTAAAATTGAACTAAATGTTTGAATCTCTAATGCACTACTTACAAGCTGCCAGAAGCAGGTCATCGTGTACACGAATGGTCCCAGACATTATTAAACCAAGACCAAATCCAGGAAAAATGTATGCATTATTGGCCTGATTGAAAAAGAACACGTTCAAATTAAAATTCATTTCATGTGACAAGTCTTTAACGTTTCTAAAAATTCCATGAACTTAGAACCTGGCCAGGCACAAACACTTGTCCATCGTATTCAAATGGGGCAAATGGGCTCCCACTAGCAAAAATGGCACGTCCCTGATACAAATTCAAATGGATTAGAAACATAAAAAAATGAATGTAGACATTACTCATCCATTCCAACCAGATAATAGCAATCTAACTAGACAAACAGCTAAGCTAAGTAATATTTTAATAAATAAGTTCAATTTCTAATAGGAGGATACCAGCAGAATCTTCATATTACCTGGCTCCATGTATAAGCTTCTTCAGCAGTGCATTCTGACTGTGATGTTGGGTTGGAAAGAGAAAGAATAATAGGTTTCTACAAGCAATTATCAACCACTAGATAGATTAGCTTATGTGGAGATCAAATTGCATGGTAGGTTGACGAATAGATTGACATTTTACCTCATTAATGGAAGCCATAGCTTCAATTACTTCTTTAGTAAATGTTCTCCCTTGTCCTGATGTTCCAATTAGCACTGTTGGCTTAATTTGCTGAGATGAAAACATTGAAATGTGAGAAATTTGAAACTTATGTTCTCTCTACATGTGGGAGAGAGAGAGAGAGAGAGAGGTCATACATTAATAGCATCTACAAGTTCCTGAACAGGTTCATGTTCATGAGCCCAGGGCTTCTTAAAATGTTGAAGCGATTCTTTACGGGAACTCACAATCAAACCCTACGAAAGTAGGAATGAAAGGTTAATCAGATGAAGAAACAAGAAATTACTTTCCACAGGAATGAGCTAAATTGGATTATGTATAACCTTTGAGTCCACCAACCAAATGTTCTTGCGAACTTCATCCAGTGGGGCATTTATCTGCAAGGGCAATAGTTAGTTTTTGATGAATCTAAATCATTCATGCAATGCTCATTTCATAAATCTAACCCGTTTTGATGTTTCAAGTGCTATGAGTTCTGCTATTCCAGTGCCAGCCTGCAACCACAAACCATACAATTCATCCATAAGGATATAGATGATAGAATATTTATTTGTAAGGAAATGCAAGTAAACAATTCAAATTAATCTTGATAATGTCCAACACTCTTTTTCTTTCAGCTTTTTCCTCTGTCATGAAATGATAAAACTTTCCTATCTTCAAGAAGCAATGAAGAAGAAAACATTATTATAGAATGGGATAAACTTACCTCTCCAGCACCAAGGAATAAGAACCTGTGATCAGCCAAGTTTCCCCCAACCAATTTCAGAGCTGCAACTAGTCCTGCAAGGACCACTGAAGCTGTTCCCTGCAATGAAGTAGATAGAATATAAGAGATAATGATTGGCTACCAAACTATCTAAATTAAGCATTTGAGAGGAATTTCTTACCTGAATATCATCGTTAAAAACAAGATGTGTTGACCTATATTTTTCAAGTAGATCAAAAGCATTGTGGTTTGCAAAGTCTTCAAACTACAGCAAAAGGCAAAACAAATATTAGTCTGCGTTCCACTAGCAGACCAGAAAACCAAAAACTGATGTCTTTGCATACTGCTCAGTACCTGAATGAGAATTTTTTCACCATAATTTTGCTTGACTGCAGTCATAAATTCATGCAAAAGTTCAGCATACTCCTGGAATTAAAAAAGTTGAAGGAAATTTGTTAATATGGAATGTTAGATAAAAGAATGGTTGAACTTGAAAATAAAAATTTGGTCAAGTAAAGAAAACAAATCATGTACCAACCTGCCCAGTTACTCGCCTATGTTTGAGCCCTATATATAATTCATCATTCAACAACTTCTCATTGTTTGTACCCACATCAATGGTAATAGGAAGGCACTGAAACAATTGGATAATATATTATTATAGTTGCAATAAGAAATTGAAGTCACATTATACAAAATTAAAAAAAAAAGAAATGCAGAGACTTTCTGACCTAGTTTTAGTTAAATTCCAAAAATTGAATGATATCCGTGAAGCTAGTTTAGAACATTATAACTATTCCAAGTGTTTTTACTTTCTCTACATAAATAATCATAACAATCACAGCAAATTGAAAATACTTACAGCAGAAGGACGAACTCCACCAAGCGCTGTGTATAAAGAAAGTTTTCCAACTGGTATTCCCATCCCCTGATAATACACCATAGGTTACCAAAGGAGAGATTACAATACTAGATCACATAATACAATGATCATAAATTTTACATGCTAACAAGTATAATAGAAATTACTTGACAACCAAGATCCCCAAGACCCAGAATCCGCTCTCCATCAGTTACAACAATGACTTGGATGTTCTTCTCAGGCCAATTCTTTAGTACTTCAAGAATCCTCCCTCTTTAAACCCACACGAGAAAATAGAATAAGTACTTTGACAAATAATGCACACATTATTTTAAACTAAAAGTGTAAAGGGAAAAGAAATTCAAGAAGAGAAAGGAGCAACTGAACTCAAACTTACTTCTCCTTCAAACTTATATAAAGACCCTGAGGTTGCATGAAGATGCTCCCATATTTCTGGCAAGCCTCACCAACTGTTGGAGTATAGACAACTGGGAGTAACTCCTCAACATGATCAATTAGAAGCTTGTAAAACAGCCTTTCGTTTGTCTCCTGCAACCAGCAAATAACAAATAACAAATGGAAAAGGATTAGAGTCCAAACCCAAAATTGCAAATCATACCATGAAGAAAGTTCCACAAAGAAGCGATTTTATGGTATATTCTAAATTCAAAACAAAATAATGACAAAAACAATACAAATGCATAGACAAGAGCAAATCTATGGAAACAGAAATTTATTCAGATATTTCTACGAATAAGTTCTGTTGTTGTCATTCACCTCTAATCTTATGCACTTGCAATTTTGTCGCACAACAGTCTACAAATATCTCAGTTTTATGTTACAAGTAAAAGTGTCTTGCCATCAAGTATCGACTATAGTAAGGATACTAGTTAAGGAACTTTTAACGCAGTTCAAATGCTTCTAATTACTTAAAAAAAGATTATATTAAATTATTTTTTCTTTCATAGATACTTTTCTCTTTTAATAAAAACTTTTTACTGTTGTTTCTTTAACCAATGTCTGCAACATTTTCCTAAGTAAAAAATAAAACGGAGAAGCAGACCAAACAAAAACAATACTAATCAAATAACTCTCCTGGAAAGTAAGAAAAGGAAATGTCAGGAGGCTACCTGAAGATCCATCATTGCCATGTACTTCTGCAATGGAACTTGATATTGGCGTATATGTTGGATCAGTTTCTTCACCTGGACAAAAGAGGCATCAATAACCATTAGTAAATGTAGTATTATCAGGGTAGGCTCACAATCAGACACAATCTAACCACTTCCCACATCCTTTTTTTTTTCCAAAAAGATTATCAGAAACAAGTGATATAGTGAGATGATTAACCTGAGTTTCTTGAGATATAACTGTAGGGGGAAGAAGACCACGCAAGTAGTGAGCATCTCTCTCTGTTTCAGTGAAGGCCAATCCTTTGTTAAAGTGTGGATCTCTCAACAAAGTATATCCACTAAAAACCAGCACAGTGTCAATGTCCCATTCATCCATTCATTCATTCATCATAACACAAACACAAAAAAGAAAATGGAAGTTCATCAAAACAAGTCTCACTCATTCACTCACCTAGCTACAGAAACACTCCATGGAGTAACAAACTGATCCTCCGTGGCCTTATCTTCACCATACACATCCTGAACGCCACCGCCGGAGGTTGGGTTGTCGTCGACGTCAGCCACCGTGGAATCTCCGTTCATCTCTTTCAACGGTGTCTCCATCACAACGCTGCCGTGTCTTTTGCTGCTGCTGGGAGCAGAACACGTGACTCTGGAAGGACCCAAACGCTTTCTCTGCGAACCAGAGTAGTTGGTGCAAAAAGGCCACCCACCTACACCCGAATTGCACTGTGTACAAAGTTCACACAAAAACGGAATAAGGAGAGGATTTCATCAATACCCAGATAAGCAAATGAAGTAATCTGAACGAAATTAGAAGAAAAATCAAATTTTTGTTTGTTGGCGTTATACCAAACAGCAAACAGTGAGGAAAAAGCGGGAAAGCGTAGTAGTTTTGATTGGGTGGTGGAACAGTGGATGAAGAACGTGAATTGAGAAGAGTATTGTAATTATAATTACCATGAAGGAACATTTGTTGGAGGAGATCATGATGGCGGAACAAGTGTGTGAGAGAGAGAGAGTTTCGGTTATTGCTAGTGCTGTGTATGTATCACACACGGGGACACACACACAGAGAGAGAGAGAGAGAGAGTCTTAAGGGATGCTTGGTTTTCTCTTTTCTCTGAGTCTCTCTCTGTGTCTCCCACTCCCTCTTCGCCAGAGGAGAGGAGAGGAGAGAAGGAAGTTAGATCATAATAAATCAAACACGTAAATACACACTCAATAACGGTTTTTTTAATACCTGAAAAAGTACATGCAATAAAAATTTATATAATTTTTAAAAAATTACAAAATAATATATAATTTAATGTGTTAAAAATAATAAATACTATAATTTTTTATAAATTATTACTTATTATTTTTTATTGTGTGACTAAAAGTATTAATTATAAAATTGAAAGTAAAAAAATTATTCAAAATTATGTTAAAATATATTACAAATTATAAATAATGTGTATTAATATTTTTTTAACAAAAATGTTATACTTTTTATTTCATAGTTGGTGTTTAAGAATTTAATTAGCATTCGCCTATTAACTATCATTTTAAATACATTTGATGTTATTATTTCTTATATATATATATATATATATATATATATATATATTATTTTTCATTTTTTATTTTTAAATAATGACATAAATAATTAAAAATTGTTACATGTTAATATTTTATGAAATTGTATTAATAAGATGAACTAAACTTAAACACTCACGTTAATGTAAGGACTTAATTTTGAAAAAAGTTGGAGAATCCAAAAAAATTGTTAAAATATAAAGAATTACAACATATTTAAGCACATTATTTTAGTCGAAATTGTTGATATTTTTTACAATAAATAATATTATTCAAGTTAAGAATATCTTGAATAAGGGTTATTTAAAGTGAATTTATTTATAAAATATTAAAAAAATAAAAAAAATTACTTATCGTTTACTTATTTTAAAATTCATAATAATACTAAATCATAAAAATTTAATGATGAATAATCTCCTACTCTTTTTTTTTACTTCACGAACAAATTCACGTTAAACATGAAGTAGAAATCTTAATTAATAATAGCACAATTTTAATAATATAAGATACTATAACTAAATTTTATTCATATTAAGTATATTTACTATTTTTAATAATAAAAAAAAAAAGATCTTTCGAGGGAAACTGTGGGTTGTGAGATGAGGGTAAACATGGAGAGTGTGGTAGCAACCATGTTAAAGAAGAGGGTACGATGTAAGTTTGCAACTGAAGTACTGTGATGTCATCAAATTGCTTTAAGTTGGGAAGCGTAGGATGGATAATAGTATCCAAACCTTTGAGATTTACATACAATAATGTATTTTTCGCAGACTCAATCAACAGATTCTGAAGCTGTCATAAGTCAGAATAGAAATTGTCCAAGTTTTTTGGAGTCTGAATCTTGTCGTGTATTGTTCTTACTGTATAATACGAGAGTTTGAAGTACAAAAGCAGCACATTCCAAATACCATTTGGGGAACTTTCAAGGATGGTTTTATAATTCTGCTGCCTTCTAATAGAAAAACTCTTCCTTTTGTCTTAGCTACTTGTTTTTTTCACGAAAGGACATATTCATATGCTCATAGTCTTTCAAATATAAATGCTTTTAAGTATTCTTCATGTTGTTGAAGACCCTAACATCTGGCATAAAATATTAATAATCACAAAAATTGTTTTCCATTTTTGTGTGCTAATTTTTAAAGATTTAAATAGAAAATTACAAAAACAATATAATGTTACTTTTTAAAAAAATTTCTTATATATATATATATGCTGTTAACAAACTTAACATGTTTGACTTATTTCATTAAGCCCATGGCATCCAATCTAGTTTTGTAGTGGAAAACAACCACCAAAAGGTGGACCATGGCCCATGGGAATGTGCCCCAGCAACCTATGCCAATTTCTTCCATCACATTAATGCATGTTTTGTAGGGCTTTCAACATCATTAGCCAGTCCACATAAGAAATACAATGCGTTCTTAGTTTTTGTTATTTTTATTTCAAGCAGAACAGTAATTTCACCACTTTTTATTTTTTTTGGGGTAAATTATGTCATGCTAAAAAGAGTTGGATGTTTGTTCTGATTGAAAATTTAAGCTTTGAGACAGGGATCTGAGTAATTTTCAGATGAAGTTTATATTATGGTATGGTTTGAAGTGGGGTGGGTTGAGCTTATCCTGCTTAGTCTATAATCTGATTTATTATCACCTTTTCCACACCCCACACCCCACATTAAACCTTACACCTTATTTATAACAAACAAAATAAAATAAAAATGTGAGGTGGGTTGATATTAGGTTGTATTTGTATCCAGCTACATAACACCTGGGATGGTCAAATGGCCCAAACTCAAGTTCATTTATGGCCACACAATGACACAAATTGTTAGGTAGAGTGGAGATGCCCAAAAAAAAATGTAAGTCAAGTTGAGTTAGTGTAGTAGGGTTTGAGCATGACTTATTTCATAGTATTTTATAATAAAATTTTGTTTGAAAGTCAAAAAATTATCTTTAAATAGATTAGTAAAACTAAACTTACATGTAAATCAATAAAGATAAATAAATCAATCTATTAAATACAAAAGACTTTTTAGATTACTCGAAACTTTTAAAAAAAAAACACCAAATAGACTTTTAAAAAAATATTGTCTTCACTTATTTTCTTAACCTAACCTAAACTCAATTTACATTGTTCTATAACAGCCTAATTTATTTTCATCTTTAACGATTCAAGTTTACTAAACAAATGAGTATTGGTTATTCATTCTTCATGCAAGTCCTTCCCTAATCTTTAAGGTAGATTTGTTTGAGTTATTCTAATAAAAAACAAAAAAAAAATATTTAAAAAAATGCTTTACTAGTATTTATCTTTCCTATTTTAATGTTAAACTATATTGTACCTATCCATAGCACACCTCATGACCTCAAATGTGACAATAGCCACCTAAAGTGTTATTTGTCCCATCTATTAGGCACTCAAGTCATAGACATGATAAAATGTCTATAGTTTTTGTGGTTGCAAAACTGAAAAGATAGGAGGTACTTTTTACGTGCCATGTCTTCTCCACAAAACCATGCTTTTCTCAGTTTCACGTTTTTTTTTTTTTTTTATGAATGTTGGAAGGGGATATCATGTGAAAATTCCATTTATCAAAAACAAGTACACAAACGGTTCATCACATTTGTTGAAAACAAATTCTTCATGCACACTGCAAACACTTGACATTGTTGCTGTAGTTATCTACACTAAACTTAAGCTATAATTGTATAATTAAAACAACCGCAAAGGTTCCTCGAGATATGAAAGTTAATGCGACAAACATAAAACATAATCTTTTTTATAAGTATTACAATAAAGAAATTAACAAGAGCTTCGTGTATGTAGTATACCCTATTAACATTCTGGATTATCAAATTCCAACTTTTATAAATAAATATTTAGCATGGCTTAATTATACAATTATAATGTCATTTCAAATTATGGCTTAATTATTCTCTATCCAGCTTAGATGGAAGTTAGATTTTGGGATAGTGGACAAACATCAAAGCAAACTATATATATATATATATGTAAAAGTTATCAATCTAAACTTTTCATTTAACTTACATCTAACTACCAGTGAAATAATAAATTATAACTTGTTAGATATAAACTAAATGAAAAGTTCAGATTTAGTATAAAAAATTTTAAATATATATTCAAAATTACTACCAATTGAAAATATCAAAGTAAATCCTACGTTACCATTTAACTCAATTATTTAATAAAACATTATTTTGACTCAATTATTTAGTAAAAATCATTGTAGGAAAAAAAAAAGTTAATAAGAGAAGAGTTGCTGTAGGCAAACAAGAGTAACAACAGAGTTTCTAAGAAAATTGATGTAAAAGAATAATTTTTTATTCATAAGAATAATATTGTGACAAAACACCTAATTTTTAGGTAGCAAACCAAACTAACAGTAACATGATCCAAATGATTTACACTTCGTAAACAATCTTCTACTAACTAGACTATCATCAAGTTTCTATTACTAATAAGTTCAAAAACATGAGCTGACTACAGCCTCAGTTATATATATATATACACACGACACTTAATACTGTTGCAATAACATAACTCCCATCTTTTATCTCGTCTGGAAGTTAAGTGCCTTGATACAGAAGGAAAACACGAAGGCAAAGAAGACTGTGAAAGCTACCAAAACTGCAGCAACTGGACCCATGAAGTCTGATTTAAACCCATACTGGTGTTCAATATATGACTTTACAGTGAAATTCCGGCTACTCCCAGGCACAAAAATGTTTTCCTCTATATCTCTGTATTGAGAGACAATTAATCCATACACTGTCCAAGCTACTGGACAAATCCAGTAATACCACACCCACCATTTAGGAATTTTCTGAAAAAAAGTTGTTGAAAAGTTGTGTTAGTAAAGATTATGAAAGATTTGTTCTTATTTCTTATGTTATGTGTTTCAATAGAATAGCCAAAGTAGAATGGTACTTACGGGTCTTGGGATAAAGAAACCTGAGAAGAGATTAAAGACACCATAGAATGCTGCTGCAAAGATTGATGCCACTTGGTGGTTTGGTGTGATGGACACAGTCATCATCCCATAATATGTGAAGTACAAGAAGGAGAAGAAGCTGACAAAGAAGAACCAGAAGAATTTTTCCACTTTCCATTCAAAGCTCACCATAGCATACACTAAGAGTGAGTAATATACGGTTTGGAAAAACACATATGGTATTTCAGTAAAAACCTGCAATTGAAATGCATTTGTATAAGAATAATGTAACAAAGGCAATGACATCATATCAAAAAAACAGATACTAAAAAATATTACTATTCTTTGAAGTTAATCGGTCGTCTAACCTGTGCAATGGCATAAGGCAAAGGAGCATACATTCCAGCAGCTCTTTCGCGATAGAACACGGTTCTTTCAACGGCTACAATTGGTTGAACAGTTTGGCAATTGTTAATTCCAACAAAAATAACAGCAGCATACATTGCTCCTATAATCATTGTCAGGTCGGTTGAGGTCCCCCTAAACAAAGAGAACAAGAGAGAAATTAGCTAAAATCCAAAACTACTGGTTGAAGAGAAGAGTATAGATTTAACCACAGGAAGCAACACTTACTTGTTTTTGCCAATTCTCCAAAATACTGTCCCTATCATGAGGGCACAAGCCAAGGTGAAGAAATATCTCACAAGGTTATAATCTGGACTCCTCCAATATGTCAGCCACTGCTTCCATAGACAGGATTTAAATTGCCCCCATGTGGACTGAGAGTACTTTGTGGGGAAATACAAATCACTGGCTCCAGGTGGGGGTGTGCTTAACTCCTTTACAAGAGCTTTGTTTCTCCTGTTCAACAAGCAAATGTGTATGTGTTAGTTCAAACCAATAAAAATATGCAAACTTATTTGACAATAACGGTATTCTAATTGTTTGTTGACTTACTGGAACAAAGATGATGACTTGTAGTATTCAGCAAAGTCCATTCCAAGACGGACTTCAGCTGCCACTGAACTCACTTCTAGCATCCATGTTGCTGGGTTGTACATCTCTTTAATTTTTGGGACCCCTGGAATTGCCTGCCAAGGACATATAGGATGTTAAACCCCATATTAAAGCACATGAATGAAAATAATATAACTAAATAGTTGTAATACCTCAAAGTATTCTACAATTTTGTGGGAATTGCGGCCTAATGGTCCTGCGTAGATAACTTGTCCTCCTCTTTTCATCAACAAGAGCTGGTTCAGAAAGAATATTTCATTAAGTACCAAAGAGGCTAAGAGGTACAAAGATAAGAAACATATAACAAATGGTTTATAGGTTGGCTGGTACCTCATCAAAGGCTTCAAAGATATCAATGCTAGGTTGGTGAATTGTACAAACAACTGTCCGTCCAGTGTCCACCGTGTTTCTCACCGTCCTCATAACAATAGCCGCAGCTCTTGCATCTAGACCTGAAGTGGGTTCATCCATGAAAATGATTGAAGGATTTGCAACAAGCTCAACAGCAATGGTCAACCTCTTTCTCTGTTCAGTTGACAATCCTGTAACTCCTGGAAGCCCCACTATAGCATCCTTGAGATTATGTAGCTCTACCAAATCCATTACTTGGTCCACAAATTGCTGAAAAGATTAAAAAATAAATAAATTTTTATATTACCATTCTATGAACCTTTATTGAGAGAAGAATCAAAAGATATAGTGCTCAGTACTTACTATCTTTTCCTCGTTACTGACTTCTTTAGGTAACCGAAGGAAGGCAGAGTAAAGCAAAGATTCTCTAATAGTAACTTGGGGTGAATGAATATCAGTTTGCTCACAGTAACCTGAGACTCTTGCAAAGGTTTCTTGATTCTTGGGGAATCCAGAAATTCTTATATCTCCTTCAATGTAGCCACCCGTCTTTCTTCCTGCTAAAACATCCATTAAAGTTGTCTTTCCAGCACCACTAACTCCCATTAGTGCAGTTAGAACCCCAGGCCTAAAGGAACTAGTTACTCCCCTAAGTAATTGAAGCCTATCTTCTGTCACTCCTTGCTCTTTCATTTCCTGTGAAAGTTATCAAAGTTAGAACTTTCTTCATATGTGTACCATGGATTGTTAAGGGTGTAGATTATGAAATCATACTAAACAAGTAATCGAATCCTTACCGCAGGCATGTCCACGTAGTAGTTAACACTATCAAATGACATTGCAAGTGGTTGAAAAGGTAGAATCATTCCTCTTCTTGGGGCAACTCCAGTAGCTGAATCGTTTGCTGAATCAACTTTTCTTAATCCATTGGAATTAGCCTGGCTACTCATTCGTTGCATTGCCACTTCTCCTAAAATGATTCATTCAGTAACAACCCACATTATGTCAATAAGAACATCTTTTTACTTAAGTCATCAAAGATTATTAATATTATCTGTTTTAAAACTTACTTGTATTATTTCCATCAGCTGTAGATAATGATCGAAGCATTGAATCTTTGTTAGACTGAGGGGGCCTTACAAGTCTTGGTTCTTCGTTTAAGTCTCCTCCGGCCTCCATTTCACTTGCATCTTCTTCAGAAATAATTGCTTGTTTCTTTCCAAGAGCTAGTGCACCAAACAAGACAAAAGCTTTATTAAGATAAAAGTGAAAGATGTAATTCACTTGAAAGATTGATCAGAATGTGAGTTCTTACGGTTAAAGTACATAAGTGCAAGAGTGAAGAGAACATTGTACAAAATAGTGAAACCAAGAAGAGCAGCAGCACCAATCCAGTACCATCCTTTGCTAGAATAAGCATCAAAGTTTCTTAATATAGATAGACCCAATGTGGTAGTTTTATCTGAAGAAGTCTGCAGTCAAGGGCATGTTCAAGTCAGAAACTAACAAATTTCTTCGAATTATTCATTTTCATATTTTAATCGAAAGCTTATGCTATTTACCTGTGGATGCATCCACCTTGGAGCAAGCATTTCATTCACAGACAAGGCATTGAAAGCATATGACAATGGTGACACCCAATAGGCCCAGACCCACCAATCAGGAATTTCACCTGTAACCATTAAGCATTTGTGTGAGCACATTCTTGGAAAGTGTAATTTTGGAGTCAGTTTTCAAATGCTTTTGCTTAAAAGTTTGAATTATCACTCACGTTTGGGAAGGATGAAACCTCCAAGTAGAAAAACAAGAAGAAGCATGAGGGCTCCACCAGTGTTAGCTATAATCATTGTCCTGCACACTCCAGAAATGACCCTAAACATCCCAGCAGCCATTTGTTGGATAAGAAACACCAACAACAGTTGCTTGAAGAACCTAAAAATTGGAATAGCCACAAAAATACTCACTTAGTAGTTATGGCATGAATACATTACATTATATCATGATATTGATCATAGTGTCTAGTATTTGGTATCAATAATATTACATAAGCCTACTCAATTTAATGAAATAAACTTGTTGTGTTGGTTGATATGGAACACACATAAATGAGTCCAAATGTACATGCATTTATGAATAAAAAAAGAATTCAACTTTACCTGGTGGCTTCAGGAGCAAATCCTATGGTGTAGTAGGTAACAACCACCCAAACAAGAGACTCAAACACAGAAATGGGAATACGCAACAGGAAGTTGGGGAGGGTGTAAGTCCAAGCAGGGTGGAAAAGATGGTCTCTGTGCTTATAAAACACAGGAAGCCTTCCAATTGTGAGTGCTAGCTCAGCAAAACCATTAAACATGTTCATGATCATGGAGAACAAAATTGCACCAATGTAAAGTGCACCATTATCTTCATTATCTCGGTGCATTTCGGTCCTCAAGAACACAGTTGCAGCTACGATGGCAATGATGATTATTTGGACTGTCTTGAATATGTAGACAAAAGAGTTCCTCTTGATCAGCAGCCACTCCTTGTCCCAACATGCTTTAAAAAGATCCCCTGTAGGCACAGAGTTTTTACTATAAACAAGAGCTGCTTTATGTGCACTTGACTTGTCAAATGGCACAGACAACTCATTCTCAAGCTTCATTCCAACATGAAACCGCTTGAACTTGTTTGCAAACTCTGTCACTGTAACATATCTGTATGGCATGTTTTTGTCTGCCCAATATTGCTCTTGGTCCTTCCTTGAGGTAACCTATTCAAAATTTTCAAGTAACATTAAATTACCTATACTCTTTATTTATTTATTTTTAAATTAATACCAACTTGGTCTAGATAACTTTTTTATTTTTTTCAATTAACATGTTATGATTTTAAAAAATAAATAATTATATAAGGTTCCATGATTAAGCCTAAAACTTGGTGTTATTGTGATCAATACCTCTTGTAAGAAATCAGCGGTTCCCTTTCTTTCAGGGCAGCGAAACCCACAGGACTCAAAGAATTCAACAATGTGCTCACGTGGGCCTTGGTACACAATTTGTCCCTCTGATATGAGAATGATGTCATCAAAGAGATTGAATGTCTCAGGAGCAGGTTGGAGAAGGGACATTAAGATAGTTCCTTCAGTGAGGTGCACAATCTGTTGTAAGCACTTTACAATCTGATATGTTGTGGAGCTATCAAGACCCGTTGATATTTCATCCATGAATAGTGTTTTTGTTGGCCCAACAATCATCTCTCCTGTATAAAATCAAAGTCATTTCATTGTAAGAAATAATTGTAATTCACATAATTAGACATTTAATTCTATATATTATGAAAATTATAAGTGGCAAAAAAAATGTATTACATAATTTGGGCAGATTATATAAATTTTCAAAAAGAAAATAAGAAAAAGGGAAACTCCCTTAACATTTTTCTCGGACAAAACAAGGTAGAAGGTGAATGAAAAGGACCAAGTCAAACAAAAAAGAGTTTGGTGGGCAATAGTACATGTGGCCACTTTTTCTTAATCTATAGAAAATTGTCTGGCCGGTATATGTGTACAACTTGTACCCACCTTCCAATTAAATTAAGCTTCTTCAAGCAGTGTTGAACTTGAAAATGTGAGAGTAGAAAAATATAATCACATTGCAAATAATTCAATGCATAATTGAGGATCTTTTTTCAGTCCTAAAAAGAGGCACAACAATTCTCTTCTTTTTAGTCCTTTTAAAATCTAACCTGTTGTCACACGCTTCTTTTGGCCTCCAGATACACCTCTGTGCATTTCATCACCCACTATGGTATCCTTGCAAATATCAAGCCCCAGTATCTATTTCATAAGAACAAGAATGGATTATTAGAACATTAACCAAACCGTTAAGCACTGTGACAAGCAATAATTATGTTAACTTTAAAATAAGTAAATAACTAAATTATGAGAGTAGTTAGTGTAATCCACATTAGTGTAATCCACATAACACAAGTGGTACTCCAAATGGGACCTAGTTAGCCACAATATGTTGAAACTTGAAAGCAGTTAGCACTTGGGGGTAGGTGATGAGTAGAAAATTTTGACGAGGAATTTTTTTAAAACTTTTTGTGGGGCAAATACAAGGAAAACTTTGAGAACATATCTTCCTGACTCTCCCTCTCTTTTCTAGGAAAAAGAGAAATGTTGGGGAAAAAGAATCACTTACTTTGAGCGTATAGTCAGTAATAAGACTGCTTTCTGTTCCTTCCATTGCAGTAGCCTACAATGCATGAATCTAGTGAGAACACTTTCACATATTAAGAATAATGGAGATAATTATTTAGTATTGTTTAGTCCATTAAGTATTAGTTAAATGGGAAATTAGTGAAAATACCTTCATGAAAAGGTCAACATCTGCCTCTGGAAATATGCCAGCTTCCTTTTCCCTTCTGGCAAGCTCGCTTAATAGGTCTATAATGACATTATTTAAGGAAAAATAAATCTGTTAATAAATGATTCAAAGGGGCAAATGGTAAAAGGGAAACTTGGTTTAAGAGAAAATGTTGATTCAATTACCATATCGAGTTCCAACCCCTTGGCATCTAGCTGAGAAATCCAGTGTTTCTTTCACAGTCATTTCTCCAACATGAACATCATTTTGGCTAATGTATGCTGAAGTCTTTCTTGGGACAAATTCATTAAGTTTATGTCCATTGTAAGTGATGTCTCCTTTTACCTGTTTCATCAAAAACAATCATTTACAGTTAACTCTTATTCATCATCATTATTATTCCTGTTGATTAAAAAGGTAATAATATGTATAAAAAATAATTTTTTTCATTAAAAAAATTATGGGGATTGAGTCTACCCTCAAATCAGGGTCCAATTTTCCAGCCAATGCCAACAAAAGGGTTGTTTTCCCTGAAGAAGGGGGACCAAGTAAAAGGGCCATCCTGCACAGAACCAAAAGTGTCATCAAACACAGTACTATACTATAAGGTCAACGTATAGTTGACTTTTAGCCAAACAAAATTTTTGCTTAAGATTGTTCCAACCACCCCACATAGGTAACGTTGTAACAACTTGGTTGTGGTACCTTGATGGTTTAACAATTCCAGAAGCATTCTTAAGAATTGTGAGCTTTGTTCTCTTAGCCGTACTAATCCCAAACATGCCAAGAGCTGATTCAAGAATATTCAGTGAAACATTTGGTAGGGTTGGCAGAGCTCTGCTGCCAACATAGGAATCAGCCTCAACAGTTAAGTTTTGAAACCTCACTTCTACTGTTGGAAGTCGGATTCCAACCCTGAAATTAGTTAAAAATAAAAAACAATATGAGCAAATTTGTGCACATGGTGTTATTAATTGTAACATTACTCCAAGCAATTGAATCATATAATATAGCATTGAATACCGAATAAATTAGTTCTAAAAGCTTATTTCACCTTCATATACAACAATTTCATCCATTCAAGTAACGTGAGAAGTAAGGTATTGACAAATTATATATTAGGTATGCTTTTAATTCGATTTGAACTCTGTTTTGACAATGTTAAGTTGGAAATTTGGCACTTGATTTTCTAAGTTTAAAGTAAGTATAGCTTTGAAAAAGCAAACTTAATTAATAAAGGATTAAAGTTTATATATGCATCTGCAATAATCATCATATGTAGATCTGGTTCCTCTCTATTGCATAGCAGAAATTGTTCTTTAATGTGTTTTTGTTAGCAAATGACAAAGACAAATTGAATATGATAATAGATAATATTGGGGGGGGGGGGGGGGGGAGATGAAAGAAAACAAATTAGATTATAGAAGAGAGTAAGGGTGTCAAAATAGAAGGGGCTTCTTAATTCAAAAGATAGGGACCAAAAACTTATTTAATTTTTGTTTATTGTAAGTTAATGAAAAAGTTTCCAATTCTGTTTGAAGCCTGAAATCTGAATTTTCTTATGTGGGGTAGGGGGAATTGAGAACACCACATGTGAAAAGCCAAACTCACTTGTCAATTCTGTTTCTGAACTTCTTCAGAAACTTTTCATTATCTTCTTCTGCTACCTTGAAAATTTTATCAATGATTTGTTGCCTTTCATTGACATCAAGCTTTCTAACATCCACTTCCTTGTGTTGCAAGTTGTTTCCATGTTGTTGATCACCCTCAGCAAAGGTTTGGATGATACTTGTCCTTAACCTATCATAGGTGGGTAGTTTCTCTATTGCAGCCCATTTGAGAGCTTCCTCATCCTCATCAACATGAGAAGTCCTTCGAGAATACCTTCCACTTGCAAACACTTCCTCCATCTTCCAACTCGACCGGCTTATGCTCCTGCTTATGCTTCTGCTGAAATTTCCATCCATTTTGCCTCCTCTTGTTCTGAAGTGGACTCAAAGTTGAAACAGGAAAACAAACAATGTGTTACTATTTTCACGCCATAACAAAATATGGGTGCTTCACTAATCCTAACCAAACTTGAACAAAACAAAAAAAAGAGCGACCCGTTACTTTTGAGCTAAAAGATTGTCATATCATAAACAAAAGGAAAAAAAAAAACTTTTTTTAATCTTATTTCTTCCATATTTCATGAACAAAACATGAAAGATCATATACTTACATGACAAAACAAGGAGTAAGAGAATCCTCCACTCAACCCAAGGAGGAGAAGGTTGGTTGTGGCTGTTTAAAACTTCACTTTTTTTCGTGTAATGACTCTCCTCTTTTAAACTCTCTCCCTTGTCTGTTTTGTTTTTCGTTTTCTGTTCTTACTTCATGCGGAATTATAGGCCAAATGACCTGAAGTGATTCTCAGCTATGAAGGAAGGACTATACATATATATACACGCAAATGTGTGTTACAATATGTATATGATTAAGTGGGACAGAGTGGCTAACAAGATAGAGAAGGTGAGGCTAGTGGAGGAATTGTCGTTACTATTAATACTATCATCCAATGAGAAAATTATTAAATTAATGGCTTCCACTTTATTATATAATAATAATAAATAATAGTAGGTCCCTTGTGTTGAATGCAACCTTAGTAATGAAGTCCATTCAAATATGACCAGCGTTTTCGCTTTCTCACCAGCTTCCTCCAAATGCGCTGTTTTGAATGAAAATACATATTTTTTTAGTTCTATGAATTTAAAATTATATACTGATCCTTCATTTCTTTCATAAAAAAATTATGGGTTTTTGTTTTTTATATTTTAAATTTTGGTTCACTTAATCAATGAACAATCGTGCCATGTGACTCAATTGGGGATCCGATAAGGTATTAGGTGATAATTTGATTAATTTAATTTGGCAATTAACAGCTAGGAAACTATTTGTCACATATGATGCTGACGTGGAATAAATTTTCCTTTTTTGGACTGATTCCGCTGTTAATTAAATAACAAAACATAAATAAAAACTAAAACATCGGTAAATAGTGGTACGAATGAATCATGTTTGTCACATTTTTTTTCATCTCATTTTTTATATTTAAAAAAAAGAAATGAATGCTCTGTCAATATGTAAGTATGAATACATATACGCCGAGAACGGAAGAGAAAGAACAACTCGAATGGTTCAGTTGCGTAAATTGAGTAATTAACATGTAAACTATGCTTAAGAGAAAAATATTAATATTGATATATGACTAAGTTATGTGTACCTGTAAACTCTGCGATAATTGGTGAAAGAGAACAAAAAGTCCTCTCTGGCACCTAAGATAAAGCGTGGGTTATGCTACCAAACTCTCTTTTCACCTACCATTACCCACTGTACATGTACAATTTTATTTTTATCTTCTCTTCCTTCGTTTCTCAAATCCAAACCCTCACAACCCAAATAATTAATGTTTCAAAGTTGTTGTTTAAAATGCTTTTTTTTTTGCTATAGTTGCTTAATCATTTACACTATAATGTTAATGACTTTTGTTTCACATATGACAGTCTGTAATAGTAGTAATTGGGAATGAGAATCATCCACTCTTTATTCATCACAAGTTTATGCAAAACTATTAATTCTTGTTAAAAATATATGACATATAAGAAGGCATTAAAATTTAATTTGATGTATTATCTTGCTATAATTTTATACATTGTCGTTGAAAAGTTAATTTTCATATAATAAAACTAACATTATATTATATTATATATATATATAATATTTAACATTTTATTAATAAATACTTTTCCAATTTTCATAATGAAAAAAATGTTAGTTTTTAATTAAGAAAAACTGAAAACACTAATATTCATTTAGGCTGGCTCAAATTGAACTAATCTATCACAGCTGTACTTAGAAAAACGGCGAGAAGAAGTGTCCTTTAGTTGATTCTTCCGATGTTCATGCATATTTAAAAGGATGAGATTTAACTTTAATTTTTACAATAAATTTAATGTTATTTTAATTAAATATTATATTTATAAAATATTTTTATTTTATATTATCACAAGTTTATTGTAAAACAAACTTTAATTTTAATTTAAAAATACTTAAAAAGTGTAATTCAATTTTATCCTATTTAAATTTGACCAAAGTAAGATGCAGAGCCTGTTTGATAAACGGTGGAAGTTCCCCCAATCGATTAACGTTGCAGCTTGCAAGTTTTGTCCTATTTTTTTATCATTCGAAATGTACCTTCCTTTTCATGTGTTCACCGCGAGTCAATCACAGTCAAAAGAAAAATGGGCTCCACATCACTCTAGTCTTTTAAATTTATAAATTTTTACTTTACTTTTTATTCTTATTAAAAAATAAAATATATATTAATTTATTAAATTATAAATTAACATATTCAAAGAAATAACTTTATTATTTATAATAATTCTATTTGACTGAGAGAGAATTGCTTTCGGTAGACTATATACGTGATGTAGATTAAAATATGAAAATAAAATATTTATAAAATGTAAGATTAAAACAACCAACTTATTTTAAAAAAATTTAAATGATTAAAATAAAAATTTTAAACTCCAAAAAACACTGTAGCATAAAATTTAATCTACAATTTATCATAAAATTTTAATTCTTAAGACTGAGTTTAAATATTCATAAATAAAAAATTATAATAAAAATATATAATTATTGTAGTAAAATTATGTGTATTATTTTATTGGATAGTTATTAAATAAAAAAACAAAATAAAACTTTTTAGGGAAATCATACTGAATTCTTTTATAAACTGTTTTCATTTATTATTCGTGTAAAATTTCCGTACTACAAAGCATTTCTCAAAATCAAAGATCCTTTTTCATTTGTGTATATATATTGTTGTATTGTTAAAACGTTAATTATACATTATAAATTTATAACTGATATTATTTATATAACATTTTTATAACGCTGTTTTTAATTCCTTTCTTTCGCATCAATTATTCTATCTTTTTTTTTAATCTCTTTTATCATTAAAAAAAACTATACAAATTATCTGTGCAATAAGATTATGAATAGAATTAAATGGGAGCTTCTAGAAGCACTTCGTTGGAGATATTTTACTTAACCATTGTACGGATTATATTATAATTATGATATTATAATATATTCGATGCTAAAAAATATTTTTCCCAAAATATTCCGTCCCAAATATTTAAGTAGAGACGTACGAAAGTACACGTTAGTCCCTTAAATATTGATTAATTCAGATTAAGGGTGTCAAGATGGTTAACCTATCAAATATTTCGATATATGATATGTAAATTGGTTTTTAATCAAAACTTCAAACTCGATCTTTGTTATTTGGTATCGTCAGTTATTTCTTTTATAATCAATTAAATATACAGTTATTTCAATGATTATATTAGATTGAATCAGCATGTTAACAACTAAAAAGAAAAAATATTAATCTTTTAAAAAATATATGATGAGTTTATCAAGTTATAAATATATTAAATATCGAATATTAAAATTACGAGTGAACATGTATTCTGACATCTTAAATGAGTTTGCTGAACCGTTGAATGGTGGTAGTCGTAAACACATTCGCAGACGTTGTATTGTCAAATACTTGACACAGTAATTAATGCATTTAATTACCATGTTCGTTTCTTTTCCATTCCTTGATTATTCAAACGTTACAGGCACGGTGTTTGTGTTTCCTTCCTTCTAGAACTGGAAGAGGTAGAGTAAGAGAAGATATATCCAATCAGTTTCACGTTGATCTTCAAGTCCTTAAACTCTTTAGTAAACAGATATAATTAATCGCAACAACACAAGGACTCAGATTTCAGGCTCAACTCTTTGCTGGTTTGAGTTAATTTATAACATCTAGAACTTGGAATTGTTTTTGTCCATTGGTATTGGTGGTTTGAGTTTTGACTAATAAGTTAACAAAGAATAATATAGCAATAGAAAAATTATTAAAAGTTAAGAATGATATTCACTTAATTTTGATAAATTTTAATTAATAACTAAAAATATGTTACGGCAAATTGGATCAGGAGCTTGAAAATGGAGTAAGCTTTCACGATTCGCTAGAGTAAGCTCTAGCTGGTAATTGAAATATTCATTTTATAATATTTAATTATCCTACATTAATTAATAATATATATTATTTGCGACTTCACACTCGTTCTCAAGTCCACTTTGATTAGCGAGATTAATCTCAAATTATTTTCCCAAAACAAAACAAAAGTTTAGCACACAATATACTTTTTATTAATACTGTAATTACAATTTTAAACATATGAAATCCTCCATTGAAGTTTAGAACACTTCCCAGTAATTAGTAATTACATGTTTTTAATTAATGTACGTGTGTGTTAAAAATTATATATTGCATTTCTCTAATAGATTAAAAAAGAATTACAGAAAACTACGTAAACCTAATTAGATGAGCAATTAATGTTCAGTTGTTGTGCATATACACTGCTGAGTAGTTTGAATCTGTGTGGGAAAGTAAGCAGAGTTAATTTAAACTGTAATACGTGAGCTGCCACCATTATTTGTATTTTTATTTTATTTTAATTCTCCTCAGTTGTTTAGCTACTTTTAGCAACCCCCACCCATATCTTTGTCTCTCCTTCTAATTTAACATTTGCATTGACTACATATGTGACAGTTTTCTAACCATCTATTATAATATAGATACTTAGTGTATGTTATATATAAAAATTATCTTTTAGTTTATTTAACTAGTTTAAAAGTATGTTTGAATAAAATGTAATTATTTATTAAAAAACATTTCATCAATTTATAGTGTTTTTTTAAATTCTACTTTATATACTTAGTGTTTGGACTTGTAAATTTACAGGTTACGTTTTTTCTTATCCTCACTGTAATATTGGAATTCTTCATTTAATATTTCTTATGTTAAGAAACGTGTCCTAACACTCTTTTTCATTCTCCCTTTTCTCAAATATCATTTTTCATATCATCAAAATTAAAAAAGTTATATTATAAATTTATTTGTATGAGTCCATTTTTCATTTAATAAGATATTTAAAATGTGGATAAATTAAAAAATGATCATCCTACTATATTAAGTTATTTGAAGTAAATTAAATTCTGAAGAGTGATAAATATTTAATTAAAAATATATATTTCTCAAATTTCAAGTTATGGCTTAGTCATTAAATATGCTCTTCTATATTTATTAATTAATTCAACAACCAGATTTATTATATAAATTAGATTGTTAATTTTTAACTAACTTTTTTATTTTAAACTAGTTTGTATGTCAAATACACCTAGAATAAAAAAATTTCACTATTATTTCTCATTTTTTCAATGTAATTTCTTTTGTAAATTATTTAATAAGAATATTTTGATCCATCTCATCTGACTAAGTTGTCTCACTAAAAATTTA